ATTTGGTGTTCTTTGTACGATGGGCGTAAAAAGTATCTCAGACATAGTCGATCATAGATTGGAAGGATTGACGGAGGTCGTAATTTACGCGAGGCTAACTGACGGAGGTCAATGAAAGAAGCGACAAGGCGCTTTCTATCCGAAATGCCGGCTCGTTTATTATGCAACGAAAAACAAGCAATTACTGTACGATAAAGGGCGATAAGGAGATTGATGCTCGACTGGGTGGCGATAAATTTGTGCGTGCTTTCGCACAAACCCATCTTCGCTTCTCTAACGCGACATGACGATGAATATTAATGATAGCCAGGCTACATATTCCTCTCAGCACGATCATTATTTCTCCATCCATTTTGCACGCATTTAGCCTCCAGGGGACCACACCAAGTGATGGATGACAGCATCTTGCAGTTTGCCGTGTTTTGCTCATTTGTTTTCCATCGCTATTATCTCTCTTTGCCTTGTTTACGTTTCGCTCCTTTCCCGCGCTCGTTATTGCCAATTCGTCATTCGATCTACACGTGTTCGGGGCAGTTTTCCTTGTACTAAGATTTATTTTAGAGCTTTTTCTCAAGTTTATATGTAGGAAAAGGAAGGAAGAAGCTTTCTAAAAAAATTAGAAGAAGATTAAAGCCGATGCTTTTGACAGAGTAATACATTCTTGCAGATAGAGCGTTGGACTTGTGCCATCTCCAATTTGCTTAAGCTGCCACCGGTGGTAGCATTTATACACTTTACAAACGTATATTTAAGTGTTAACCCTCTCTCATTTTAATACCTTTTACGATAAGTTACGGTTTTCGTACGTATTGTAACGCATTTATTATAAATATGTATACAAATATACGGGGAAAGGAAGGTTGAGACACTTTACTGCTTTACAACGGCGAGTAATGAAATTTTTATCGCCCCATTGTCGCTATTGTCAAATGATTTATGGCTTGTTTTATGCGAAAAAGCACCCATATATATTATTATACCAACGTACGAATAAATAAAGACGGAAAGGACAGTGAGAAGAAGGAGGTGGGGGAGGAGGAGTTAGGGATTTTGAGTCGAAAGGATTGATGAACTGACCGACGACGGCCGAAGGTCAAGCGGTCGCGACGCTTCGTAAAAGAACAAAGGCGTCCGTCGACCGGCTCCGGGTCAGGGGTGACGAGCCGAATGGCAATGAGTTGGAGCAGAGATGATTTATCGGTCAGTTGTGCATTAAAGTAATTCAATAAGGCGAGTAATATGCATGCTTGGCTGACAGTAGGTCGTGTTTGTCAGATGGCGCAATGACGGATAGAAAAAAGGGGGCGTGAATTTCTATCCTGCGTACCATACACTATTCATCATATGTATATAAATTATATAGGAAAAAAGACATGTATATATATATATATATATATATATATATATATATATATAAATTCATGTTACAAGCAGTGAGTAGGATATATTTATAAATATATAAATATATTTAACTGCAACTAGCAATATAGCGTATTGGATGTACTACTCCTTATATAAATTAAATAATATATACACTTATTCAAAAGCGTACTGTTTGTATGTTCTATATATCTATATATATTTATATACTTATATATATATTTTTCTCAAGCCTATAGGAAACAAAAGTTCTTTAAGTGATATGTGGCGGCAGATAGGAGACGCTGTCGAGTGCCGGTATGCTTTGAAGTTGACTGTAGAACTTGACGAGGCGCACGTTATCGCACAAAGCCTCTGTTGTATGGTACTCTGCTCGATTTATGATAGGCCCTTTGCTAACTCTGTCACCTGTCAACCTTATCGACATCAAACGTACCGCCGGCATACTCGCTTTGATTGATGGCGTCCGTTAGTGGTTTGATAAGGAGTAAAAATGACTACGCGCTCCCGCGTGCAAATTTTATCGTCGCGCTCCACGTGAAACGACAAACAAGTAAATAAACAGAACCAAACGAAGCGCGGTGATAATTAAGAGGTCGACTGTAACGATGACAAACAAGTAGAAATTCAGCCGTCTTAATTTCCTCACGCCCAGCCAGTCAGAATCATCTGACGCTCTATCCTAGCCAAATGACGCCCGTAGCGTTGGAGGCGTCTAAGCATTTTCGGTTTGGTTGTACTAACTAAAATGTCTAGGTGAGATCAAACGGCTAATTACTGATACTTGAATGCTCGGCGTTCTTTCACGAGCTTTTTATCGACACTTACGGCCTGACAACTTACTCTGAAATTCAACACGGTTAGTCAAAGCTTATAAAATAAGCGAATGCTTTCGACAAACATTGAAAGCGACAGGGCGTACGCAAATGCCGTTTTTGTCTTCCTTTTCAAGTCGACTTAAACGTTACGCGCGGCTTTCTTCAATTAAAAAATGGTGTAACAGAGCGTCTCTCGAGATGGCGCTAGACGTCCGTCCAGTAAGTAGATTAAAATGAGAAAAACAAATTAGAAGCGGAAGATGAAGTTATCAAGAGGGAAGTTGGAAGTATGAAAAAGAACACGTGTTACCCATTCGACGCCAATTCGACGTCTGCGCCGTATATCATAAAAAGGATATATGAGGGCATAAAACGGAGCCTAATCACTCCAACCCTCTTTCCTTCCTAGCTCTTAGGTTGGAAATTAGCGTGTATAGTGCACCGGAATGCGCAACGATGTCAGTACGGTGATAAGCGGCGATAAGCGTGACAAGCAGTCATAAATCAGCCGCTCGTGAATATGAAGGAAAGGTACTCAGATAAGAGGAGAGGAGGGGGAGATGGGCTGCGGGGCAAGTAGCAAGCTAGTCGGATAGCAGCTGTGTCTGAAAACACGCAGGTTGATTTGTTTAGACGTTGCCCCAGCTGACTTTCATCTTTGATGTATTATGGAGGGGAGGAGATGGGATAGGTGGAAAAGGGCCGAGGTAATGGTAAAAGAAAAATACATCTCTTACCAGATTTTTACTTTATAAATTTACCTTACGACGTAAAAAAAATGTATAAATTCTATTTTATATCAATCATTGCTGTATTCTGTATACTATTTATAATAGTCGGAACTCCATTAGCTTATTAGATTAGATTCCTGAAGTTAATTTCGCAGATAATTCTTTGCGGGAGAGTTAAAATCATATCTTGTACGGCGCGCCAACAGACGCGTTGCGTTATAAATGGACATAACCGCTCCCGACATCAACGCAATCTGACAACCATGAAGAGATGAAAGGGCTTCTGACAGATGCAAAAATACCGCGCTCTAGCAATATTCATCTTTCATTGCGTCGCTGAAAAACTACTCTGAATGTGTACTAAGTCGTAAAGCCATCATACTTTTCTGAAACGCAATGTGTACATGCTGCATATGTCACCTGAGCTTTAATTTACTATACCCTCATCACGCTAATACAGTACATACTAAATTGTGTGCATTCTCCCTTCAATCTTCTATTTATTACCTTGTTACAGACTTTTATCCTTTCCCAAATAAATAAACGAGTGAAAATATACCGCATATAGCTGTAAAATAATATAAAAGCATGGAGAAAGGGGGAAAATGAAAGGGAATGAAAAATGACGTTCGCCGTCTCTTTCGTCTAAACAGAATCGACGTATCAATCAGCGTCGTTTGCGTCCGACCAACACAATTTGTGACGAGTTGATTGACAAGCCGTCGTCGGAATGCCGCCTCGTTTCACTATGCTTCATTAATTTCACTACCGATGGCGACATCTGTCGATCAACGCTCTTATCTTGATGCAAAAATCTATTTGAGCGTTGAATGATTATCTCTTCCGGCTACAGATGGCGTTTTCAACGCCGATGAAATTCCTTTCCTCATTTCGACGATTTATGATGAAAAGTTGTTTGGAAAAATTTTCTTCGTTCACGCGAGTGTGAATATGCATAAGTTGTGCCATTTCCCATTAGATAAAAAGCAATAGTGACGAAATAACTCTTCGATATTGCGATGGGCGATTCCTCAAGAGATTTACGCCCGCTGACATCTTTCTGAATAGATAGTCTTAACATAAAAGTATTAGCTGATTTATATAAATATACGAAGAATTCGTAGATCCTTGATAGTTAGAAATTTTCATGAGATGTTGATTATCGGATAATTTCTCAACGTTTTATTTATGGCGCCATCTCTTGCCAATTTTCATATGAATAACTTGTCATGAAGGTGACTCTGATTAAAAAGTACGGTAATGAGTTACCGAAGTCTCTTTTTAATTGAAATAACCTAATAGGTACTATGGTAACATTTTCCCCGAGCAGTATTACAAAAATTTTCTTACCTAATTATAGAAAGTTGTAAACAACTTTATAAAATATTAAGTGGCAACTACTAGAGACATCTGAAGTCGAGTTTCATCTAAACTTTATTCACTCCTAGTTTATATCATTAGACTTAATTGACTAGGCTGAAGACGATTTTATTAAAAATTACAAATTTTCCTGTGATATAGTTTATTTTTACCATAATAACAATATTATAGCAGTTTTTAAGCCTTCTTTTAGCCATTTAATATAAAATATATAAGATTATTTATTAATAAATAAATTACGATATTACATAAATCAATTTTACTGCACTATTACAGTTTCTCATAATCTTAATGCAAAAAGTTGAACTTTAGTTATTTATTCAATCTATTTCAATGTTCAGTGGAGAAATTTTTCTCTTTTTTTTCTTTCATTCACACAAAAATTTCTTCTCTTAGATAAAGGATAATAAAAAGCCCCTTTTCCTATTATTCCTTTTTAAATGTTCTTCTAATGTAGTTTCTTCTCAAAATTACTTTTTGAATCAAAAAAGTACGTGACATATTAAATTTATAAAATCTTTATGAAATTAGATGAGAAAACTTAAAACATATTAAAAATTTTTGAACTTTGATTTATCTCTGTTAAAGTATTGCAAATGTCTTATCATGAAGGTACTAAAATAGAATTCTGATATCCAAAAGGGGAACATGACAATGAGATAAAAGGAAATGATTGAAATAAAATTCACAATATAGTCTTCTTATGATCTAGTATATCTTCTTTAGACATTTGATATTTGCATAGTTTTCATATATAATTACATTCACTATTTGCGGCCAATCAGAAATAGTTTCTCTAAGATGCTTCAATGAGAAAGAGGATCCGTGCTTCATTTTTCGCTTACATTTCATTAGGATACCATGGATTTGTCATACTTTCTCCCAAATTCGTCAATTATTGGATCTGAATTTATTAATAAGAGATCTGATATAGCGATTCCTTACATGATTATCATGGTTACTGCCATATTCGTTGGAACAGTTGGAAATATTTTGGCAATTGGGGCAGTCCTTATCAATAAGGTTGGTCAACGATTACTTTTTTCTACATATAAATCATAAAGGCTTTTTAATTTTCAATGACAACTATTAGCATCTGAAAACCATTGGTAATATTTTTATTGTGAATCTGGCTATAGCCGATTTATCGGTTTCCGGTTTTGTAAACGTATTCAGCATTATCGGTCTTGTATATGGAGAAAAATGGTTTTTGGAAAGAAAAGGCATTTGTGAAGCTGTAGGCTCAATATGTCTAACAGCATGTCTCGCTTCTCTACTTTCTATTGGCGCCATTAGCCTTAATAGATATTTTCATATCGTGCAAAGAAATTTGCACAATAAGTTAGCATGAATTGTATTTATCCTTATATTACCTCTAAGACTTATGTATTGTATACTTTACAGAATTTATACTCTACGAAATACAATTGGAATGATTATACTTCTGTGGACAATATGCTTCCTGCTTGAAATGCCTAATTTTGACTTTATAAACTGGAACAATCATTCCTTTGACAAGAAGTCAATGACCTGTTTATGGGATAGGACGTATGCCCATTCTTATTCGATTTTTTTCATTACTGTTGGCGTTGTTTTTCCTATAATTTTGATTGCTTTTTGCTATTTGAAAATATTTCTTCATGTTAGACAAGCAAAGAGAAGAATCATGGCTGCAAAAAAAGGACAGGAAGCAGTTGAAAGTGCTTCTGCAGAGAGAGAAAAAAGAAATTCAATGCGCTTAGCAAGGACACTATTTGTTATCTTTGTTGTCTTTGCTTCATGCTGGCTACCGTATGGAGCTGTAATTCTTTACGATAAAGATGATAAATTACCTCTTGAAGTTCATGTTTTTGTATTAATTATTGCTCACTTCAATTCTAGTTGTAACAGTATTCTTTATGGAGTTATGAACAAACACTTTCGTCAATCATATGTCCAATTGTTGGGAATACACCACTTGGCATATCATATGTGTAAAGTGCGAATGTATTCATACAAACACGAGGAAAGAGATGCTCAATCAACAGTTATGACAAATAATAAGATATCTCAAAAGACTTTTATAAAATCGTAAAGCAGAGATCAATTGAGAGAATTTATGTTGTGTTTCAATTAAAACACATGTCAAAGATAATTACTATGTACGTGTATAAAGGAACATAATTTGTTGTCATTAAAAGCACACTTAATAAGTGAATTGTTTAAATAAAAATCAGCTCTTATACTATTTATAAGATTTTATTAGAGATTTTAATTTTAAAATGAACTGTTTATCATTAGAAGTTTCTACAATGGATTATCAAATACGATAACTTTTGATTAGATTAGCGTTGATTTTATCATTCATATTAAATATTATAGCCCTACAGCTTAAGTTAGACCTCTACTACCGATAGGGTTGTGATATTCATTCAATTGTGAGCAGCTACAAGAGAAAACGACGCTCAATAAACCTCTTTTATAAATTTTATATGATCTACACAGAAGATAAAGAGTAGAGTAAAAAAATTACATTTTTCCAATTGAAGTATTATAGGTAAGTCTATTTTCTTGCAAGAGAGAGAGAGTGTAAAGTTACCTGAATTTGTATATTTGCTTTTGTTAAGTAGTATGATATAGTTGTTTTCTTAATAAAGGAGATGTGGATTCCAATATTGAAAGATATATGATAAGTTAAATTACAAGCTATTTAAAATAATATACTTTAAAATAAACTGTTCGTGGATAGATTTACAATATGCAATTAATTTACAGCCCAACAGGATTTTCAAAAAAGCCTGGCACAAGTTCGGCCTCTTTTTAAACCTTTTCTGATGAGCTAAAAATGTCGTTACTGTTTGTCAACAGAAAGTAAGTACTTAGTAATTTCCTTCATCTTCCTATAATGTGTAACAAAACAATATTGAAATATCTACTATGGTGTTATTGATTTCATTCTACATTTTCCACTCAGATATATTAGAACGTGACTGATTTTTTTTTTTTATTATTTATTTTATGTACTTTAATGATTAATTAGAACAATGTACATAGTTTGCGAGATTTTTGGTTACGTTAAAATCATTACAGTTACTGGAAAATAGGCTTTTACTACAAAAATATATTTTTAATGTTAGAATTCAATGAGACGGTATAAACTCGCTTTTTTAAAATGCATCGATTATGCGTTAACAAGACGAACAAGCAGCATCAAGAGGCTTGTGTCTATTCTGAACATAGCAAATTTCCTTTTCATTAAAGAAATAGATAATGAATGTTTCTATTGATCTACTGCTGCTTTCTCATCCGAAATTCATTTTTATACTTTCTAAACACATCATTCTTATATTTTTCATTAATGTACAGAAACCTAACTGCTACATTATTTGGATTATGTTTTCTTACGTCTGTTTTTATTATCATTTATGATAATGTTGGATTAGGCTCAGTTATTAGGAGAGATAGCATTCAAGAGTCGTTTTCTACTTTCTACAACCCATTCCATATTTTATCCGAAGTAAACTGCCTTCAGAGAATGATGGTAGGGGAAAAAGAAGTAACTACTGTAAATATAAGGAATGCTAGTATTCCTGAGAAGAGTTATACACAATCAGATGAACATTTTTTACAGTTTTTAAGAAGAATAGGATGTTCTAATTTTCGAAAATTACGAAACTATCATAATAAACCAAAAACTGAAGAAGAAAGAGATTTTCCTATTGCCTATGGCATATTAGCACATCATAATATATTTCAAGTGGAGCTATTATTAAAATCTATCTATGAACCTCAAAATTTGTATGTTATACATGTGGATAAAAAATCACCCGAGGTAGTCCACGATGCTGCCTATTACTTGGCTTCTTGCTTTAATAATGTTCATTTTTTAAACCAGACTACTGTAGTCTATGCTAGTATTTTACGTCTTCGGGCAGATTTAAACTGCATGAAGTTTGCCTTGAATCAGACCATTCCTTGGAACTACTATATTAATTTAGTTGGGGAGATGATGCCAGTGAAATCTAATAATTATTTTGTAGATTATCTAAAGAAATTAAATGGAAAAAATTTTATTGAAATTTTAAATGGTAGATCACTTGTTAAAACTCGAACAAGGAAAAAATATATTATTAGCAATGTAAACAAGACACTTTTTATAAAGAGAACAAAACACTACAAAAAACACGTTCCCTTAAACATTACATTATTTAAGGGTTTAGCTTTAGGAATTTTCTCACGACCTTTTTTAAATTTCGTTATGAGTAATAAAAATGTCTCTATATTTCTTGAATGGCTTAACGATACATACAGTCCAGATGAAACTTTATGGGCAACGCTTAATGCAGGAAAAATAAATGGACACATCTTTAATGCTCCCTCCATAGAAAGGGATGAAAAGTTTCAAGGAAAGTCTCATGTATATGTAAAATGGATGTACGATAAGAAACAGAAATGCTATAGCAATCATATAATACGAAAAATATGCATACTTGGACTTCAAGATCTCATAAAGCCTATAACATCCAATATGAGTTTGTTTATCAATAAAGTTCGTATAGACATTGATCCAATTCCGGTTTATTGCTTAGCCAATAAATTTCTGACATAGCCTAGTAAAGTTAAAGAGTTGATACTTTCAAATATAAGACTCACAAGAGAAGGTTGTCATATATTTTCCTTGGGAAATATTTCTTTACTTGTTTTAAACCAATTTTTCTATTTAATTAAAAGTTAAACATTAATATGTTTTAATTAAATTAATTTTTTACAATAAATCGATAGTCAATATGTGTTTTTTGCTTGTCATTTTCCTTTTCTCACACATTTATTTGCAATTTAATGCTAGTTCTGTATGAAATGTTATGTTTTACAAAAAGTGTTTGTTGTAAAATAATTTATGTTTAAACACTTCTATGCTGAAGAAAGATAATAAGCTACCGCCATCTATCTTCTTATAATGAATTAATTATAAATCAGGATACCTCTATGCATGGTATTTATTTTCAGAAAAAATTCTTTATTTATTAAGGATGCAAATGAATAGACAGGATTGAAAAGTACATATAGCTTTGTTTGTTTATAGAGACTCTGAAATTTTTTAGGAAACTTGGAGTTGTATAACGATTCTAAGACGTACTCTTCATTGAATCCAATTTTCATACAATTTTGCAATTCAAAGGTTATCATTTATAAGATGGATACTGTTGGAATACTGTCACTGGAATGCTAAATACAAAATATCTATTTTGTTATTTTGTCAGAAAAACTGGAGATATAAGTCAATTCCAGTGGTCAAAAAACTTTCTTTTTGCGATGTTGTTTCATTGGAGAGCCCCAATTGAAACCGTAGTTCTAAAAAAGTATTTGAGCTAATCACGAATATCTACAATAAACAAAATATAATTACTACCTAAAATTTGTTATCTATTCAGTCATAAAAATCATAAAATACCCTAAGCTGATTGGCTAAACTACATAAACTATTACTTAACATTGTGGGAGCTTAGTGTTTAGGCAATACTAGTAGATTCGCCTACCACGGCTCTCTTATATTAATTTATTTATTGTATGTACAACTATATATACTGTATATAGCTTAGTGAATTACGACGATTTTCCTATTCAGTTATAACTATAGTCATAATAACGTTAATGTTTTAGTTATTGAATAGCTTAAAGAAAAAATATTATTAATGTTTGCAATAAAAACTAATTCATATAATAATGAAAAGACTAAGATTTTAATTACTATTCCATTATTTTCTTCCCCAGGCGGTTTATGCTTAATTTTAAGGCGTCATTAGTACTTTTAAAAAAAAGGATAGCTAGATTTTCGTCCTTTATTTAGCTCATTGATTGAGGTACAGAATAGCGAAACGAGATAATTTAACTAGTCATTGTATAGTAATTTAAGCAAGAAATAGAAAGAAGATATCAGCAATTTTTGTCTAAATTAAAATAAGAAAAATATATGCTGTACCAATTTCATTTTTGACATTTACTGAGATCTTTCATAGGTTTCATTAAATATTTATATATATTCTAAACATCTAAGTAAAATTTGAATAGAAAGATCACCAGTATCATCTTTATTCTAAGCTAACGATAGCTTGTCAATATATCAAATATTTGCAAAATAGATAATAACATCCGTCTTATAAATTCTGTGTTTTTTTAAAGCGAAATGGCTTCTATAAATAGCAAAATGTTTATTTTTAGTTCTTTTATAATTTACATCTACATCTTTTTTGTATATATTGTATATAGTGTATATAATATTTACAAGATCGCTAAATATCGTATAAACAATATTTTAAAGTGTAAGTTATTGAATATATCAACATATATACATGTATATATAACTTTGAGTTCATTCATTTTTATTTCATGTATATACTTAATTAGTGCAAATTTAAGCTTCATAATTATTACTCTTTGTCTTTTTTGTCTTTTTTATCCTTCACTAAAATTTATAGAAATCAAAACTTTTATATAATAATAAAGATTTTATCCGTTATATCTAGAGCTAAAACACTGTGTATTGAATGATTTGTTTTAATTGATTAATACGCATTTTTCAGCAACAGAAGCTACTCGGAGTTTATTTTTTAATAGAAGCGATAAAAATAAAATCATTCAAGTAATATTAAAATTCATCGCAAAAAAATACTACAAGGATCAGAGTTGAATAGCAAAATACGATTACATTAAAGACATGAATTCAGCAACATTTGAACATTGAATACAAAGCATTGTTTTGTTTTTCTTTTTCCTTTTGGAGTCTAAACAAAGTTAAAAGAAAAAAATTAACTGGAATTTATCTTTCAGAAAGATTCCTTGGACATTGCAGATTGAAGAAGAAAAGAAAACATAGCAGAAAAGTATATATAAATAGAAAGAATTATTGAACTGATGACAATATCTTTTCTTCAATAAGTAGTCACACAAAAAATACATATACAATGTAAATATATACATAGCTTTCATAAGATACTTCTGGAAAGGGGCAAGTGCGTAGAATAAAGTTTGTTTTGATTTTTTTTTAATTTTTTTTCAAGTTTCGTTCAAGAGAATCAGAAAAATCCTTTTTTTAGTTCTTTTTTTTTTAGGTAAAAGAATGCAGGGAAAAAATTTAGCTAGAGTATGCTTCACATCGCATTCCACAATATTTTTTAGCACTTTTAGGTATGCAGATAGTTACAACCTATCCCTTTGCATAACTTGCATTCGCAAGTATCTGCTACGTATAAATACATAAAAGGATCAGGATGGTTTGGATCACAATCCAAAAGCTTTACTTTTTTCAAAGTTTTACGACCATACGAACAAACAGAATGATTCCATTGAAAATCTGGTATATCCCATGTATCACATCTTCCCCAGCATATTGGAACTTGAATCGTATGGCGGCACTTAAGGACGGATGTTGCGTTAATTTTCAAATCTTTGTTCAAATTCATTTTGTGACTACTATTGAAACATCCAAATTCCGTTCCCTTTCTTGATTTCTCGTCGGCCTTTACCATATAAAAAATTGCTAAAAGAAGGAAAAGTTTGGTCCATAGTAGAGTCATTGCTTCCACAAAAGTGTCTTCAATCCCTATAAATTCTATCTGTGGAGGCGTCAGCATGACAAAAACGGCGCCATCTATTGAACGCAACGCTAAAATATGCAAATTTTTTCGCTCTTTCCCACCATAAATGGCATTAAAACGGTTAATAAAGTATTATCAATTTAATATTTATCAATTCCAAGTTCATTTATTACATAATTGATATATAACTAAACTATTTACTTTTATTTAATATGTAAACACAATGAATATAGATGACAGACCATTAGGAAAGTTACACACAATTGAATTTATTTTTACCACAACTCTCCTTTACACATTGAACACTGACAAACTGTAGCCGACGTAAATCTAAACTTTCTAAGACCATTATGGCACCATGTAGTCATATAAACGTCTTCAGTTTGGAGAGCGGTACAACATGAAGCTTTTGACTCGAGTTTTTCTGTTTTAGAATTAGGTGAATTAAATGGTATTGGTAGTGTATAGCTTTCGCAATGTCCTCGGCAAGCATTTAATTGAACTCTAAACCGAACACAACCTCCAATTTCAATTAGTCTAGTGTGACCTGTAAAAAAAAAGAGGAAATTTTTAACTCTCCAGCGTCCTCTAAAATTAGAGTCGACTTTCACGTCGAATCCTTTAAATGATAGAATATTCTACACAATTATCAGTCTTTAGCTGTTTGGACAGCTTTTAATATTTTCATCAACAAAAGAAAGTCTATACTTAACTCTCACTTCAGGAAAGCATCAAAACTCCTTCTCAAGTTTCAGTACAAGTATATAGAATAAATGAACGAGTAAACTACTTTTGACTTGATTTATATTTTATTAATCGTTGTTGTTTTAACTTATCCATAGGCCTAGTGGAGTTCTAGAACTGACGCTAACGAGACTCACGCATTGAACGTCTACAGCTAGCTGTTAGAGTATTTTTTCTTAATTGTCGAGCTTGGGGAGTAATAATTTTAAATTATGCTCAAAGTCCATAAAACGCTATTCAAATGATAGTAAAAACAATCTCTTTTCCATCGTTTATCATCAAAAATAGTTTCATTGAGAATACATTACTTTACCTTATATGTACTGTTCTAGCCTTAAAATTTACTTTGTTAAACAATTTTTCAAAAATTGGAACAAACCCAATCTATGACAGCCAACTTTCTGCCATGCTTTCTGGGAAAAAGTAAAGGGAAGAAGGATAAAAACGATATATAAGACTTTCATCATCTCGTCGACGTTGCGCCGCACCGAATGGCGTCGATAAATATACTGCACGCTTAATAGACAGATACATGGATTTATGGTTGTCGTTAGAATTTTTGTTTCTCGACTGTTTAAAGAATACAAATTTTTTACTCATTATTCTTAAAGAAAAAATTTATTATAAAAGTATAAAGGAACTTGAATCTATACAAACTGATGTATATAACGTAAAAAAAATAACAGTCAACTTAAAAACGCATAACATTTTTTTATGAAAAGATAAACGCTTCTAAATGCGCATATTAAAGATAAACGCATGTACATAGCATGCGTATGTCTTCAAATTTGTTTACATGGTGATAAATCTGCTGAAATGAATATAATATATACATATATATATATACAGTATATATGTATATGGATAAATTTTCTCTTTGTTAGAGTATATATTGGTAGACTAGTAATTCTTCTTTTTAACTAAAAAGAAAAAAAAACACATCTCTTTATTTTATTTGCTGTCTTTATTACGTGTATACTCTGTGAAGAACGGTGTTTATTTTTAGAAAATTATTTATTATGTTTGGCTGTATCTTGCTAATTAATGTATCTGTAGTACTTTTGTGAAGGAAATTAAGTCAATTTCATTACAACTATTTGGAATTGGCAATCTTATTTACTTTTCTAAAAGTATCCTTCGGTCAAAAATATACATATATCATTTATGCAATATACTAATATATTAGTATATACAACTTTTTTGAGATTCAAATGATTATATTAAATATATATTTAATGGATATTTAATCAATTAAATGACTCATAAAGAAAGACACAACTCACAACGTCGGTAAACTATCAAGATATTTAAGTTTATTAAATAATTAACTGGTTATTTTAGTTGGTAACATTAAGGAGATCTGCTATAATAAATCTATAGTACTTCAAAGTATTGTCTCCTCCGGTGCAACCTAATTTTACCTGTAATAATTAGCTATATAGACGAATTTCAAGGAAAAACCTATTAAGAAGTCACAACCGAGCGAGGTATGCTGATTCGATGAATATGATTTTAAAAAAAAACTTTGTTATAAAAATAAAACCAAAAAAAAGATAAAAACTTTTCACTTATTATTATAAAAAAAGGATGAAAATTAAAGGAAAGTTTATTATGAAAATAGTAACAAAACTAAAAAAAAGAGAGAGAGAGAGAGAAAGAGACAATTATAAAGAAAGAAGAAAGCTAGATGGTAAAAGAAATAAAGACAAAAAAATTAACAATTGTATCTTTTTATATATTAAGAAGAAAAAATTAAAAATTAAAAGAACCCTAGTTTTTCTTTTAGTAAAATGGAAATCGAAAGGGATTGTATAAAAATAAATCATCGTCATTTTTTATCTAAGCCTAGAATATATCGACAGAAGAAAAAATAGTTTTTAAATACATATTCAAATACATAAAAACGTATTGTACCAGAACATCTTTTTTTATATAAATGCATGGTTAATTTAATATATTTGGGTGCGTGAAACACCTAATATAGGCTTTAAATATATTTATTTATTATTTTCATATACGGCTAACCTTTTTATACTGACTGCCTTGTTCTTCAATTGTGCTTTCTACCCTACCGATATTGACATAATTTTCGTTCAATAAATATAATATTCCTCTCGGATAATTTTTTCAACAGTTTCCTAAATATAGACCTACATGTATATAATTTAAGCAGATAATTATTAATAGCTTTAATATTTATTTATTTTTTTAAGCCCAGATAATCAAATAGAACATTAGCTTATGTTGAGTAACCGAAAACAGGACAATTTTTAAAAATGAAAAACAAAAAAAACAACCTCCTTTAAATCATTTTTATCTGTTTACTAAGTATAAACACAAATTTTTGTGTGATCACGTAAACTCCAAGTGTTTAGGTTCGTGTATATATAATAACGCCATCTACTGGAAGATATTCAACAAATATTTTTTCGCAATCGGTGAACCGAGACCCTTTTATTGTTGAATCGAATGACTTAGTAGGCGTGTTTCTGAACAGCGAAAAATGTCTTCACTGGATACGACTGAAGTTCGCGGGGAAATGCGAAGAGTTTCGTTTTCGGATCATACAATAGATATTAGAGACAGCTTGAACAAGAAGGAATCCAACTCTACAACGCAATCTGATGAACAGGCTAGTGCTATGGAAGACATTGAAATTGACGAAAGCCCAAGAAGGAGTGTACGAGATAGAACGCCCACACCTCCCATACTTCATGAATCGAAACTTTCAAAAGAGAAACCCCCTCCTTTCACAGTTCAGAATGGAGATATCATATCATCTATAAAACTAGGAAGTGCCAAGAATCAACAAGCTCAACAGAATGGCTTCATTCAAGAACAATTACCTTCCAGTATCAATTATGATTCATCAATGGAAATAGCTAACATAGTAATGGGAACGGATGAACCAGTTGTAGATGTGGCAGATGTCGTAGATGTCGAAACTAGCACAGAAAGCGAAGAGCATAAGCCCACAACAACTTTGGAAATTGGTAAAAAACCAACAGAAAACGCTAATCAACAACGACCCATTTTAAAAGAAATTAACTTTAATCCTGACATAGTTGTAAATAATTCGACAGTGATAACGAGTGGGTTAGATTTTGATAAAAAGAAGAAACGAGTAATAAAAAAATCTTCGAATCCCTTACCAAAGACTACAAAAATTGAAGATGAAGGTTTCTCCAGTAATCATTCGACGCCTATTGGAACGTTGGAAAGAGAAAAGAAAGTTACTAGCTATAACCAGGTTAATGCTGTTCAGAGAGAAATCGCAAATGATAAAAAAATATTGAAAGAACTGAAATTAATCGATGACAAAAAAAAGCCTTGGTATAAGTCCAGTTTAATTTACATTGTCATTGGAAGTATTCTTCTTCTTTTGGCTATAATTGGTGTAATAATTCTGGCTGTTGCGTATGTTCAAAGGTTAGTTAATGACAATTTTATAGTTCATTTCACATTTTCAACTGACAAAAATGACCCTCTAGCAAAACTATTGATTGGAACGAAGACAAGGGGGAAATTATTTCCAAGTATAAATTGGACAATGTTAAAAACCAATTTCTAAACAATGTACTAGTTTCACCAAACTCGTTTCCTAATTCAAATTACTACCTATTTGAAGCAGGGAGTAAAATGTTTTGGTTTAAAATAAACGATGCTGAGGGATTGACTTTGACCTGGAATAGAGGAAGGGAGGTGAAAATTCATTCAATTTCCCCTTCAAACTATTCCACACAAATTCTCGGTGACTTCCTACGAGAAGATGGTAGCAAAGAAGCGATTTATAGCATTCATCTATCATCCAATAGATGGCATGCCGCTGAATATTGGTCGACAGATGGATTTTCTTTCGTCGCAGTCCGGCGTCACTCTGGTAAGATTGTATTATGGTTACTAAAGCTCAATAAGATTATTAATTTTATAACATAAAACTTACTTATTGACCATATATTAAGTATTTATTAAATTTGAAATTTAACACTCCAAAACAGGAAGTAGTCAAGCCTTTTCAGTTCCATCTTCCTCCGACACCGATAAATTTCCGAAGGCTTTTGAAGACATAACAAAAAAATTTACTAAAAGTTAAGGACTGGTGTCTAACGTTCTTCACATATATATACAGTATGAAATGACATATTAAATGGTGATCTTTAACGTTTTTTACTAAACATTTCTTCGTAGCTTTCTTGGTTTCTGGCTTATTTTTGGATCTTTTTTTTTCTACTCTTTTTTTATATTTATTACTTTTAATTATAAATTTTTTATTAATCTTGTTTTCTTTTTTTTCGCCTTTTTTTATTTTTTAAATTAAAACTATTGTAAAACTTTTTATTAACAATTTTTTTCGTCTGCTTCCTATAATTCTCAATATACAAAACCTTTTTGACCCTACACGCTTATCAATTATATTACTTCCACAACTACGCTAAAGATTTACCCCTCTTTCACCCTACCGGAAGCAAATGCAATGACGTCCTTGACAAAAGATCACGTGACTCTTTCGATTGAGCCATCGAACGAGGTCAATAGACGCAAGTAGAATGAGCCAACTTTATCTTATTTGTTTACTTTGGACACATCGTATAGAACGTCACCCAGTTAACGACAAATTTTCTAGGCTTAGCAAAGCACACACTTATTCCGTAAAAGTTCAGGACTTAGCGTCTTATTTACTGAGTGACGTTCGTCTTTAATTTCTAGGTCAAGGAAGTTGCTAAGCGTAACTCAAACGACCGTAACGCCTCAGGCTTGATATACTTATCGCGATCATTTTTTCTACCTCTTTATTATTTCGTCTGTCGCAACTGTTACCAAGTTAGTTATAAAGCAGACGCTTTTTATCGACCTTGACGCTTTTTTAACATTTTCATCACTTGTTTACGTTGTTGAGAAAAGCATTCTGCATTTCACGGAAAGCGGTTAGAAGTTAAGGCGTATGGGAAAGAGCAGAGCGGAGTGGAAGTAAAACTGCTTAGAACCCAATATCGGCGTCACTCTTGAAAAAGGGTGTGACGTCAAACGTCGGCAAAAAAGCAAGTTCAATTGAGTGCGTCGTTCCAAATTGAGAATACGTATACGTCGTTCGGTACTCGTGTTCTAATTATTATGGCAGAATACATCGAAAACCTTTAGTGTTAACCGTTCGATGAAATATATACGGTTTTTATGTACAATGTACAGCTTACATACTGTATACAAAATATATTGTATACATTGTAAATAAACTATCATACAGTAAGAGTCTATTCTTAGTGGTAAAAAACGCCGATAATAAAGTGGCGTTCCTTTTTCTTGGGCGCATTTAATCTTATACTATTCAAGGCGAAAAGCTACACAAGAGTACTCGGTGGCATTTGCTTATTCGACCAATTGTCGCACTCGTTCGTAGTCGATCGAATGAACCGCAAAATTGGCGTTTGTTGTAATATAAGCTTATATACAATTCCGGATCGACTCTGATAAGTTGGGGTCTAAAGCAATTAGGTCGAATTTCTCCCTCTTTTTCTACTCAAGTATTTGCGAGATGGTCACTAAATAATGCATAGGGTCGTTTCTTACACACATGATTTCTAAAATTATTATTACTATTATTATCGTTATCATTATTATTATTTAATCATTGTTTTCCTGAGGTTGTTAGTAGTATTGCTATTATTATTATTATCATTATTTGTATTTTCGGATTTTTTCTTATAATAATAATTATTATTATTATTATTATCATTAGTTCTACTTTTATTTGATTTGTATTCTAATGATTAGTACTTTGTTCTGTCTCTATTTTTTCCTCCTAAAGAAAAAATCTTTATACTGAACGAATTTATATTTCTATATCATACTACACCCACGTTCCACGTGTGCCGTAAAGCGCCTCCTAGCAACTGCAATATATAACACGGGTACAGCAAACGCTTGCGGTCGTCGTCGTCACGCTTCGATCAACCGCCACAGTGGATGCCGCTACGTCGTCCCGCGCCGCCACTGGTGCCGCTACACCCCCGCGAACGCTCAATTTAAGGAACGTCATGGGTACGGCATCTTCCAGCCCTTCCCGTCATTACTCTATCGGGTCAGCGAATTCGCCTCCATTAACTGAACGCCGGAGGTTATCAAGTGTTGAAGGAGCCTTAACCAATGTTCCATCACGAAGACAAAGAGTTTCTGTAACTTCTTTGTCGTCAATGAGAAGTAGCTTTGAATCGCCGAGTAAAAAATTGAGCAGAGATAGTTCCTTAGAACAAGGATCACCAAGTAAGAAATTATCGATGTGCTCCCTACAAGATCCTGCTAGATTATCTATATCATCAGCTGTTGTCATACCAGCAAGAGGATCACTAGATTCAGGATATAGCGGTTCATGGAGATCGTCCGTTTCTTCTGCCAGATCAAGATCAAGGTCTAGTTTTGAAGCTTATACAAGGTCTAGATCTTCGGTTGATAGTAATATCATTTCGGTTATAGCGGGTAATTCAACCGGAATGGAGCAGATTCATGAAGAAAATGAAGCCATATCAGCAGCTGAACAGTTCGCTTTAAGACATAGTAGATATGTGGCTGTTGAAGCTGAAAAGGTTGCTAGATGCGTCCTAAGGTTTGGTAATTACGGTGGCAAAGAAAGTGATAAACCAAATTGTAATTTAGGAACATTTTCAAAACCGCATGCCATTGCAGTCTGTCAAAGATCGGGAGATATTATTGTTGGTGAATGGTCTTCGGAGATTATTCAGGTATTTGATGCTCGAGGTGATTATAAAACCTCTTTTGAAGTTGGTCTAGTTCATGGTTTATCCGTTCTACCAGACGGGAACTTAGTAATAGCCTCGTCGAAGGGCGTTGAAACCTATACCAAGGACGGTAAAAAAATAGAACAAGTTACTCCCAATCTCGCAACAAGCGTTGCTTCCGCTCCAAAATGTTTGATAACCGCCGAACACTCCTCTGTAGATATCTATGGGGAGGATGGTCGTTTATTAAAACGTATCCGGAATTCTAAATTACCATCTCTAATCTCGAAAGTATTACACCGTCATTTTGCTTTGAAACGAATTGTTGGAGTAGCTATAATGCCCAGGGACTATTCAATTGTATTGTTAGATGCGGAATCCCGACTCCTATTTGTATTTAGTGAGAAGGGACGTTTCTCGCACGCTATAGTTCCGGCAGAAGAACCTTGCGGCGATTTGAAAGGTCCCCAGGGTATTTGCGTCGATTCTCGGAATAATATTGTTGTAGCCGATACGTATAATCATCGCATCGTTCAATTCTCTCCTACCGGTAAATACTTAGGGCTTGTCGAACAGTTTTTAAATAACAAACAAAATGCTGGCGGTTGGTATCCACATGGTGTCTCATGTACGAACGAAGGACATTTGGCAGTTACCGTGACTGGACATAATTTTGCAGAGGTTAGATTATACCGGTATAAATAGAATGTGAACAAATTGCATTTATATTAAGTGGCTATATTCCTTTCCGTTTATATACAAATAAATCTGGATATGTTTATATATATATATATATATATATATATATATATCAGAATATATATATGTATGTATACATTTTTTATATAAATGAATATACTGTATATAGTTTCTTATGATAAAAATCTTGATAAAAAGAAGAGCAAGTTTATTTACAAGATGTATTTTTTTGTTTCTTTTTGGATAAAAAAGAAAATATAAGAAAATTGATTAAAAAATAAATACTTTAAAATCTCAATTTTTAAGGTTAATCCTTATTTTCATATTCCTTCTACTTATTATATCATCTTAATCTTCTAAAGATGGAATCTAGTACATTTTTTACAAACGTATAAGTGTAAAAGAGATGCTTATGAAATAGTCCTGACAAACAAGTAATTACATTCTATATGCGCTATTCGCCCTCCCCCGCAATCGTTAAATATACAGTATGCTATCTCACCGCATAGATTGCTTCATATGAAAAGAGGATAAGTATGATTAGTATTATACAGAGAATACACCGGCATTTTATATAAATTCGTCTTTTAGCTACATGATATCGTATTCCTGTTAATAAGAAAGGAATTCGTTACTACTTGTTTATATAGTCATTATAATTACTGAATAAGGTAAGTATTTTCATGGATGGACTTTGTTTATAGTGTCTACACCGGATAATATATTATTGCATTAGACTCTGCATATATTACTTTGCTTTTCTCATAAAATAAGCGCATAAAAGTATTTATATTGTGAATATTACGTCCAAGACGAGATCTTTCATAGATTAAACATGGACGGTTTCTTTCCTTACAGATTTTACTAAATATCAAACAAATATACTTGATACAGTAATTTTATGTTTTTGTTAAGTACATAGTACTTGTAAGGGTACGTGCTAAGTTTCGCATATATCAGAATATATTTCCTCATTTTTCACCTTTCGTGAGGTAAGACTTTAACTTCATTTCAACCTTAAATATCAATATAAACTGTTATACACTCGTCTCAACAATCTATCTCATACAAATATTTTTTCCCTTCAAACATTCCAACTATAATATATACGTATAGATACTCTATATATGTTGTATATATACTGAATATATACAGTATTATAGTAAGTAGATTAATGGCTTTACAATACTTGATTCGCCAATAGCATCTTATATAATTAGTATTCATTATGCTAAGGCATAAATTACGTAAAGTATCACATAAAGATCGAGTAGATACGTAGTATCATTCTAGTAATTGGACTATTTTACAAATGTAAGACTTGTTAATTATTAATAATAAACTCGGATCGTAAGCGGTATGCCATCGAATAGTTTGTTTTTCATTAACCCAAAAAAGACTTGTTTTCTCCTACTTTTATCATCTTATACGATCCATTTCAGAATATATAGGTAAAGGATGATCTTTAACGCTATATTAGAACCAACCACGTTTTTCTGTTGTATAATAAACATATTATCCTTTCCTAGTCTTTGTTCCAATTCTTTTGCTTTTACTTCTTTCTATCTATTTATCTTATCCTCTTCAGCGTCTTTCAATCTCTTCTTCTTTCTAGCTCTTTCTGCCTTTTTCTGTCGTTCTCTGTCTCTCTCTGGCTCTGTGTCTATCCGCTTTCTCCCCCTCTCTTTCTCTTTCTCTCTCTCTCTATCTCCCCAGTTCTATTCACCTTGCTCTCTGTGTCCTTTTATTCTTACACTTTACACCATCTATATGGATATGAAATCAATATATGAATAATATTGACACTTGTTTTTTTTTACCGAGAAATTTCTCCTCAATCTCTCTTATGACAAAAAAATTATTGTTTACCAAATACACTCAATTCTAAATGACTAGATTTCGAGTATAATGACACAAAACGGTACTGAACTAATTGGTGGTATTATAATGAGGTCAAAACATGATGTCCTTGTACAAGATTATGACGAAGCAAAATTGATAAACAACTGGTACAAAAAAAAACTAATATAAAATGTCGCATAATTCAGTGTACGCGTTCAAATTACCATGGTAGAGTCTTAAAGGAAATCTAAGAATTGTATTAAAACTTACTAGAGGAACACAGTAGTTTATTATTTTAAGAAAATTTCGTTGTTTTCTTTCTTTTTCCGTTATCCTGCTATTTTCTTATGTAATACTTTTATATAGAGAAAGAAATAAAGTTAAAAAAACCTAATATATACTTATAAAAAGTTCATAAACGACCCTATATGTTGCCCAATTACCCCCAATATCTGCGAAATACGTTTCTGAGCGAATGAAAAAGTAGGTTGCCATAGCAATACTATACTTGTTTCTACTGGCATTTAGCCTTAGGAAAAAAAACAGTATCAAAAACGATTCAACATATTATCTTAAGTAAATTTGTTCCAAGATTAATTTTCATATTGGTGGGTGAGAAAATCTATCGTGAAGCTTTAGGTGATGAGCTATGGAAACATTATCCTACGTAATTAAAATTTATTCGAATTAATTTTCTAGCCCTACATACTAGGAAGTCACAAGAGGTCTATGAACTCTAAAGAGATTTCAAACTCTTGTAATTTGCGTGTTAATTCGTTTATAAACGAAAGACATAAACGAAAGAAAACACTTATTCGACTTCTTCGTTTATTAAAGTGACAAAAGAGCACGAAAAGCATAAATTGAACATTACTAGATATATTTTGGAAGTGAAAAAAATAAAAAAAGGCGGGATATAGTTAGACATTTAGAGAAAAGTATCAAGAGAATAAACGCATAAAGAGTCTCAGTCAGGGTGGGGAAAGAAAGAAGAGAAAGATAGTGGGAGAGAAAAGAAACAACACACAAAGCCCTAATAGTCTCGGAGTAATGCATCAACTGGTTTGTCTAAAAGTCACCCCTACTCCATCTTAAACGACTCTTGTGTATCGCTTCTTATTATCATTATAATGAAAATCATTATTAATTATTATTATCAGCGTTATTATATCTAAAACAAAGTAAATAGTCTAATTTATAGACTTGTAGTGCGTATATAATGCAACGAATAAACAAGAATTAATAACAAAATTAAATAATTTATATATTACTTAAGATTTGTAATAAGGAAATCTATTAAATTAATTTTTTGCTATAAATTTTTTTTTTCTTTTTACAATATCAACACTTTTTTAGTTTCTCCTTCTCTTACCGTGTCAGCTGGTGCAATTAATTAAGAACTCGGATCACAGATTTTGAACCTTTGAGGTTTAATTTGCCTCCAAAACTTATAAGTTATCTTCCTATGTATGTATAGGATTTTTAAGGTTATAGCTTATGATTAATCATTTTTCTTATCAATAGTTTATTTCAACTTGAACTTTTGAGAGAGTATGAAAAAAAAACGTTTTTCCAATAAAATATTGTCTAGATTATATCACGTATTGTAATAACAACTGTATTACTTAAATATGTTTCTTTTACCACGTAAGTGGAATCTTTTAAAGGTACTATCTTTCGCTAAATTTCAGAACAGATCTTCTCTAAAACCAAAATAGCTCTCGTTGACCGAAACAAATGTAAATTATTCAAAGTTAATAATTTCCATTAATAAAATCTTTTTCATTTAAATGTCTGTTCTTTTATTAGAAAAAGACGAATAGTATTTAGTTATATTTAGCATTGGACGCTTTCCCAATTCTTTGCGTTACAATATAACGCAATAAAGTCATCACCTTATTCCTTGTCTATGAATCTAAGAGAAGATTATTAAGAGGATAATAATGGTAATTATTATTATTATAATTACAAGTTCTAATAAGAATACTCCATTCTTAATAATTGAATTCAAATTTTTACCTGTAGCACATTATTTTTTATGCTTCTTTTTGAGTAATTGCAATTAACGAAATAAAATAAAATAACCCATTATTGTCTACTGTAGAACAAATGATGTTTTAGAACAAAAGATCTATGGATTGATGACGACAAGCGATAGTTATAGAGAAAAGCGTTAATAGTAAAACCTACGCTGTATTTGTATTGAAAATACGATAGAAATTGATTTTAGTATGCAAATATGTTTTGCTAGTCGGCTACGAAGATCGCTGAAATAATTGACATCAATTCGAAATTAGCCATGCTAGACCTGAGGGGGCTCTACTTATATCCATACGTCAAGTCAAATGCTACCCGTTAAATATAATATATATATACATAAGTATATACTGTATATATATAAATTTATATGAGTATAGTATACCGTATATTATATATATTTATATATAAGAATAAAGACATAAGTATGTTTATACTTGTGTTGCTTGTAAAAATTTATATTTCTATACTTTTTATACATAAAGACCATACATTTAATAAAATAGGTCTGTGTAAATGATTGCTTTCTTTTACTGATTTCTTTCAGTTCATTCCGTTTATCTTACTTGGAAATCCAAAGTATATTTTCTTTATGAAATATTCTTAGAAGAATAAAAGCACTGAGCAACGGATGAATAATTAATTCATTGTTACTGTCAATATCATCGAAAGTAGGAAAATAAGGTAAAAAAAGACCGTTGCAGAATATATATAATATATCTACATTTCATACTGAATATACAGAATATACTGTATATATATATATATATATATATATATATATATATGTAGAAACATATACATATATATACTGCTCGTACAAATTATACATAGGTAACGTATATAATATATATATAATACATATACTTATAAGCTTTAGATGGCACTACCATATAACTCCTATCTAGTTTGAGAATGGTACTTTAAAAAGGAATTTTAATGGTAAAATTAAAAAAAACAGAATCATCGCAGTTTTCTCGTAATCATTGGAAAGTGAAAGGGAACTTTTATAAAAAAAGAATTTCTTCTTTTATTTAATTTGAATAAGCTTCTCATACTGGCAACAATAACAATAAAGGCTTTAAATGGGCTATACATTGTAAAAACACAAAAAAGGCGAAGAATTTCAAAAAGCAAACATGCTTCCCTCTCAAGTTATTTTACTTCATAGTTTTGTCTTCTCTATCTTAGCTATTATTTCCTTAAGTTCACACTTTCTGAGATTTACTTTCCATCTCCTTCACAATTTTATACAAAAACTTTATTTGATCGAGGAAGGATACTTCCTAGAATATTCTCTCAACTAATTATACATGATTTTGACGACTTCGATGCATTTTCCTTTCTTGGATGTTTTACTTCTTGTTCCTGGTCCGGAATAGTCTCATATAGAGGTTCATCATTTTGCGATTTCCGATTCTCACTTTCCGCTTCAGTTTCATTTCCGGATGGAGAAAAATAATTAGCGCTGATAGGCTTTTCATAAGTTTGTTTCGGAAGCTTGTGACTCATATTTGACTCTGTATTTGATCTAATAAAAAATTGAAATAAGAAAAAAAAGTTTGGCGTTTAGTTTTTGCCTCACTTTGCAGTCGACTTCGTTAGCGTTACTGTACTATATAACTCTTCTTTTTTATTAGATTTTGATTCTTCGCTTTCTCCTATTTCCGTTTCACTTATCTCATTGGAGTTTGATTTTCGACATGAATCACTTTTCCTTTTTGATTCATCCTTCCTTAAAATTTTACTGTCCGACGAACATAGTACATCTTGCATTGGCTCTAATATCTTACTATATAATTCTTGCATGCGAGCTCTTTCACTATCGTCATCTTCTGTAAATAAAAATTCTTTAATGTATCGTTATCATAAATTATCATAAGACATGTAGCGTAAAACATATATTTATATGGATTTTCAAACCTGACGAAGCTTTTGGTGCGGGGGAGTCATTACCGGAGAGGAGAGGTCTACCGTGGCGCCGACTTCCTGCTCCAGGAGAAAAAACATTTTTTCCCTTAACCGAGCTCTTCCTACGTTTTATTGCCCTTCTTTTTAAAGCCTTATCTTGAACATCAGATATAGTAGTGTTAATTTCAGGATTATAGTCGGGTTCGTCGTAGCTAAAATAAAAAGGAGAACATATAAACTCCGTATAAACACCTGATAAACAAAGTATACATACCTATCTTTATGTGTCAACAAATACGTTGAATCCAATGTACCCAAAGGAACAATGCCTTTTGCTATGAATTCATGTTTTATCGGAAGTTGATTAACCCTACTCCCTGAGTATTTTCTGTAGAGAGAATTTTTAGACTTTGAAAAGATAGTTGGTACATTTAATTGACCAATTAATTAATTAAATAAAAAAAAAGGAAATAAAATAAAGGAAAATCTAATTAGGTCAAATATAATTGATATAAAGAGTATCTAAGGGAACAAAAAGTGGGAGGGAAAGAGTGATTGCTGTAAAATAGAATTAAACAATAATGTTAATGATATTGTTATTAAAATATTACTGATGTTACAATTTCTCTTAGCTTAGCTTGCCTATTGTTTTAAAAGATAACAAAGATATGAATTTTGACCTTGCTTCCATATCTTTTATTCATGTAATAAAATCATTATCACTGTTTTTTTTAAACTTGTAGTTTAATCTCCTTGTACGCGATGTGTAAAGTAAAAAGAATCAAAGTTATATATATCTTACCTTTCTGTTTTGGCATCATTTTTCGGCTCGGTAGACAGTTTCGTCGCTTTATATCTTTTTTCTTCGTTAACTCTATTTTCTAGATCTTTTATATTTTTATTTACGTCCTTTTTCATATGCTTTGGGGCTACTTTTAAAGATTGAATAAGACAACCCTTTAACGACTCCCAATCTTCTTGGATATAATATAATGCTGACATATGACCATAGCTAACCCATTGAAGATCCTTCGGGCCTATATTTATTACGGTTAATAAGCATTCTTCGCACTCTTGTAGTTTATTTGTTTTGAAATATGCGTAAGCCAAATTGATTGCTGTTTCTGCTTGATATCTGTTTACTTGTATTTCTTCGTAAATCTGAAAGGCTTCTTTATGGAATTTCAACGATAAACGATACTGGTCACTCAAATTCATAACAACTCCTAAATTTTGTGAACTAACAGCAACCAATTCGTTGTTCTTTAGCTTTCTCGATACGGCACGGGCCCTTTCAAAACACTCGACAGCCAACTGTAGAGCACCAATTTGGGTAAATAAAATACCTATAGTATTGTTCACAGTGGCGCTATATTCGCCTGCAATATCTAATACTGAATATTTCTCAAGGATTTGCTTTAAATATTCATAACTTCTTTCATAATCTTTGGCTTGGTATAGATAGCGTGCAGTATTAATTAAAAAGTCAATTTGTAAACGGCTGGAAATACATAATTTTGATATTTTCGAATTAACCAGGGCAGCGGAACCAACTTTTCCATCTTTTACATAAATTTTAGATAGAGAATAACACAAATTATGTAGATCTTGATCATCAAAATCTATAGATTTGCTCCTTTCTATTTGTTTTAAAGTCTTTTCATAAAGTTTAACGGATTTCTCAAAGTTTTTTAGTTTCTCATATCCAATTGCCAAATTAAAATTTCTATAAGCACTTTCATTCGTTATTGAATTATCAATTAAAGGTGTTAGTAATTCAATTCCACGTTTTATATCGTCCTCTTTTCCACATTCTATATATGCAGCTGCCAAATTTTGAACGCATTTATTGATTACGCTTACTTTTTGTATTTGTTCTGCATAAGTCAAGCATTTTTTGAGTTCTGAGAGAGCGCCGTTAAAATTTTCGCCAATTAAAAATTCATATCCTTTTCTTGTAGAAAAAACAATTTTATCCATTTCTTTTTACATTAGCTTGATATCGAAAGTAGTGTTTTCATAGTTGTCGGGAGTAACATGAAAACTGGTAGTATTTTGTGCTATTTGCACAGGATGAAAAGAGTAATCTTTCTTTTTGTATTTTTTTTTATAGAAATTTATCTTCCAAATATTTTATTAAATTTATACTAAAAATTTCTCAAAGAATTGATTACTAAATAAATATTATTATTTATTTTGTAAAACTATAGATGGCCCTAGAACACGACCTTGACAGTTAGCTCTAAACACGGGTAGTAGGTCGCATTCTCACTATAGAACTGGGTGTGTATAATTGAACACAAACAACATGATGCTAAGAAGAGGCTTATCTAAATTGTCGGTTTTGCGTATGAGCACTGTTGCCCAACCTGTTAGAAACCCGAATATTGAATACGCCCAGGTCTGTATTTAGCTCTTATTCGTGTCAAGTTAACAAAATATTTATAAACAACTTAACAGTTTGTTGGTTTATACAGCTGTTTATTAACAATCAATTCGTCGATGCTAAAAGTGGTAAAACCTTTGATACTATTAATCCATCGTCTGGCGAAGTTATTGCACAAGTTGCCGAGGGAGATAAGGTAAGTCCTCAATAAAGAATCATCTTTCTAAGAAGACAATTGTCCGCCATTGTCCTGTTGTGTATTCTAGGCCGATGTTGACCTTGCTGTTAAAGCCGCTCGTAAAGCATTTGAATATGGATCGGAGTGGCGCCGAATGGACGCTTGCGAAAGAGGTTATTTATTGTCGAAGCTTGCCGATCTCATCGAACGCGATAGGGTACTCTTAGCTTCTCTTGAGACCCTTGACAATGGCAAAGCCTTCAACACAGCCTATTCAACCGATCTACACTTAGTCTTGCAGTGCTATCGTTATTATGCTGGTTGGGCTGATAAGAATGTGGGTCAGACCATACCTGTTTCTGGTGATATCTTTGCCTATACGCGTCATGAGCCAGTTGGTGTTTGTGGCCAAATTATACCCTGGAACTTTCCACTTCTTATGCAAGCTTGGAAACTTGCCCCGGCTTTGGCATGTGGAAATACCATTGTAATGAAAGTTGCCGAGCAAACACCCTTATCGGCTCTCCATGTCGCCGCTTTAACGAAAGAAGCTGGCTTCCCTGATGGTGTCATAAACATACTTTCAGGGTTCGGTCCAACTGCTGGAGGTGCTATTGCCTCTCATATGGATGTTGACAAAGTAGCGTTTACTGGTTCTACTGAAGTCGGACAACTTGTTTCCGAGGCCGCCGCCAAGTCTAATTTGAAAAGAGTGACTATGGAATTGGGCGGAAAGAGTCCTAGTATAATTTTTGGTGATGCTGATCTCGAGAGCGCAATAGCAACAAGCTCTATGGGTCTCTTTTTCAATCACGGTCAATGCTGTTGCGCTGGTTCAAGAACTTTTGTTGAAGAATCAATCTATGACGACTTTGTTGAAAGGAGTGCTGAAATAGCGAAATCTAAGAAACTCGGCGATCCATTTGATCCATCAACCGAACAAGGTCCACAAATAGATTTAGAGCAGCAAAATAAGATACTTAGCCTTATTGAAAGTGGAAAGTCCGAGGGAGCTAAATTGGTCGCTGGAGGTGCTAAAGCAGGAGATAAAGGATATTATGTTCAGCCTACAGTTTTTGCCGATGTCACTGACGATATGACAATTGCGAGGGAAGAAATTTTTGGACCAGTTCAACAAATTATCAAATTTAAAACGGACAAAGAATTAATTGAGAGAGCAAATAAGACAATTTACGGTTTAGCCGGAGCAGTCTTTACTAAAAATATTGACAGAGCATTCACAATTGCAAACGGCTTAAGAGGTGGAACCATTTGGGTTAACAGTTATAACAAGTTTGATGCAACGATGCCATTCGGTGGATACAAGATGAGTGGACATGGTAGGGAGCTGGGAGAATATGGCCTCAGGGCATATACTGAAGTGAAATCGGTATGTAATATGCATTGACTTTAAATAATTTAAATAAAAATCTTGGCGTGTTTTATTGTCATCTCATTTTTTTTTCATTTATAGGTATGTATCCAAATTCCCGAAAAGAATTCATAAACACAAAATTGAATATAACAAGCAACGTATTCTGACTCTCATCTGGACATCAGTTGTGATTAACTAACTTGCCTAACACGAAATTGATTTTTTACGATAATCCTCGTTTTCTCAAAGAATACATTAGCTAACAAGTAATACAGAAGTAAAAAATGTCGCTGTTCAGCTTATAAACTTATATATATATATAGATTAATAAGTAGTTTTCAATAAAGACTATTCTGAAATGAATTGAAACTTATACTCTGTTTGCTGCTCGTCAAATGTTCTTTAGCTAAAAAAAACTTGTATAAAATAATTTTTTAGACAATTATCTGAAAAACAACTATTTGAAAGGATTTATCTAGTTTTGTAAACCGATTATTTATAGTTACAAAATTGGCTATTCCCGTTTGAGAGCAGCGCTCCTATCGATTAGCAGCGCCACCTTACCAATAATCATCTTTTACAAGCTAACACGCCTTTTCAAACAAGAGAACTAGTATTGCGGAAAGATTGACTTCTCTTAAAGGTTCATGTGTAAGAGAATTCATATTGAAAAGAAAGCGAAGTTAGGTTTATAGAAGCATCTTCACCATTTGTACTTTATCTAAATATCATTCTACATGGATGTTTCGTAAGAGAAGGATAAAAATAGTATAAGAAAAGAGATTAAAAGGACTCGTTATTTTTTACCGAGGTAAGAGTATTATCGTAATTAAAATTTCTGTATAAATACATATATATATACACATATATATATATATGAACAGATATATGTATTTATTATTCTCTTGATATGCATCTGATTCTATCAACTGCTTGGAAACGTATATTTAATATTATACACAACCGAAGTATTGTCCTTTGAATTTGGCCAAAGTATTTGTCTGTAAATAAACCATATTATCCATTATAATCGAATATAGGAGTATTGAAACAGGTATAGAATTTACTATATATAGTTTTAAAATGAAATCGGTCTCACAGAAAAAAAATGGAAGGATATACTATCTGAATTTGACGATCAATCACTTTTAGCCAATTCTCATAAATGCTAAAAATCACCGGGCGATTGTGAAATATTAATTAATTAAATTATAAATAAATTTTATATAAACATCACTAATGTATAGTATAACAGAATATTTGCGATATATTTCTTTACGGCATTGACGTAGGAAAATTGCTTGGGAAGGGAAAATGAGCTCGAGTCAAAGAAACGACTCGAATGAATAATTTACACGCACATAGGCCAATCAGCAATTTAATAAATGAATGTAGCAATAATCTTAGGTCATTGTATGAATACTTATACTTTTAATATATATTATTTATGAACTATTTTTGAATAAGAACAAAATATCTAAAAGATATGATTATAGATATATCTAAATTTATCTAAGCCATAATATGCCGAATCAAATTCTCTATATCTTATAACTTTTATCAAGTTACATTAAGGATTTATATGTAGTACTTGATACATACCGAATAGTTTGTGCCTGGTTTTAGCAAAATGAAGGCGAAACGAAGAAAGAAAAGTTAAAAAGAACAAGAATCGAATTTTCTAAAGGTTTTTAATGTAGACTAAATTGAAATTTCAAAAGATTTTAAACACCTTCTAAATTTACTATAAGTATTTACATATGATGTCGTCGCGAAGCATTGACGTTAATGCGTCGTGTCTAGGACACCTGAATATTCGTAAACAAAACGCCATTGTCAATTTATAAATTAATTCAAGGGAGTGCTCACTTCTTTTTTTTAATTCTACAGTCGATAACCTATTAAGTTCCGATGTACTCAGCTTTACAGAATTCATACTTTTAGGTAATTAATGGAATTAGTGGAATTTTTCAATTATGTCAAATTCTTGTACGTTTTTTTACTGTATGCATCACTTATTAAAGTTGCTTTTATTAATAATAAAATGATAACTGAATAATTCTTGATAGTATAAATTTAACTATTTACACAGGATTTAATTACTCAAAAATATGACGGATAACAGGACAGTTGATGAGATAATTAGTGATTTTAAATGTCACGATAAAGGACTAATTTTACCACTTGTTAATGAATATACATGGCCACTTGGAGCAAGAATATTTTTATATTTCTTTGGTCTATTTTGGTCGTTTTTAGGCGTTTCTATAATTGCCGATCGTTTTATGGGGGCTATTGAAATGATAACATCAAAAACTACAAAAATACGAATACCAGACGGTAAGCATTAGATTTATTCATGAAATATAAAGATACTAAGACATAACTAAATATCTTACTCAACTATTTTATAATAGTTTTGTTTGAAAAGAAAAAAGATAGATAGATTCGAATGTTTTTAGTAATTTTAGTAACGATTCCTATTATCTATCGATAGTATATTTAACCAGAATAAATACTTTATTCTTTGATATAATAAGGTTACGCACTTTACATATTTCTTTAGTAGTAACAAAACAATTTTATTGAATTTTTATTTATTCTTATTAAACAGAAAATGGTGAAAAGAAAGAAATAGATGTTCCTGTGTGGAATAATACTGTTGCTAACCTGACTTTAATGGCTTTAGGCTCATCTGCTCCGGAAATTCTCTTAGCATGTATTGAAATCTGTGGTAACAATTTTGAAGCCGGCGATCTAGGTCCTGGTACAATCGTTGGTTCTGGAGCGTTCAATCTGCTTTGTATTATAGCTGTTTGCGTTGTATCTATTCCCGAAGGAGAAGTTAGGCGAATTGCTTCTGTAAAAGTTTTTGCTATAACAGCTTTCTCATCAATCTTTGCCTATGTTTGGCTTATAATAATCTTAAAAGCATCTTCACCAAATGTTGTGGAATTGTGGGAAGCCATCATAACATTTCTATTTTTCCCAATGTTAGTCTTAATAGCCTATTCAGTGGATAAGCAATGCTTTGGAAGATGTAGCCGTACCCAACCGGATATGACAACAGAAAAAACGATAGGATTCAGTGAGTAATTTTATTACTTTTAATTAATTAGACATCCATTAATATTCCACCTCCCCCACCCCTCGTCGCCTCTCCTTCCAATTGTATACCTTAATATTTTATGAACTTAACTAAAACAAAGAAAAATAAAACGAAAAACAACTTAAAATAGTATTTAAAGGAAAAAATATCTCATTAATAAGTAGTAATCGCTTTTAAAAGATTGTAATCTTTCGTAGAATTATCAAGTTTTCAAGGTTAGTAAGTTCAAAATTTGTCTTCTGCTGCTACTACTATTACTACTTTTGTTCATAGCATACTCTTAATAGAATATTAGTAAAAAAATATTGAGAATGCAATTAACGTCTAAAAAAAAATATTTAAAAAAAAAGAGAACTTAGTTTTTTTTTTTGCACGTTTTTTTATTTATTAATTCGATGTTTTTATTTTTAACTTTTTTTTTCTCCCAGTTAATCGATTTAACTTTCTTTTTCTCTCTCTCTTTATATATATATATATATATATATATATATATATATATACATATATATATATGACTTAGCTTTTACATATGCTTATGTATGTGTAGATATCCCTTACGAAATAAGCATTTAGAATTAATCGATATAGATACAGTTAGCTTTTATTCCATAATATACTATGGAACATTTATAAATTAATGTACATGTTTATAAATGCACAGTATTTAGATAATATACTGTATATAATAATTCTTTTAGCATTAAATATTTAGGAAAGACTAATGACAAGCATTTTATAAATGAACATTTTTCATTTTTTAAAGTTAATCATTAAGATAGAAAAGTTAAATTATAAACTAATAGTTAATTTAGTACCAAAAACAAACGTTAATATGACAAGTGTTTAAGAGTTACCGATTACTTTGTATTCAGATGATGATCATTTATTAAAGGATTGTAAGTATGCAATGTCGTGCTAACCATTGACAAGTCAATTGACATTTAGTGTTTTTTTTTTTCATATTTTTTAAGCTTAATGCTATGGATAATACTAATATTTTCTATCTAATAATAGCTTTTATTCTAGAAAATAATAAAAGAAAAGAACATTTAAACTCCCTTTAACTCTATGTATTATTCATGTTAATCAATGAAACCTTTTAATATGAAAATATTCCTTTCATTTTATGCTTCTAATAGAATTTTTTTAAAATGCCTCCAAATGCTGAAATTAAAACATTTCCGATTCATGAAGTCTATTGGAATAATTTTTCTGTTCTCTATAATTCTTTTGCTTTTTTTTTATTATTATTATTATTCTCTTAGTATGATTTTTTATACATATGATCATTTATCACTTTGTTCTTTTTTATACTTTTAAAAAGTTCTACTGAGAAGCTTAACATAAAAATAGAAAGCTTAATTTTTTTTTCTTTATGAATAATTTACTCCATTTTCAAATATTTATATATAAGAAATATATATATATATACTGTATATACACAGTATATATATATATATACTTATATATAATAGTAAAGATTTATACAAATAAAACTATTTATTTATTTATTGGAAAAGTCAAAGAAAAATTCAATTTATCTCCAGACTTTTTTCTTTCATGAAAATTAATTGGAAGATAATTGATTTATCTCAAGAAATAGAAGGAATAAACGAATTCCACTAATTCCAAATTACTCATATGTTTACTCTTTTAAAAAGTATAAAAAAATATACAGAGTTTTTATTTGTTCAGTCAATGCTTCCTCTCTACTTTACTAATCTAGTGTCTCTAAATAAATATTCTGTTTGTCCATGTTTATTTCTTTTGGAAACTAATTATTCTATCATTTTTCGTTTTCTTTGTATAGCTGAAAGAGACCGCTCTGATAATCCAGAAAGAAGATTATCCAAATATATTAAAGTGAGTAGCGCAAATTTAAACAGTAGATAGGACTATTATATACAGACATACACTATATAAATATATATATATATATATATATGAATATGTATATTTGAAAACTTTATATATACAGTATAAATTTATATATATAGGCATATAGTGTAATTGACTATACAATTCTTATAATTCAAAACCTGGCTGACTTCGATTGTTTTCGTGTTTTATTTTTTGTTTTTTATTAACGCATATGATAAATAAAATACTATTTCTAGAGCTCAAAATAACTTTCTTTTGAAAACTAATACGTTGTTAACACAAAAATATAAACTATATAACAGGGTTTGAGAAGGAAGTTCGATGAAGCGAAAAAGGTTTGAAAGCCTTTGCTTTCTGTGCTGTTATTTTATAAACTGATGCTAATTTATTTATAAGTTAAAACGTTTTTTGACTGAGGTGTTGAACTAAACTTGGGAATTTTCTCTATTAGAAACAGCAATACTCTTTTTTTTCAATATTCCCATATATTTCCTTTGATATGTAGAATTTTGGTTTTTATTAATTTTTCTTGCTTTTCTGTATTTATTTAGACTTTACGTATGGAAAATAATGATCTTACTGAAGAGGAACTTGAAGAAATGGCCAGATTAAAATTGGAAGAGGAGCACAAAACTAAGCCAAGAAATTATCTTTATTATAGAATCGGTGGAGTTAGATCTATGGCTGGAGGCAAAAGAATCTTTCCAAAATGGAATACAAAATTTAGTAAAATTGTTAAAATGGCTCTGACAAAGACAGACAACGTAGCAACGTCGTTAGATCATGTCGACGCTATTGAGTGGCCAGAAAAAGCTATAGTCGAGTTTGAAGCTGTGAAAAGTTCAGTTCTAGAAAAAGCAGAATTTATAGAAATTCCTTTAAGAAGAACGGGAAATTTAAATATTCCTGCTATTGTTCAAGTCGAGACAGCGGACGGAAGTGCCAAAGTTAGTGACGATGATTATGAACCACTACATAAAATAGTTGTTTTCAAACCAAATGAAGTGGAGCGTAAAGTCAGGGTGAAAATTATTGACGACGATCAATACGAGGGCGATGAAATATTCTTTGTAAAACTGCATATAGATGACGCTTTTTCGCTATATAGAGTTATTCATAAGGAGAATATAGATTCGAGTGAAATTGAACACTTTCTTGGTTTTGATTGTAAATCATTAACAACCGAAGAATTTTGTACGCAAGTTGGTGACAAGATTGACTTTTCGTTAATTGCGTTAGGGGATCAAAAGATTCACGAAGTAACCATTGAAGATGATGATAATCCAGGAACCTTCGCTTTTAAGAGGCATTGTGAAATAGTTACAGAAAACACAGTTGCAAAAATTCCTGTTATTCGATCAGAAGGATCCGATGGCTTGATCATTATCAATTGGAGCGCCAAAGGGGGAAATGCAACTCCAGATCAAGATTATTATCCATCGTCTGGTTCAATCGAGTTTAGGCATGGAGAAATTGAGAAAAATATTGAAATTACTATAGTTAATGATGAAGATAAAGAAGATGAAAACTTCCAGGTGTTTTTAGATGAAGAAACAGCCGGCCCAGGAGTTAAATTTGGTAAGATCACTTCAACTTGGATAACTATTGTGAGCGATGACGACATGAGAGGTATCGTGTCGAAATTGTTGAATAACGTAAAGCACGATCTCTTGGATATCCAATTGGAGAAGACCACCTGGAAAGAACAATTCGTCTCAGCTTTTTCGGTATCTTTCAATTCTTTGTTGCTAAAGAATTTGGATTACATAATATCCGTTTTATCCGCAGGTTACCGATGGCGATGTTTCGGAAGCGACTGTACTGGATTTTATAATACATTTTCTATCCTTCCCATGGAAAGTTTTATTTGCTTTTGTTCCTCCTCCATCCTACTTGGGTGGCTGGCTTGCTTTTTTCGCAGCCCTACTAATGATTGCGCTCGTGACAACACTTGTTGGAGATTTAGCGACTATCGCTGGTTGTTTATCAGGTCTGAAAGGGAGTGTTACTGCAATTACATTTGTCGCTCTAGGAACAAGTTTACCCGATTTATTTGCAAGTAAACAAGCAGCCTGCGGTGAAACGACAGCAGATAATTCCATTGGTAATGTGACTGGTAGCAATTCTGTCAATGTATTTTTGGGACTAGGATTACCTTGGTTAATTGCGGCCATTTATCATACGTCAAAAGTATTTTACAACTTTCTTAAATAATTTATCATTACATTAACTTTTTTAATCTTTATAGGGAGGATCTTTCAATGTGACAGCTGGCACCCTAAGCTTTAGTGTTGTCCTCTATACTATCACGGCGTCTTTATGCATCATTTTGTTATTAATCAGAAGATATGTTCCAGCATTTGGAGATGGAAAAAAGGGTGGGGAATTGGGAGGAAACGTTAAATTAAAGTGGATATCGGCAATTTTTATGGTTTTCCTTTGGCTGACATATATTATTCTTTCTGCTTTACAGGCCTATGGCCATGTTCCTGGCTTTTAGGCTTACTTTCCTGGAGCTTTATAGCTATAAACTTTAGACAAGAGATGATAAATAAACATTAGATAAAAACAAACAAACAAACAAAAAGTATACTACTTTTCCTCGTATAAAAAAAAGAAATGTGTTCACCAACTTTTAACTTTTTTTGTTCTTAATTTATTTGAAAAGTATAAAACAAAAAATACGAAAACAAAAGCAAACTTATAATTTCTGTTACGTCTTAATAAACTTTATATGTAACCAATATATATATATATATACTTTATAAGCAAGCAGTATAGACAGTATATCAATATACTGTATATACTGTATATACTGTATATATATATACTGTTTAATTCGTATACAATTCAATAAGTTATAGGTTTTATCCAAGGTACAATTAATTATTTATCCTTTATACAGTTGTATCAAAAATTACAATTTAATATTTATTGCTTGTATGTATCATTACTTGCTAGGAATGTCCTAAATATATTTATCTTCATTTATATTTAATGGCTACATAAGCTGTAATCTTATTCGTTTTCCTCGTTATATCCCAGTTTTTTCCAATCCTCTTTAGCCATTAAATTACTGGATTGCGTCAGGAAATAAAACATTTATAAACATTATTAATTTATAACAATATATCAATGCTTCTTACTGTTCCATACGGCATTGTAAATAGGCTTTTGATTCATTCCTACATGATGAGTTTTCCATATTGTTCTCCCGCAGGCACCTCATATATTTAACCATAAAAGTTTTACAATCCCCTGTTTTTAATGAAAAAAACAAAACACAACGGCATTCGATTAAAATGAACTCTTTGAAATATGGCAAAGTCATACGATTAACCTTCGTGATCTAATGGAAAGCTTCCCTTGTCTGGTGCCTTCTGTTTGAATACTTTTTGTCCAAATGTCATCGATGACATAATGATATTTTAAGTTTGTCAAACCCTTTTAATTTGGTTGCGTTTGAGCAATGCTGGAAGTTTGTTGACTAATTGCCCTTGCCGATAGATGTCTCTGTTGTTGGATGAGTGCCATCTATAATACCTGTGATTTACCTTTGTCACGTGATCAAGCTTTGTTATGGTTCGACGGGGATCACAGGTATATTACACTTAAAAATTGTTTTTAAAAATAAATAAATTATTAATACTTTTAGGTGAAAATAAAACAATAAGATATTAAAGAAGTAAATTAAAAAGGAGACCTCAACTCAAAGCCTATTAATTACTTTTGCACCTTAAACGTTAACCCCTGCCGATTGTCAACGCTGTATAGAGCTAGTCGATCGTATTCAATCGAATGAGCCTGCGTGAAATCTGTAGTAGTAACCATTCGAAGAGTTGTCGTTGAGCAGAAAGCGCACCTGGATGCACTTTTACAGCTCCGTTTGTTCTACATTTAAATTACTCGGGATATCCATTCTACCAAACAAATACGGCGACGAATCGAGTTTCGAACGTCAATCAAATTAGAAAGGCGCCGGTCAGACGGAGATGTCAGAACGATTTGGCATGTTCACAAGGAAGGTCGTCTAAAGTTGAGAATGTTCGAAGTTTTAAGGAGATGTGTGTTTTTTACTAATAATAATCGGACTATGCTTTTTATTTATATTTTCCTCTCGGCGATTATTCGTCTAACTGCTTCAATTACGTCGATTGATTTAATCGAAGAGCTCGAAGTAGGGAAGATAGCTTTTTATCTAGATGAAATTTTTGGATCGGACGCTGAATCGTTCAATATGATTGTCATAAAACCTCCCGGAGGTGAAAAATACTTAGAGGTGATCGATTCCCAAAGAGGGACTGTTCAAATTCGTTCGAAAATTGACAGGGAATCATTGGCAAAACTGGGCATCCGAGAATTCGATATACTCGTCAATGACCAGTTCGAATTACGCGTCAATATTAAAGACAAAAATGACAACGCTCCACAATGGATACGTACTCCGCTCAACATCACTTTTCCAGAAAAAGTACCTATAGATTCTCGAACAAGTCTAGGCTATGCCTTTGACGACGATACGTTGGAATATTCAACTAAAAACTATGAAATCGTCTCGGGAAACATCCACGATACTTTCAGATTACAGGTTCATAAGAAAGTTTCCTTTTTATACGTCGATCTAATCGTAAATCGTGTTATCGATTATGAAACTGTGCCACACTTTAAATTGGTTATAAACGCCTATGATGGTGGCTCTCCCCGTCTTAGTGACAGTCTAGTGGTGAACATAGATATCATCGACTCGAATGATAGTCCACCAATATTTAATCTCAGCAGATTTTCAGCAGAAATACCTGAAAATAGTAATGTGGGAACTCAAGTCCGTTCCGTAACAGCCACGGATTTAGATACCAATGACGTTTTGTCTTATACAATCACAAACTATAAAGATAAGTTTCAAATTGATGAGAAATCAGGAATGCTTACCGTTGCGGGCAAGCTTGATTACGAAAGAGAAACAAAGTACGATGTAATTGTTGTTTGCAGCGACAAAGCTGGTTTGGACGCCACGGCTGTTGTTTCCGTTAGTGTTACTAATGTTAATGATAATTATCCAACAATAGACGTAAAATATTTAGCGGAAGATGGCTCTAATCGAATAGTAGAAACAGCTGAAAAAGGTGATTATGTTGCTAGACTTTCTGTAAGCGATGCCGACGAACCTGACAAGGCTGTAAATGTGACAATCAAAGGAGATTCGGAATACATTGGCTTGGATAATTCGGATAAAATCATCTATCTGAAGTTATTATCCGTGCCGGATCGAGAAAAGCTTTCGGAGATAAGCGTAACGATAACGGCCACTGATAGTGGAACACCAACGTTAAGAACTAAGAAAACAATTATTCTTCACATTACTGATAGTAATGATAACACACCTAAGTTCGATAAAGACATTTATTCAATTGTTATCAGTGAATCTCTCCCACCCGGTTCGTCGGTACTTCATCTTCACGCGACGGATCTCGATGAGGGTGATAACGCACTTCTCAGATACTCTTGGGTGTCCACTCAAAGTCTCTTCAATTTAGACGCCGAATCCGGTCTAATAACAACAAGCGGTTGGTTAGACTGTGAGAAAAGAGACGAAGAAGAATTGGAAGTTCGTGTTACCGATTCAGGATTAAGTCCTCTGTCTTCAAAGGCCAAAATACATTTAAAAATCGAAGATGTCGATGATAACATTCCAATTTTTGATCTCAGTTTTTATAATGCAACGATAGAGGAAGACGCAAAAGAGGGACATTGCTTTTTGCAGGTGAGTTCATAATTTTTGAATATAGTAGTATGAGTGTTCTGTGTATATTATTGGGTTGTATGGACTTCTTTATTTCTTTCTCTACTAGTCCTTCATTTTACAAGACTTAAAATATTCTTGACTAAAAGCGCGCTTTTCTATACAGTATTTGTATACCGGGGACAAGGCCAAATATTGAGAGTGTAAAATTTTATGTTTGTCCAACTAAAGTTGTTTTTCACCCGCATATCACTTATTCAAACATTTTACTTCTTCCATTTATTGATTCTTTCCCTCACTAGGCGCCAACCTTATCTCTTGAGTTAGTTAGGTATAATTGTGACGCAACAACGTGTACGTCAGTTACGTAATGATTAAGGTGGAAGCAGATGTGTCAGCAGTTCATTTAACAATTTAGCCCATTGAACGTTTAAGAGCTTCGTAGAGCGTACTCTCTCATTACCGTCAGTGCTAGACGACTCCCCGCTAAAGGGCGTCTTCAATTGTTGTACTGTTTAGAGAAAAAAAAACACAAAGGCGAAAAAAGGCTGGTGTGGTGCAAGGAAGAATAGAGTAGAGAAAGAGAGGCAACATTTTGAACTCGAAAAGAGGGTGGCGAAGAGGGCATGGAAGTAAGAATAAAGAACACTGCTTAAGAAATCATTCTTATTTTGATCGAGCAAATATTATGTTGCGGCGATTATTGATTTCTCAACTCACTAATTCCCTTTACCATTTTGCCGTTATCCTGTTGGCGAGCTGTATTGAAATTTCCCTAATGCTCTCTTTTGTATAAATTATAAGTTAACTGACCGTAAGCAAACAGCGAAGCGGTTATTTCAGATAATCACTTCGCAAACAAGACTAGGCTATTTTTTCCATTCTTTATTGAGTTGAAACGAATATTTAACGAGTAGGCTCTTCTAACCCGTTACGTAATTTCTTAAGGGGTCGTATATAGTGTCGGCGTCTGGTGCCAGACGTTTCTTTTATTCGCTTTTTACGAGCCTCATTTTCCTTATCCCTTTCATCACTTATTTTAGCTGGCGCCAACATACTTTCGGTCAAGACCTATTAAGCCTTTGAGCATCTGCGTTTCGTCATTATCGATCACAATTAAAAAATGCGACATTATAAAAAAAAGTGCATTCCATTCAGAGTTATATATTTTACTTTTTTTGACAAGGATCGAACTCTATAGGATTAGTCCGATTATCGAAATACCTCAATTACGTGACAGAACTTGAACGCGTTGAGCTAGCGGTTTGGTAAACAATGCAAAACTTATTGACCCGGTTTCGGACATTTGTCAACATTAAACTGGAAATTAAAGTACACATTTCACTTTAGAGAAAGTAAAGAGTAAAATAGTCTGTAAGAGTTTACAGGATAATTAGCTATTTGAATGACATTTTCGTTTAAGAGAACTAGTATTAGTTATTGATTGTTTGCGATTCGCGATTCTATTCAATTGCTTCTCATTAAAGGAAAGAGGGGATAGACAAAATTGAATTGAGTCGATTGCGTAGTTTGCGTGCCTGAGAGCACGAGGGTAGCGGACGGATGTTAATCAAATAGTTACGTAATTACGGTCAAGCTATACACACAGCGACAGGTATTGCTGCTTTTACCGATGAGAATCTTGCGTGTTGAATAGCCGTAATTTCCGATTTTAATTTATGGTCGACGTGTTTCTTTTGACAATAGAAAGTGTGAATATATTTTTTTTGTTTAGTTTACCCGCAAAAAAGAAATAAAAAGCGATATGGGCCCGCGTCTTAAATAGAAAATGAAAATATCTGAATTTTCTTTTCTATTCGTACCCAGGATTTTTATCTTGAAGAGCGATCTATAAATCATTTGACAAAATTGTAAAACGTTCAGATAAAAGCTGTTTTAGCACGCTTTATTGAAATTTATGACATTTTATAATTTGATGTAGCATGCCAGTGTGGTCTTATTTTATAAAAGAAAGAAGTCTTTTCTTTTTTATTTAGTTTTCTCTTAAAAGGCCATCTGGTTGTTGCGTGCGCATCAAATTATCTTTTATTAAAACCGTCCACTTTGAAGTTGTCTTTTTACATCCGATTTTCAGATCAATTTAAAAAGGATTTGTAAAATTTTAATTCTCACAGAGATCATGTGATCTATTTGCTAACATATTTTATGTACAAAAGTAAATTCTTTTATTAAACTCATCCAATATCCAGATGCCGTAGTATTTTTTTTCTCTCTTACTTGGGAAAAAAAAAGAAAAGAAATAATCAACCATTATGTTATTATCATTTCATTCTTTTTGATCTCTTCACAATTTGTGACGGGTTACCTAATATTTTCATCGATTACAGCAAGTATTTTGATATGGGCAGCTGTCACTATTCCCATTTTCTAGAAGCTAAAAATACTTATATTTTACTGTATATAAACATAAACGCCCGTATAACAGAACTAGTCTCAATTTTTTTCTCTCCACCCTGTCACCCACGCTACCCCTCTTACCTTCTCTCTCTCTCTTTTTTACAAAATAAAGAAATAGAGTAAACAGACTATAAATTTGCTAAGCGTTTATAAATAGGCCTTGTCCATAAAAATTGAGATACGGTAGTCTTCTTTGTTATATTTGGATATACAGTATACAACAGTATTATAAAAGCGTTAAAATATGTATAAATTGTTATAATAAGCTGTCTTTCTGTTGATTTGATTTCCTTTATTCATTTTTACCTTCGCCATTAAACGATCCATCGCCGGACTGTTTGCTCGGCAACTCAATACATTCGGGTCGAAACGCTAACGCAAACAACGCAGTTAAAGTCTCATAAAAATAGCGAAAGAAAGAAGTGGCTGAGGTAAAATGACCGGACATTCAAATGAACAGATTGAATTGTTTGGTGTAGTGCTAGAGGCAATATTAAACCATAACTGACTTGTCCTGCTCTCTTTTAAAGCGTCATTGTTCACTTAAGGTTGGTTTTGAATATAAAAAAGAAAGAAAAAGAAGGAGAGCCAACGTTTTTGAATTTGAATGCTAGTACGCTTCGCTTAACGCTTCAATGTTACTCGAATAGTCCCTGGTTCTCTCCCAAGCCACACTCCTTTTTTTGTGTTTTTAAAAAAAAGCGGAAAATATGTAAGCAATTAACCCGTTTTACTTTCCTCTATTCTCTAGGTTATTGCAACAGACAACGATTGCTCACCAACAGAGCTTACCTATTCAACTGAAAATTCTATTAGTCCGTTTAGAATCGAATCGAATTCAGGAAAGATATGTATCGGCTCACGGCTCGATTATAACGCCCAAAACGTATACGAATTCAACGTGATCGCTACCGATTCAGGTGAGTCGATTGTACTTTTATAGAACACCTCGCCAGGGTGTCCCATATACTTTTTTAAATAGAGCGCGTTGGAGAAAATTACGGTCAACGTTTCTTTAATATAAAAAGTTTTTAAAAGTTTATAATATAGAATTTCCTTTTCTTATTTCTCACCTTTAATTTCATATTTTAAGGTGGTCTGGCAACCTCCACACTTGTTAAGATACACGTGTCGGATGTTAATAATAACTATCCGATATTCGAACAAACCAACATAGAAGTTAGCATACCACCTACTTTTGGTGTTTCTAACCCTATTTTGGCGGTGAGAGCAAATGATAAAGATACAGGATATTACGGACTGGTGACATATAGCATCAAATCCGGTAATATTAATGGACTCTTCGTAATAGATAAATATACAGGTAAGAGCTGACACCCTACTTAATGGATATAACATTTCAACGACGTTCCTTCTTTCTTCTCAGGTGTTGTCAAGCTAACAAGGGACATATCACACCTGTCTCTAGACTCTTTTGCATTGGAAATTGCGTGCCAAGACGGCGGTGGTCGGAAGGCTCAAGCGAATGCCTTTGTTTCGATTCTTATATTAAGACCATCTAGTTCTGCCCCCAAAGTTAGCTTTTCAAAAACTTTATACTCATTCGAAATTGACGAAAATAGTTCAAAAGGAGCTTATATAGGCCGTGTCGCAGCGGCTTTATCATCAGGTATGAATAAACAATTATTAATACAACATCCTCTATTTAAACTAGTTACGATATTGTTTACATCCTTTATTTTAGGTACAACACCCATTTATTACACCCTATTATCTGGCAATCAATTGAACTTTACACAATTGGATCCCAATACGGGGACATTAAGAGTGAACGAAAGTCCCAATCACGAAAAGGCTAAAGTTGTTTTTCTTCGCATTCAAGCTCGATCCGGGAATGTTTTAGCAACAGCTCAAGCAAATATTACCATAAAAGATCTAAACGATAATACACCAAAGTTTAATAGTAACCAAGTAAATTTAAACTTGAATGAAAGAATACACATCGGTACTGAAGTCTATTCAGTAAAAGCGACTGATGAAGATAGCCAACAGAATGGAAGAATTCGATATAATTTAATCGACCCCACAAATACTTTCATCTTGGACGAATCGATACTAAAACTGCAAAAGAAGTTGAACTTTGAAGAGACTAAAAAATATGAATTAAAAATTATAGCTTCCGATCAAGGATTTCCTCAAAAATCGACTAGTTTAAAATTAAATATAGCAGTTTTGGATACCAATGACCACTCTCCAGTCTTTCCTCGAAGTCTTTACAAAATAGAAACTAGCGAAAATGTTGATATTGCTACTAGCCTTGCCAAAATATCAGCTGTTGATAAAGATTCTCGATTGAACGGGAAAGTGATTTATGATCTAGAGGGACCGTCTAATGTTAAAAGACATTTCGGTATCTTTCCTAATAATGGCGTCCTTTTCAACAAAGTCAAATTAGATAGAGAAAAAGCAAGCGATTTCATGTTTAAAATTGTTGCTAGAGACAGAGGAACACCCAGCCAAACTTCAACTACTAGTGTTATATTAACAATTTTAGACTCAAATGATAATGCTCCTCAATCCCTAGAAGACGAATATAATTTTAAAATATCTGAATCTAAAGGGCCTTTGGCGATTGTAGGCAGTCTATATGCTCACGATATCGACGAAGGTATTAATTCGAAACTTTCATATTCTATAGAAGAAAATGCCTTATTCAGTATAAACTCGGAAACTGGAACTATACAATTGAGAAAGAAATTAGATAGGGAAACTCAAGCTTATCATGAACTTATGGCAACCATTAGCGATTCGGGGGAGCCGCCTCTGTCGGCAAAGATAAAAGTCACCATACGCGTTGAGGACGCCAACGATAATAAACCGGAATTCACCTACATTGATCAATTAGTTCTTGATGTGAATGAAAATGAGGCCAAAGGTTATTTTCTAGCTAACGTCACAGCTCATGATCCGGATGACGGAGTTAACGGGGCAATCAGATATTTTCTCGAACCAGGTAAATAGATCGGCCAACTGAATATATTGTAGGGTTTATTTGCTGTATGTATAGAAAAATTCTTTTGTTGTAGATTCCGACAATGAAGCGGATTACAGATCGTTCCGAATTCATACACACAGCGGAGCTTTACGCACGCATAAAGTTCTCGATTATGAGGCAAAGCAGTTCTATAGTTTTCGGGTAGAGGCGCGTGATTCCGGTAATCCCGTGCTAAGTAATTATCAAAGGGTTCGTGTGAATGTTAGGGATATTAATGAACACCAGCCTCGTTTCGATTCAAATATCATACGATTCACTGTCAAAGAAAATGTTCCATTACCTTATATAGTTGGTAAATTGAACGCATCCGATTTAGATTTTGGTGCTTCCGGTACGATAAGTTATTGGATTGTTGGAGGAAATCCTTTTGGAACATTCGGTGTTAATAGAACCTCCGGTGAAATATATGCTGCCAGAACTATTGATTATGAGCTTGCTTGCCAACACGAAATGATAGTTGAAGCTTTAGATAACAGCCCGAATAGTCCAAAGTTTTCTAAAGTTAAAGTTATAATAAAAATCGAAGATATCAATGATAATGCACCAATTATGCAAGCTTTACCACCCTCAATTTCTATCAGCGAAAACAGCCCTAGAGGAAGTCTTTTACACACATTTTTAGCTACTGATAAAGATGACGGTCCAAGGGGAAAAGTTCGGTATCACATTGATAATTCTGATTCTTGTTGTTCAACCTGGTTTATGATCAATGAAAATACTGGAGAGCTAAGAGTTAATGGGAATGTTGACCACGAAGAAACAAACGAAACATTTATCGTTTTGAAGGCTCAAGACCAGGATCCAGATTCAGCTCAAAGACTCTCGGTATCATCTGTCATTCGTATAAAAATTCTCGATGAAAACGACAATAAGCCATTGTTTGATGTTCAAAGTAAAATATATATGATGGAAGATGAAAAAGTGGGATATCCCGTTATTAATATTTTTGCTACTGATAAAGATTCAGGCCTAAATGGACGTCTCACATACGCGATTGTTTCAGGAAATGAAAGAGGAGATTTTACTTTGAATCCTTTGACAGGCCTACTTTCAACTAGCGAACTGTTAGACAGAGAAACTATTGCAAGCTATGTCTTGAATATTTCCGCTCAGGACGGAGGAACTCCAAGACAAATTTCCTACCATGCTTTGCGAATAAATTTAGTTGATGTCAACGATGACGTTCCAAAGTTTGAATATGATATATACGAAGCAACAATAAAGGAAAATCAAAAACCAGGGCAAATTGTTAGAACAGTTAAGGCCATTGATAACGACGAGGGTGACTTCGGTACAGTGGAATACCTTATCCCTAACGGCATTGCGCAAAATCTTTTCAAGATCAATCCCAATAACGGTCTCATAACTACAACTCAGAAAATCGATAGGGAATCACTCGATCCCGGTTTTGTCGTTTTTTCAGGTTAGTTTTTTCTTTATTAGCTTGTTATAAAAATCACACTGATATGCTTTTGTCAAAAAAAAATAGTTTACGCCCGTGACAAGGCCTATCCAGCTCATTATTCATCCTGTCAAATTCACGTGTTAATCGAAGATGAAAATGATAATTTCCCACAATTCAAACATGATCATCAAACTATTTACGTTGACGAAAACGAAAGAAGAACTGCCGTAATTTATCAATTCTTTGCGTCGGATAAAGATCTCGATCAAAATTCTATATTGAAGTTTGATATAATCGGTAAGGGTTCTGTACCTTTTAGCACGCTATTTACCAATCTTGCTTTTCCATTTACATTTATTTACTTTTTTCACTTATTTCAAACTCTGTCCATAGGTGGGAATACAGGAAAAAAGTTTTCAATAGACCAGCATAATGGAGAATTGAGGGCTGAACCTCTAGATAGAGAGGAAAAAGCTTCTTATACACTGACGGTTTTAGCCAGAGATAATGGATCTCCTTCAAAATCATCATCAGCTACACTTACAGTTTTGGTTAACGACGAAAATGACAATAGCCCTATTTTTTCTTCCAATTATGATATATCCATACCAGAAGATGTAGACGTTGGGAAAGAAATTGTCCTTATTTCTGCCTCGGATCTCGACGAGGGGGCAAATGCCAAAATATCTTACTATTTAGATCAAGATGCTAGAGGTCTTTTTAGAATTGAAAAGAAAACTGGAAAATTGAGAACAAGAAAAAGGTTAGACAGAGAAAAACAAGAACAGATCCAGATAAGTGTATGTGCTAAGGACGGAAGTCCTTATAATCCAAAAACAACTTGCACCAGTGTTAGAATACGACTAACTGATATTAATGATAACGCTCCTGAATTTGAAAAATCCGCGTATTTCTCTGATGATGATGATGGTATTCGAGATAAATTCATTCTCCAAATAAAGGCTACAGATAAAGATGAGGGAAATAATGCCAAAATATCCTTTTCTATTAAGGAAAATTCCCAATATTTCTCCATAAACTCCAAATCTGGAGAAATAAGAACAAAAGCAAACGTTCCTACTGGTTCGTACGCTCTTACCGTTCTAGCTAAGGATGGTGGATCTTCTCAACTCTCAAGTTCTGTTCCCGTTAGAATTAGAATCGGAAATAAATCTGGCAATAATCTGCAGTTCACTGAAGCGGTTTATCAAGTAACTCTTGATGAGAATGCTCCTGAAGATACAATTGTAACAAACGTTCGTACGACGTCAGGAAATGGGGTAGTGTATACATTCATTTCCGGTAACGAATTAGATACTTTCAAAATAGACGCAAGAGGTAATAATTCATTAATTTCAATTTACATAATTGATCAATTGTCAATATTTTTCAGGTCGAATCACGGTGAAGAACAACAAACGATTAGATTTTGAAGAGATTCAAACGTTGAAACTAGTTGTTTTGGGCGAATCTGCAGGAACCTATGCTTATTGCACTGTAGATATAACAATAAGGGATGTAAATGACAACAGCCCAATATTTTCTGAAAACTTGTATGAGGCTTTTATTTCTGAAGAAAATCCCCCTGACCTAATTGTCGCACAAGTGTCTGCATTGGATATTGATTCAGATCAATATTCGAAATTGACTTACCATATTATATCTGGTAACACCAACGAAGTTTTTAAAATCGAGCCTGCCTACACCGGCGTTATAAAGACAAATGTAATACTTGATCGTGAAATAAAAGACCGGTATGAATTAATTATAGAGGCTAAAGATAAAGGTTTCCCTGTAAATAGTGCAAGTTGCACGTTCATCGTTACGGTATTGGATGTAAATGATAATGCACCTTTCTGGCCAAGATATAGTCCAAAGAAAATATCTGAAAATAGCCAAATTGGCAGTATTGTAATGCAAGTTACAGCAAATGACGCCGACGTCGATCCAAAAATAACATATAGACTTTTAACAAATCCTCATCAAACATTTACTATTGATCGTTATAATAACACTGGTCATATCTTCTTGGCAAAAAAGCTAGATTATGAATTGGAAAAACGCTTCGTTCTAACTATTGAGGCGACGGATGCCGATAAAAAGCATACCTCAACAACTACTGTTGAAATTTTGGTGGAGGATGAGAACGATAATGCGCCGAAACTTGATCAAAGTCAATATTACGTAAGTTTCGACGAACTAATAGCCTTTGGCAGATACTTGCTAGATCTATTTTTAAGATAAACCATTCTTTTCAGGTAAAAGTAAACGAACTAACAAAAGCCAATCAGATTGTAATTCGTTTGAACGCTACCGATTTGGATGATGGTGATAATGGAAGGTTGACGTACGAAATTGAAGGAGGCAATCAGAATTTTAGTATTGATGCTACAACTGGCGTTATTTCAACTAAAACTGATATTGTTTACACAAATAATCCGATAGAACTATATGTTCAAGTTAGGGACAATGGTAAAGATCCGAAAAGTGTTAAAGGCCAAGTAATAATCGATATCACAGATGTAAATAATAACTCACCTGTGTTTTTAAACAAAAATCATCAATCGTGAGTAAAAATAAGTCTATTTTTATAAATGCTCCATTAACTAATTAGCATTTCCTCTTCTATTAGATTTTTACTTCGCGAAGACTCTTCGATTAATCATTTGATAGGAAAATTTACTGCAACTGACGATGATCACTCTGATAATGGAAAAATTGAATATCATCTGCAATCGGCAGAAGATTCTTCAAAATTTGTTCTTTCATTAGCAACGGGAAATCTCTTTCTGGCCAAACCCTTGGATAGGGAGGAAAAGAGCATCTATACACTTACCATAATAGCTAAAGACAAAGGATTAACTCCATTATCAGCGTCGATAACGTGCACAGTTATTGTAACTGACGTTAATGATGAAAAGCCAATTTGTGAAAAGAATGTATACGAGACAAGCTTGAGCGAAAAAGCAACGATTCGCAATAATTTTTTACAAGTTAAAGCCAACGATTTAGACGAAGGTCCAAATTCTGTTATTTCTTATTCAATACTTTCTGGAAATGAGGGCAATCAATTCTCAATTAACTCAAAAACTGGTCAACTACAATTGAATAAGCGATTGAATTATGAATGGAAACATGAACACGAAGTAACCATTCAAGCCAAAGATTCTCCCACGAATGGCGAAGCATTATTTGGTTTTTGTACAGTTAAAGTTCATGTTGAGGACGAAAACGAATATCCACCTCAATTTCCACGACCCGTATTTACGGCTGCAGTGAAAGAAAATCAAACGCCACCAACGAAAATAATGTCCATACCAGCAAACGACAAAGACGGCGGCCGTTATGGATATTTGGAATATCAACTTTTAACAAAAACAAAAGAATTTTTTATAAAATCTTCAACTTTGTATACAAACATTACAATGGATTACGAAGGAGTTAGAAATTATAAATTGGAGATACTTGTGAAAGATGCTGGAGATAAGTCCGCTAAGGCTAATCTTTATGTTGAAGTAGAACCTTTGAAACCAATCTTCACTGAAGAAGACTACTTATTTCAAATATTTGCTAACGTTCGTGTTGGTCAGTATATAGGTCAGGTGAAGGCCGTCGACCAAAGAACACCGAAATCACCTGTCACGTATTCTATAGTCTCGAATAACCCCGCTAGCCAAAAGTTCTCCATCAACTCGACAGGTCATGTTAAAACTACAGCTAATTTAATTAATATAAAAGAAGAAAGATTAGAATTGACAATAAGAGCTCAGGCGGGTACAAGATCTAGTTTAGTAACGGTATGGATAACTCTCAGCCGAGATTGCGAAGGTTGTTCACCATCTTCTGGCAGTAGCGAATCCGACGGATTATTGCTAGTGCTTATGGTGATTTTCGGAATTATAGCCGTCATTGCCTGTGTTATTATAGTCGTCTTCTTGATACTACGAAAGACAAGACGAAAGAAGGTGCCTCCACCTGCCACATTTTCTACAACTACTTCTAGTTTACCCAGGACTTCCAATGGCTTTCTGCATTCCGATCATCATTCGTCACCAACGAGCGGGCGAGGTTCCGTATCAGAGGTGGATAAGGAAATCACAATGATAAACGATAGTAGGACTAGTTACAGTTCCGGCGATCGGGTTGCCGACAGTGGTCTACCAGACGAGACACCACCAACCCCATTAAATCATGTTGAATATCTTGCCCGATTGGGTATTGAGCCAGTAAAAGTAAACGGTAGATCAATTGAAAGTATACAATCCTTCGGTGAAGAAGGAGGCGGAACATACATGTGGGATCACTTACTAAATTGGCAACCAGAATTTGCTAATATGTCTCAGGTATTTACGGAAATAGGCGATTTACAAGATATAGCTGTTCGTAAAGAACCAACAAAAATAGTTCAACAACGAACAAACACGGCCTTTTCCGTTCCGAGGACGGACCCTCCTCCAGTTTTAACAAGTACACCGCCAAGGACTGTTAATCAATCGAATACGAATAACCAGTTTGAATTTCGCATTTGACTGTGATATGTACGCTGTTGTTTGAGAACTGCCACAAAAATGTTTCTGTATAGACTATACAGTAGAAAGTACTGTATATTAACGTTTAATGTATATATACTGTATACTATATATAAATTATATATATATAGTAATGTTTTGCCTCTGTTTATTACTCTTATTTTATCGTCATATCAAAGAATAAGAAGAGGAAGTAACTGAAATCTTTCTTTTAAAATCTCTTTCCATAAAATTAAGAAAAAATATTAAAGAAAGAGAGCTATAGATAGAGAGAAAATAAGATAGAAAGAAGAGAAGAGGAAGAAGAAATCTTTATGTTTATAATGTTAAAATTGTTGAAGATCTGCTATTTTATTGAATATTTTTTACAACTGATTAAAAAGAAATCATTTTTTTTGTTTTTTTTTTATTAAAAGAAAATATGTTTATAGAAAAAAAAGGAAAAAAAAAGAGTAATTGAACTATTCTCTCTCCTCGACTGTTGAACTTGATACTAAGATATAATTTACTATATTTATCATTAATTCCTTATAGACCAATTTTTACGGTAATCTTACCTATCAATTTTATCTATATTACTTTTTCGAATTATATATACTCATCTTTTACGACCTTTCCACGCCTATATAATTATTTCTACTGTCAATATCGTTATACCCGAACCGAATAATTCTTTAATTAGTTTTACATTAAAAATACGAGACAGATGTGGACGATTTCAATCAAGAAGAAGAGAGAAAAGTAATTAAATTGCTTAAATTCAGGGGCTTTTCTCAAATCGAATCAGTAGTGTGACTAATTAATATACGCATAAAGTAGTACAACAATTTGACTACAGATGGAAGCACTCAAACATTTCAGAGTCTAGACATGACTAAGACATTTCTAAAGGAGAAGTAATCAATTTTGAATGTTCGTATAAAATCCATTCGCAGAAAATGCGTTATCTATATTGCATAGTTACAAAAAAATTGTTTCTTTCAACTTTCCTGTTAAGTATGACGTGAAAAAAAATACGACAAAGGAAAGTCAATGAAATATTCACCTTTATGTTCTAGTTTCATAACTTAAGATAAAAATTGCAGAAACAACAATCATTGAATACCCTTTTTTATGTAACAAGCCCAACAAGAAGTATATCTATTGTTATTAGTGATTACTAGTCAAGCGGAATATACTAATCTAATGACAATACACTACTTATAAATTTTCCGTATTTATATAGCGTATGAAACTATTAGCGCATATCGGTTTGTCTATTTCTCTCTGCTGATTCTTCAGCTCTTTATCACTTATTCTCTACATATACTTACAATATATATAAACAAATATATATATACATATATATATATACAATGTACTTTGAACTTTCTACTATTGAAATGCAAAAGAGAAATCGATAATTAATTAATATTCAAAGAAATTTATTACCTAAATTTAATGCTATTTATGTGGTTTATAAATAATAATGATATTGCATTTAGAATAAATTACAAAGAGGTTTAGAACGAACTTATCGAAAATCGATATTCAACATTTGTATAAAAAAACATATATCATTTTTTGTAAAGAAATTTCTGTATTATATGCTTTTCTACTTAAAATTTTCCTCTATTTGTGAATAATTTAGCATAATTAAATTATTGATAATCGTTAATTAATTAATTACATTTGATTGTTACAGTACTCTAGTTGAACTATTGCAAAAAGGAAGAAGCAGACTACTTGCATATGCTATCTATAAGTCTGAAGAAGCTATCATTTCAATTTTAAAGCTTATTACGAACATTTGCAAGATGATGGCAAAGTTCATTATTCCACTTTCGAAATCATAAAAAAATAAAAAATACTAAAAGCAAAATTCTAAAAATAGAAAGTATCTTCTATAAATCCCCGATTCAGATATAAAATTCTTGAATTGCTTTATAAAAACTAACTGCTTTTTTTTGTTTTGTTTTTCTTTTTTGAAAAACAACACAAACATAATAAAAAAATAAATGAACTTTGTTAATGTATAACATTACATTCTATTTTTCTTTTTATGTTTGTACGTTCTTATCTTTTTGAATACAACCGAGTGGGAATCTTTTGTATTCGATATAGTTCGTATCGTTTTCTTTATGTATTTGAATTTTTCAATAGGATAGTCAATTGAGAAGATGTTGCAGGTTTATATTAATAGGCTTAATTTATCCAAATTCAAGGTCTAAATCTAAAGTGAAAGTATGCCAGCAGTGATTTTTTCAAGTCTTTTATTTTAGAAAAGAGTTGTGTTAATTTGTATATTTCTTTAGAGTAAACACAAAAACAAGTAAAAAGTGTCAATATACATATATCATATATATATATAGATCATGTGTTTTTGTTAATCTAGTGCGTTCAAGACCTATAAATTTATTCAATTTAATTAAGCGACTTCTTTATACTGCAAAATACAAAAGATATTTTGCAGTTTTCTTAAAAAAATAAATAAAAAAATGTAGATACATGTAAATAATATATATATATATATTAAAATATAATATATATTATATATCTTAAAATATCTCTTATCTTTCATTCAAGCAGAGTTTTGTTTTCGGTGCCATAAGTGTGAGGCGACGGCAACTACGGCACCAGGAATGAATCTCACAAAAGTGTCTCCTGCCAAAGCCCCAATTGCAAACATCCCTTGTGACCTCGTTATCTGGTGCGTTACGGGATCAATATCGATAGGGTTATGTTTAACAGAAATCGGAGCGTCATCAACTATGCCCAAATTTCGACCGTCCCCTGGAAGAAATGATAGGTCGGGTCGTGTGCCTATTGCAACAAGAACTTTGCGCACTCGGACGAAATGATTAGTATTGGAGTTTTCAAGTAGCACGTGGCCAGCGCTGAATAGTTCAAGGACACGGTGCTGAGGTAGGGGTGTGTAGAGTTCGTCTCGTAATTCTTCTTTCATAAGAGACATAACTTTTTTATATTCTGGATAAGCTTTTGAGGCCACTTTACGGAGGATATGGGCCCGATCTTTCGGATCCCTTCGGAATGCGTGTAGAACGGGCACACCAGCTTCTAATAATGTCAGAATTGAGTCAGCAGCACTTAATCCGGCTCCAACTACTAAAACTGGATCTGTTGAATCATTGAAATCTACTAAAACGTCCCTAACATTATTAACTACGTAGTCTTCGTGTTCGCCGATAACGCCCAGTTTTTCTTTAATATCTGACTGGCCAGTTGCCAAAACAACATAAGACGCTCTGTAGCAGAAAGACGTCGTTTTGCCTGTTAAAGGATCTGTCTGATGCCCTCGAACGTCGTACTTATGACATCCGAAATGAGAACGTGAACACGGTATCTGTTCACCGCTTTCTGCGTCAATCTCGTGCGCAACGTCCAATACTCGTTCTACGCACGTGACGGTCGTGTTTGGTCGAATATAATCTGAAACTAGGCCAGAATAGGCTTTATAATATCTTCGTAAATCATTGGGTACAGCTCGCTGGAAACGATTCTGGGCCGTATATTTCAGACCAGGCAACTCCATCCAGCCAGCTTTGCTCACAGTTTTTTGCTCATATTTAGAATCGAGACTATTCCAGACACCGCCTCCTTCGCTTTTTCCTAATACCACGTGATTTATGGCCCTTTCTGGATGATATTTCCATTCTAAATTCGATTCTTCTTCCGATCCCACATCGGCTCCTGGGCATCGTAACGAGTCTATTAGTTTCGGTATAGGATTGCTCGATCTTCCGTCTACTGCCAATTGAGATAGTAAATCCAAATCGTGTTCAATTAGCGATATCTTGGAAGATAAATGCTTGATCAAAGGATGTTCAGCGTCTGCCCTCAAATAAGGCCAATGACCAGACAAAACATACGATGTGAATAGACCGCTTGGACCGTTTCCTACTACCACTACGTCGATGTATTCCATACCAGGTTGTTCCGGCTGTCTGCCGGCTTTTTCGTTTATTTTTAGAGGAAAACCCCAATATTCACCTTGTCTTTCCACGCCATCTGCACTCAGTATTCTCGCTACATTTTTTTTGAGGCGCCATCTGCACTCTACCTGCGAGAATACTTTGAAACAGTTTGCGCTAGATGCGGCATCCGCAACTGGTTTGCAAAAAAGATTTTCGATGGACTTATCTTATGTAAGTACAAAATACATGAATATTTGAGGATATTATAAATTCCTTGTGACATGAGGTAGGACCAGATTTACTTTACACTTGATTACTATTTGATGCAGTTAATTAAAAGATTAGGCATCTGGTAAGCAGAGTATAATCATCCACATGCTTTACAGATGGATGGATAAGTCCGTAGCTGGCCAAATTTTCTTACAAAATCCTTAAAATTCTTTATTTTTTTATAAGTAGAAGTAATTTATTTTTTTTTAAGCAAAACAAATTTTGCTCAGTGTAACAAGCTTACATCAAGAGAGCTCTCTGTCGTTCGTGGCTAAGAACGTCATTCCCCGGCGTTCTTAGCACTTCTTGACTGTTGTGTAGAAGAAAACTTTAAGCTAAAACAGTTCTTCTATTTGCATGTATAGATTTACGGCGTGAGATGATAAAGCGTTCCGTAAGAACGATTTTCCACTTTATTTTGGCCTATCTTTTACCCCTCTCATTCTAATGAAATCCACATTTCAGCCGATAACGTCCGGTTCTCCAACTATTTGTCTTATCGGATCGAACCGAACGAACACGACGTCGGAAGAGAGGATTTATCAAGTCGTCTATAAGGCCTACACTTACTTACTGCCCATCATTTCTTCCTTCGGACTTGTCGGCAATATTCTAAATTTGATTATTCTTACCGGAAAGCGCGTTTGTTCCTCTCTAAGAACGGGAGAACGTTCGGCCAATGCTTGTCTAGTAGCGTTAGCCGTATCTGACATGTGTTTCTGTGTATTAGCTTTTCCGGCAGCCTTCGTTCATTCGGATCATTCCTATGAATCGGCTGCGTTTCTTGCCTACTACGACGCTTACTGTCCAGGAACAATAAACTTCTTTATACTGTCGAGTACATGGCTAACCGTAGCGATGTCTGCAGAAAGATGGCTAGCTATTTGTCATCCTCTAAAATCGAGAAACGCTATCACTTTATCCAGAACCAAAGTTGTTATAGTTGTAGTTTTCGCTATTTCCGTACTCTTCAATATACCAGTTTATTGGCGATATAAGATGAAAACGACAGTAGAGTGTGGTCGAAGTATGGTAACTGTTGCAGAGGCGAAGATCATAAGCGACAAATTTGAACATTCCTACCGGATTGCCTGGGCAGTTTTTGGTAATATTTTCCCGTTGTTGCTGCTCCTATTGTTTAACGGCGCTTTGATGCGTCAAATCCATAAATCATACGCGATGAGGAGATTAATGAAGAACATGACTGGGAAACGGCAATCGGAGAGTGACGCTAGTAGACGTATTACACTGACGCTTGTTTCAATCGTCGTCATGTTCTTCATTCTCGTTGCTCCAAGTGATGTTGCTAAGCATGTCACACTGCTTGTCGAAGAAGAACTGACAATGAACTTTACATACAAAACTATCGAATTGATTACTAACGTCATGCAGACTATCAACTTTTCCGCCAACTTTGTTCTCTATTGCATCATTAACCCGTCTTTCCGAAGAAGTATGACATCAAGATTCGGTTGCCGAGAATTCGAAACGTCAGAGATGGCTCCAACTTCTTTTAGGATGTATAATACCAATCCGAGGTCAAGGTCGACTCGTAGCCTTCTTGACTAATTAGACTACATTAGTATTAAAGCTTCTAACTCGCTGCCGCCAATTTATCAACTTTGCTGTATATATGAAGTCTTAAGAAATCTAATAAGAATACTAAAATAAAAAGAAAGAGAAAGAAAGTGAAAGAAAGAGAGAGAGAGAGAGAGAGAGAGAGAGAGAGAAAGAAAGAGAAAGGAAGACGACAGAACAGAAAGAGTCCAATTGAAGAAAATGAACTGAAAAGACAGCTTATTCATAAAAGACGTCTAAAAATCATTTGTATAAAAAATTAGATATCTTAGGGTGTCTTTCTAGAGAGAATATTATATAATTGACTCATAGTATGGGTATAGTCAATATATTTCTTTTATATTTTTTAAATAAAGGAAAATATACAATCCATACTTTGTTGACAGGATTTTCTCAATGATTAATTTTTAAATTGTTTGCCTGTAAACAGGAATGGAGTTTGGAAGTAAATAGATTGTTCCTCTAATATTTCGCGCATCAACGCCTTAGGCATCCCAGTTTGCACTTAAAAAATATTATACTAACTGAAAACATGAGCATAACAGTTATGCAGGAAAATAGAATAAAAATGGAAGGAAGAGGCCGGAAAATGGCTGATAAAAGCCTATTTATTACTAGTTATTTATGGTGTTAAGAAGTCCCGGTAAACTTTCAGTCGAAAATGACTACTAAAAAGTTAAATTTGAAAAGTGGATATCATTTTCTAAACGCGACTTAGTCAAGTAAAATTTACTATGAATGGCTTTTTTTTACTGAATATTGATTAACTGAATCGAATTATCCCTTATGACGGCTTAATACTGTCGCCAGATGTTTCCGCTGAAACCCAATAGATGGCATAGTAAATTTCATAGAGGCGGAGCGGTTTGAAGTCACGTGGCATTGACGTCAGAATGACAATCTGCTGACGTAGTTGCTAGGCCGAATTCCAATCGGTGACGCGAATTATTAAACTGGCACCGTATTCCAATTTTATTTGAAAGGCTTTTTTATGGTTCGGAAAGTGGTGGACTACAAATTTGCATAGGCCGACACGTATGGCATATGTGCTTTTTCGAAATTTAGGAGAGATTCATTGTCTTTATGGAAGAAAAGTCTGCAGCTGTTGAACGAAAATAAGAGTTTCTATTGTTACTTAAACATCAACTAAGCTGTTTTAACTGCTTCCGCATCAAGGTAGTACATTTTAAAGAAGAATCAGTCGATTAAAAGAAGAGAGGTTGATAGTAATCTGTTCTTTATACAACTTCATACTATCACAATGACCAATTCAGCATCTACGCAAAATTCAACATCGAATCCAACCATTCTTCAGTACGCTCCGAACGGTGAGGGGCAATTTTTCATTCCTGTTAGTGTCGCCGTTACGAACCAACAGCCTTATCAAACGGCAACCACACTACTGCAAGAGAACACTGGTGTTCATGAGGAATCAAATAAGAAGAGAGAACTTCGTCTGTTAAAGAATCGCGAAGCTGCTAGGGAATGTCGGCGGAAGAAGAAGGAATATGTAAAATGTTTAGAAAATCGTGTAGCTGTTTTGGAAAATCAGAACAAAGCTTTGATAGAAGAATTAAAGAGTTTGAAAGAAATTTATGGAGACAAAGAAGAAATTGTGTGATTGTTAAGTGTTTATTAAATGAATTAATTGAAGATAATGAACAAAAGTGTACAAATTGGTGCTCAATTGTGATTGAAAGCTATTCAATACAAGATATGTTGCTGAGATTAAGAAAAAAATGTACAAACAATCAGAAGTATAATCGTTTAAGACATTCTTAAAATGATAAATAAGAAATTCTTAAAGAAATATGAAAAACATCCCCCAATAAAATTATACAACTAACTACTATTTACTTTCTTCTATTCAATTTAAATGCATTAATTATCATAACTACCAATTTAAACAATCTTATAACTAATTACTGTGTTAACCGCAACAAATAAGCATTGCAAATACAGAATAAAGAAGAGAAGAATTCTAGAAATATACTAGGCAGACTACCTAATCAATTACGTATATTAGTGTATATTATTTATTGTTCATTTAAAAACAATGTTCAATTAATATTGACATTTAGGAGGGTTAGAATATTCGGAAATTAAACTCAGTTTACAAGAGTAAACTTATCTTACTTAAGGAATTTTTAGGATTATATTTTCTTCATTCCTTCATAATGCAATCAGCTTTAACCTTAAGAAATGTAGAATTCTTTATGTAAGAGTTTTCTTAGTTTGTCATTCATTAGAATTAAATAAACTTCAAAAGATAAACTTTCTAGTTTAGGAAATCTTTCATTTTCGCTTCTCTCAATTTTCGAAAGAGTAATAGTTGGGGACGAAGTTGATTGGTTGACAAACACGTGACGTTGAACTCTGAGCCTATAAGTAAAGCGTTACTTCCTCGGTTCCTGAATCAGAAGATATTACAAATAAAGGTAAGTAAGACGAAGAAAAGAGCTCTGCTTAAACTTTTCTTTACTTTTTATTGTTGTTTCGTTTTATCACTCTTTTATTTTCCTTTTCTTTAAATATTTATAGCTTGAATGTTTTATATCGGAGAGACAGACAACAATTCAGCGAAGCCCTTTTCAAAATGTCTCCAAACAAAGAGACTTATAAATATTTTGTTAAATCAAGAGAGTAAATTAAAATAGTTTACAGCAATGAATACATATACATATTGTATATGCTGTATAGATATATAGATATAGGTTCATACGTATTTAACTAGATGCTTAGTTTCTTAATTAAACAAAGTTGTGCATATGTTTTAAATTCAATGTGTATATTCATATAAGACTTGATAGAAGACTAAAGAAAATTTACGATACATCAGTATATGTTATATATAGAGGTGTATGCTTTTAAAACATATACACCTCTTGGAAGAGAGGAAGAAAAAAGTATTGCTACTTTGTAGCTAGAAACGGTTATGCTCCTTTATTCTATAAATATTTCCTGCACTTAATTTTTCTTTACCCTAACAATATTGCCCCCTTTTATCAGAGGCACCTCTTAATGAAAAAGTCAATAAGTTAGTATAGGAGAAATAGCAGGTCGCAGAACAGATATAAGGTATAAGTCCTGCCTAAGCTGATGCACCTTTGTTTGACAAGCGCCTTTGGCAGACTAGTACTTGATGACGTAACGTAATCTTCTCGTATTCTTAATCCAGATATGGCATACGTTATTCGCTCGCTTTTCCTCATCGTACTCTTAGTCAACGGTCTTTTCGTCAATGCCGAAAACACTCAATCAAAGATGGTGGACGGTTTTTCACCAAAGACGGCACTGGTAAGTCTTCCTGTCGATTATGAGTGAAACCTTTAAAAAGAATGCTTCAATTTCGAGACGCTATTGTTTTTGACAAACCCCTCGCTTCTGGGTGTTAATTTGCTTTTGTATTTTCTCAGCAACTGGCTGCTATAGGAAGAAGATTACTAAGAATAGCTGCTGAAATGAGAGGCGACGTTGATGCCAAGAAGAGGAATTCTGGTATGCTCGATGCTCTAATAAATATTCCCGACTTTTTCAATTCTGGCCGTCGTTAAATAACGAAAAAGAAAAATGAAAAGTTTTTGAAAAAGAACTTTATCTGATCTCCAACTTTGAATGAGACTATTTAATGTCAATGAAATAAAATTTATCAGATCGAAATACATACAGAATCTTATCCAAGTTTTTCCCAAATATTTAAACAATCAGTTCAATAGATAACTAATAAACTGAAGAAAACTGAATCTATTCTAATCTCTCTTTACACTTCCTATAGTGTACTTTAAACAAATTCGTTTTTATATAAAAATCTTTTCTCTCTTCTGTATTTTCCACTTGTTATCTATACACATACATACATGTACACATGTACTCTCTCTCTCTCTCTCTTTCTTTTTCTTCAATCTAACAATTTTCTTTTCTTATGAAAAGCAAGAGACAAAATAAAGCATAAGCGTAGATATTTCTCTAAGTTAACAAATATGGAGAATATATAGAATATATATATATTTTAGGTTTAGAATATATTTTTTGATGCTCCGAATTAAGCTCTCAATCCCAGGGGACAATAGTTCGTAAATTTGAAGAGAAATGCAATCATTTCGGTAGGCATGTTTAGAAGTCTGAGTTTTCGGTTTGTTAATTGTTATATTGAAGGTTAAATTATATCCAAGAACTCATTTTATATGATGAGTGATTAGCTCTTGTTCCTCTTTACTTATTATGGATCTCTTATGCTGTCTCACACAATGTAACTCGAAACTGTACAATAACAAAGAAAAAGTGGTAAATGATTAGCTTTCTTTATTTTCTTTTTCATGTGAATAATGGAACATCGATTAATTAGAATTGTATGTAAAATATTCAACTGTAGTAAGCTTTCAGGTTGGTTTTGTTAATAATCAGGTTTACTATTCCTCCATATAAAACGAAGGTTGTTGTTTGAAAATACTTTATATACTGTACATAAACTATTTTTAATAAAACAAAAAGCCTGTATTTTTCCATTTCTCTTAAGAATAACAAGTTAAGTGTACTGAAAAAAACGATTTGTATGATATTTTATATTCGTACGAATATAGAATATCAGAATATCTTAATCGCGTATATTAGTAATATTTTTAGTTTAGTAAAAGTACTCTAATCAATCTAAAATATACAGTCTACGGTTTGTCGTGAAGTTTTTTCGCGTGCCTGAAGACGCTATAATGCTATTGAAACCTTCATTACAGTTTTATTTCTTCACTAGCAAATTTAACCAGCGGTAAATTTAAGTTAGTATGGCTTACTTTTATTTTCCTGGCTAACAGTTTTGGTATATATGGAATCATATGCATAATATTACATTATTCTACATTGGAATAGGTTTAATGAACTTTTTTCTACTTTATCTTTACTGTATATTTTCTTAATCGATTTGTTGTTCACTCGTTCATTTCTGCTCTTTATTCTCCTTTTCTCTCCAATCATTTTTCTTTGATATATGCCCTTAACTTTCTTTCTAGAGGTGAAAAATTTCCTATGTTGGCAAGTATTCTTCTTTTCTATAAAAGCTAATCATCTTCATTTTTCCTATTAAGTAACGTTTCCTTATAGTATTTTCGTACATCTATGTCACAAAAATGTCATTTTAACCGTGGAATAAAACTTGTAGCCACAAGACATTTACCCTGGATATAAGACCTGTAATAATTCGTAGTATTTAAGAGTTATAACACTTTATAAAATAATAAAAGAGGCGTCTATTATTCTTTAAAAAGTTTTTCAACATAATTATAAACCTTATCATAGTCAAAAGTTTTCAAGAGCTTAATAATTCAAATGAAATTTTGTTAATAGTGAGAAATTCTTCAAAGGATGGTCTGACGTGCTGTAGTGCTGGTATAAATTTTTCGTTTGATTCATCAAATTCGCCACCTAGCGACAGAAATTTACTTATTATTTCCCTTCCTGATTGCTGAACTAGTTCGACGCTGATATAATAAAAACAATAAAAACATCAAGTCAAGATTTCCCAATAGAACATTTGAAAACGCCAAAGAGATGAACTTTGAAAAATATTTATGAATGAACCATTTAGTCAAATAAACATTTCGTTATCTTATTGAGTTGTTTACTATTGGAAACATACAAATATTAAGAGTAACATACTCTGTTGACTAGTTTTCATTTCATTTATTATACCTATATTTTTAAGAAACAGTGCAAAATGATCTAAATATTTATTATGATCATACAGGCACAATCCTATTTTATGCTTTCTTCTTTTTTCTTCATATTTGTTCATTGAAATATTAGAAAAATATATAAATTAAGCTGAGGAATTATAGCAACGACACGAGTTTTAATTCGAACCGTTGTCAGTCTGAAATATGAATACGTTCTCGAAAGAACATTGGGTTAGGAAGGTAAAAGACGCATCGAATAAACCTTATTCGACGTCTTATGGCGACTACGGTTATACTTCGGTGAATTGGCGTATGACTGATAGGTTTCCGAAGCAACCGGATAGTCCAAGGACTGTTAGACGTAAGGCGGAAGAAGAAAGACAGTTCACGGAACGTCAACAGATGGAACAAAAGTACCTCCATCAGAAGAAGGTTCGAGACTGGACGGAAAAGAAATTAAGAGAATCCGCAGAATTTTTCGATCAAGATAGTGTTCCCTTCAAGAAATCCGATAGAGAAAAGGTTACAGTTGTCCAGCGACGCCCTAGACGTCAACGAGATTTACACGTAAACGAACGCTTTTTCGACTACAAGTTCAACGAACCTTGGAGACACTTCCGTCACGACCACAAAAACAAGGGACCGTGGAAGCAAACCTACTGGTAGATCACCTAAAGACATTGTACGGCATAAATAGAGAAAATAATATCCTGTCTGTTAAATGTTGAGTTGCACATTTATGAAACTCTAAAATATCAGAAGGGAAGTTTAATTATGTTTCAGATAATGTTATAATTACCTAATTATAATATTTAAATTCACATTGCGATATGCTGTTAGTATATTTAAATATTTCACCACACGGCGAATAAGACAAGTTGAGTTTGCACATATAAAAAAAAGTATTATGACAACCATTCCTTCTATCGCTTAAGAGTGAAGGATTTTACATTAATAGAACACAAACGGTTATCTAAATCTACTCAAAATAGATGATCAAAGACATATCTTAAAAAAAGAAATTAAACCTATTTAAATAATATAGGTTAGTATACTAACAAATAATTAGAAGACTTTTACAAATACAAATTCTATATATAAATATATATGTATATATATGAATATATCTATGTATATGTATATATCGCATATATACGTCGTATTTACATTCTTTTATAGCATAGCAAGAACACATTTTTGTCCGCATTCACGCGTACTGTCATTTTGTAGATAAATTGAATAGCACATATTGGCTAATGTAACTAATACGAGATAAGCAGTTCGCGGCACCAAGAGAAATCGGTCATTTAGGATGGACTTTAACCATTCTGGACGAGATCAATGATGCAGACACTTTCCATCACGTGTTTCTTTGTGAAAATCAGAATATTTGCTTTTTTTCAATTTTGAGATTTGATGTCTGCATTTAAATCTTGCGTAATCTGCATTCTTTCGACTAGAAAATATTGGAGGTTCAAAATTCACTTTTGTTTTACAGCAGATAAGTCCGCATAGCGCGGAACAATAGTTTTGTGTGTATCAGGTAGACACGACATTCGTCGCTCGACCGCCTCTTTATCTGTTTCGAGGAAGACGTGTTAATTTAAAAGTAAAGCAGTATGGTTCATTTTATTTACAATCAATTAAGGTTTCTTTGTCCATGTCGTTTTTAGCATGTTGAGACAGATGCTGAAGGAGGATTTGGGCACTTTTGTATAACTGGAAACTCTGCCAAAAAAATATATTTTCAATTGATTCAAAAATAGCAATTATGAATTGTAAATTTACCTCTTCGTTTCTACCCATTAGTTCTTGCATAGGAGCCGATCGACACTATAAATACAAACTATATGTTATTTTTCTGAAATATCAAGGTGTAATTTCACCTACCAAATCAACAACATGCTGATATATAACTTTATCGGCAATCCTGCTTAACTTTTCATAATCAAAGCCAGCATGGTTTTCCTTTTCGATATAATCTCGTTTAATATTACTACATACTTTTAAAGCTTTCTTATAATTCGTATGAGCTTGACGAATAACTGTTGGAATAAGTAAATGAAATAAAAGCTTGAAAAGTTACACTAATTTAAAACTAACTTTGTACGACAGTAGGAGTTACTTGTAGTCGACCATTTTTATGCTCCACAGCAGTTAAACTGAGAACATTTTGTAACATATTGATAACTCGAAGGTAGAGGGCTAGTAGTTCAACAATTTTCTGTTTATGCTCATTCATAAAGCTCAGACTAACATCTTCATTAGCATTTTCCAAGACAGGGCTACTTCTATCTTCTGCTAGCTGCATTATGTATTCACAACTTCCTGTTGCAAAATCCAGTCTATTCACGAGCTCGTTATGAATGTTATTCAACAGTAGTTCGTCAGTCAAGTATGGTGTCTTCATTTCATCGGATTCATATCTTACAAGTGCATTTTGACCAACGGCTGCTTTTAAAATACCTTTTTGATGTTCGGACAGCTGAACTCTTCCACCACTCGGCAAATCCAATTTCGTTTCCGAATGCTTTCTCTCCATGTGGGATTCGAAGTCAATTTTTGATACAACTTTTGTAGGCGACTGAGCAATCGTTGGCAAGGATGATGGACTTGTGGCAGCCGCATGCATACCTGAACGGGATCTCGGCGAAGATCCGAAAGATCCAGAATTTCTTCTCCATGTCAATCCGGGAGACATGTGATCAGGAGGAGTACCAATAGTAAAATGAGCTGTTGGAGGACTCATCGACTCGATGTCAATTCTTTCGATTGAATTTTTTCTCCTTCTTATCAAAGATGAACTTGTGGATGATAGGCTGGAAGGAGAGGAGGGAGAATTTTTCAAAGATCTCGATAACTGCATTTTTTCATAGTTTTCAATTTGAGTAGGAACTGGTTTGACCAACGAACCAGGTGAACTTCCCTTACTACCAAACGGTAGGCTATGGGGTCGATTTCTACCAGGAGAATTAGATGGCTGTTTTTTAGCATAGGGAGCTGATCTATGCTTGTGTTTTGTTGGTTCGATGTCATCATAGTTTTCAGGAAAGATAGCTTGTAATTCGGCATAAGATTGTGGTAAGTTTTCTGGAACCAAAACAAAATCTTCAACAGGAGCTTCAACTTTCGTAAATCCTCCCAATGATGCAGGTGAAGTTCGACCAGAAGAACCAGGACTTTTTTCAGAACCTGGAATTTTCCTGGGAGCTGAAGCATTTCCTCTACCGGGCATACCAGACAGGGGTGAGACAGAAATTGTTTTCATTGACGGAGAATTACTAGATAATGAAGTTCTAGAAGAACGCGTATTTGGGACTGCAACGGGAGCCGCTGTAAAGAAAACGCAAAATTGAATATTTGTTGTTTTATGTTGTAAATAATAAAAACTAACATTTTTCTTTAATGAATCTGTGATTAAAGAAATCATCAAAGTTTATTCTCTCCCTTGCATTTCGCTTTAGAATACGCAATAAAAGGTCACTCAAATCTTCCGACGTTCCCGTTGGGATACTATATAAAACTTTTGTTTAAGATTGATCATTGGTTTATTAGAATTAAACTTACTGAGGAGCTAAGTTACTGCTTCTTTCATAAAATTGTTTCAATTGGGATGGTGTACTGGCAGCAAAAGGAGCCTTTCCGGTTAAACATTGATACACAATTGTGCCAATGCTCCATAAATCAGCTTTATTATCGTATTGTAACGACATAATTACTTCTGGAGCCTGGAGAGATAATTTACTTAGAAACGTTATTTATAAACTTATCATCAACTTACCATATACATTGGAGAGCCACATAGAGTTGCAGCCATAGCACCATTACCCAGAAATCGTGCAAAGCCAAAATCAGCTGTTAAACAAAAATCATTTAGTAAATAGTATTGCGATTCTAGAATAATAAAATATATTTCATATGTGAAATAGAGGTTAATATATTTAGTGTTTATAAATAAAATCAAGGTCGACGACCTAGCATTGATAAGTACAAAGCTCTGACCTATTTTGAGAGTCATATCACGTGGATCCGGATTCTTTTTGCAACTATTGTTTTGTAAAAGTATGTTTTGTGGCTTAAGGTCACGATGAACTATTCCCTTATTGACCATAGCCTTCAATCCTCGGGAAATTTGCCGTAGAAAGAAAGATATTGTATCCTCACTGAGTGTACCTTTAGCTATATATGAATGGAATGTTGTTATTGTTGATATTGAAGTTGTTTATATGAAATGAATAGAAATTCATATGTTACAACTTACCGTGTAAGTAATCTGATAAGTCACCGGAGTTGCAGAACTCCATGACTAAATAAACATATTGATCACCTTCCTGTAATAAAAAAAAATTATGTAATAATAAGGTGAGCGAATTTCAAACAATACAGAATGTTCTAGATGAGAACGTAAAAATATTTATCAGCTGATTGTAGGCTCAAGGAGGATTTTTTTCTGTGTATTTACTGCTGGTTATCGATGATGAAATAGTAAACAATCCTTGAAAACAGCTGATTTATATTTCTCCTACGACGTAATAAATCTTATAGTAGAATCAACTATTTTTCGAAAATATTCTAAATTTTTAATAAAAGTTCAGCATGATCACACGTGATAAAAGATTGCTTTTTAAAATACAATATAACAGTCCTTTTTAACTTAAAAGCTTAATGCATAAAAGTGTGAGACACGTGTAAGCATATTTCGTGTTCTAAAATTGACCTTTTAGAACACAAAAGAGAAAAAAACTTGTTGGAACTAGTGTCAATAATAGATAGTGATTCGGAACCAAACGTTAACGAACAGCCCTATTAAGGCCTCCTCTTTTAGAAAGACACTGGCCTTGGAAGATCATTATAAATTGTTACAGTTCAAAGTCCGTTAGTAACTTTTTAACACAGAAGCTGGCACAATTTGGTATTATTCAATATACTATAATATATATATATATATACAAATTTTCTCCCAACAAAAAGAGATCAATGACCTGGTTGCCAAGGATAATAAACAATCTTGCATCATTGAATGAAAAAAAAAGTGACTCATTTAAATGAATATTATTGATTTGTGTCACAACTTTAAAACACACGTGTGTGACCACTAAATATATATATTCATCATAGACCATCATACGTATTTTGTAACTAATGTAAGGCTACAATTGTCTCTTATTACAACACATTTCATAATACGAGTACCCTGGATGAGGGTGTTGCAATAGTTTAACGTCACACAGAACACGTGTCGTTCAATGATCGCGGCCTAAGTTCACAAAGGCGTTCGTTCATACACTTAAATTTTTATATAATTAAAGAAATAAAGAATATGACGTACCGCTCTGCATTCTAGAAGAGAGACTAAATTTTCGTGATTAAGACTTGATAGCTCCTGTTGAAATTTATTATAGAAAATAATTAAAATTTCACTGCTTTTGCGTTAATAGCTTACTTTGAGAATATTGATCTCTTTTGACAGTAAATTTTGACTTTTAGAGATGTTCTTCTTTGTGACTCTCTTTATAGCGACCGTTGTAGAAGGGTTCTAAAATGAAAAAGATTTTTTTTTTATATAGAAATAATGATTAATTCAATGAGCTCTTTGTTGAATTACCGTGGTGAAGCGACCCTTAAATACAACAGCAAAGGCTCCATGACCCAAAATATCCTTGGGATTATACTCGAACTCTCCAACAGTGTCCATTCTTCTTGTTTTATCTTGTTTGACTAAAAGATATTTGGCATTTTTAATAGTTTCTACGTCAGCTGATATAAAATCGCTTAGTAAAATTTCAAGGTTAGCTTGTCGATCATTGTCTATTAGACCATGTTGACTCTTTCTTCAAGAATTATAAAATGAGTCTCCAATAACATATATTATCCCTGAACAAAAATAAAAATGACGAAAGAATGTTGCATAAATTCTATTTTGCTGTTACCGGATAGCCCAGCTATCGCTACGCTGAAAAAAATAGTTCCCAACCTACTTTTAAATTATACGCAAATTTTTGTCGGAAAATTCTTGTAAATACTCAAAAAAGATGTTGAATTTTTCAAGATTCAATTTTACCTTAAAATAAGAATATTGTTCCAAAAATTCCTGTATATAATTAACATATGAAAAGGATTTACAGTAAGGATAATAATTCCGCGTCACTTTTTCGTTGAGTAATGTTGTACGGGGAGAGAGCACCCGATTGCGTTGTAAACAAAGGGTAGGCCTAGTTTAAAAAAAAAACTGGAAATGAATAGGTCGGGTTCACGGCTGCTACTACGGGGTATATTATTCTATATTATTTTGCGTCGTAATTAATGAATAACATGCAATTTCATGTTCAAGTCACGATGAACGTGAAAATGTTCCCGGCTTGACATTGACTAATTATAACTTCTAGGCACGCTCTTCAGATTAAAAAGGTATTAGTAACAAAACTAAGAAATTATAAACTCTTATTATTCACCCCAAAGACGTTTTTACGCGGAAATAGTTGGTATTTTCATTTCATAGCTTACATTTAGATAACTATTTTTCAATGGTCAACAAATATTTAATAGGTCAATTGTTCGTTGAACGAAGGTCGACTTTGTATTTCTCATTATACTAGCCCAAGCTAGGGCATCCTCTTGCCTAAGATCCGGTTATTGCCTTTACTTCGAAATGGCACGTTATAACCTTCTTTTCCAAAGCGGAGTCACTTATTATGCTAATGATACATAAATTGACCTATATTCCATTAATTGTGTATAAGAAAAAAAAACGAAAACACAACCGATCTATTTCATAAACACATCTATTTATGATGAAATTCATGACGTATAAATAGAAGCCCTATGAAAGAAAAAACGTACTCTCTTAGTACGTGACTTTTCAATGTTAATTTAATTAATGATTTTTTTTACAAGTTTATACTCATATGCATATATTTATATATTAAAGATATTATAATAAATCCATATTCAAATACCTAATACAACCTAGGGTAATATTAATAATATACAAATATAAACATATAAATTTATATATAAGTATATATTGTATATGTTATAAGAGATATATATGATTATTTCCTCGAATTCTGTTTTCTTGTTAAATGTATTAGCTATTAGTTTTATAAAGGATTGAAACGATTTTTTTCATCCTTTTAAGAATTTTAACTGTTCTATAGTATCGATTTTTTTTTCTTTTTTATTCTACATTGTCTGTTCTGTTTCACCGATAAAAATAAAAGCTCAGTGATGGATCAATATACATATACTGTATATATATATTATATATATGTATACAGTATGCTGTACACATCTCTATATATACGCAAATTTAAGTAGAATTAAATTCATAACCGAACGAGGTCAGCGGACTTTGGATTAGAGTGTGCAGAAAACAAATTGGCTTCGTAATTGAACTGTTTTGTGTTATCTGTTTTTATCAAAACCTAAAAAAGGAATAAGAAATATGCAACTTGTTATTTTTGCAATCCTGTTAAATGGTTTTTTCCTTTTTTGGTTATATAATGGAAATTTCTCTCTTGTTGTTATTTATAAAAAAATTCCAAATTTTACATAACTTTGTTATTAATCATTTTTTTAAAATTAATAACGAACTATATTATAATAATAAATAAACAAATGATATTTTTAATATAGTACTGTAAATAGCCATATTCACGGTGACTAATTGTATATTTTTGGGCGGTATTACATATTGATCTAGTTTTTTAATCATACGTAATAGCATAAAAAATATTACATATTATCTTATTCGAGTTAACCGAATTTTATATTCTGATATAATAAACTCTAATTTAAAGACATGGTTTTCTTTGTTAGTAAAATTATGATAACTTTATGTCAATAAGAACTAACTTTCTATAAAACTAGAGAAACTATCTCTTCTATATCTTACAATAATCAATTGTGTTGATAAACAAAAACGTACTTTCATTTGAATAAGCTAATATTTGATGACATAATAGGTAATACTTTGTTCGCTGAAAATACTAAGAAAGCAAGCGGTGACAGAGAGAGAGAGAGAGAGAGAGAGAGAGAGAAAGAGAATTAATGAGAGAGTAGAATAGAGAGAGATAGGAAAATATAGGAGAAAGAGATAGAGAGAAAGGCACAGATGGACAAAATCAAGAGAAAGGAAGATTAATCTTTTTTAATTTACATATTGTGCTACTATCAGCTTCTAGCTGTATGTAAACATCGCTAATCTACATAAGCTAATCGGCGCTTTAAATAAGACACGTGTAGAATTTTTTTTTTGTTTTCAAATATGTAATGCATTTAAAATGTTTTCCTTTTAAGCAATAAACTGCTCACACATTAATTTTCAAAACTAATTACAAAAAGCATATTTCTTTCTATCAATTAAAAATTACACACCAACATTTACTCATTAACACAAAAAGCCCGACCAGGTGCGTTAGAAAGTTTTGAAAAAGATATTCATAAACAATTTTTCTCTTTTTTTTTTGCATAATTAACGACTCGAATTTGATTTCGAAAAAAACCAGAAGCAAAAATTTTACATTAATGCGATAATAGCAAAATTTGGACAAATAATAGGTTTACACGTTCAAAGCGCAGTATTAATTAAATATAATTAATTAATCTAGATGAAAGAGAGACAGAGATAGAGAGATATAGAGGTATTTTAGAAAAGAACGTTTTCAAATATCGTGATGCGTTTCCATAAATTCCGATATGATTTCTTTGACAGGTTGTTGAAGTTCTTCTGGTGGTTCTCGTTCCTGTTCGATGTGAGTGTCTTCTGTTACTACAGTTTCCTCCTTACCGTCTTTTATAACTGTTCTTCTGCTTACTTGTTTTCTTAGAAGGAGGCTGTAATCATTATCGTATGCGTTATAAATAGTATTACAAAATAAAAATGACTGTAATTCACCTTGCTGATTCAGTTGCTCCTTCAGCATAAGTGTCGTCCGTAGTTTCAGCAGATTCCAAAGGAAACGCCTGAGCTATTCTAGCGGCTTTAAAAACATTATTATGCATATGATTAATTATTGACCAAAGCAATTTGTTATCCCCCAACAACACCGACGTGCTTTATTACGACAGTAAGGCTTAATAAAACCTAGATATAAGAGAAAACAGGTTATGTGACCTAACAGTGAAGAATGTATAAGATTTATCAAGTACTTTTTACATATATCAAAGAAAGAAGAGAACTATTTTTGATTTAGCCCAGATTGTGCTGAAAAAATGTAGTGTCAAAGTGCTCTCTTTTTTTAGAGTGATCGAACTAAGGAAAACAAAATTTATACGACACCTACACAAAAGCTGGAAACGAACCTTCCCATTCTTGACCAGCCGATGGTCCGCAATAGCAAGTGTCGGAATGCGACGAATGTGTATCAGACGCGCCCGACGTAGGACTACTAGTGGGTTGTGGAGAAACACGGCCTGAAATTTGTTGAATATTCGAAGCCGTCGTTCTCGCGTATTGACTAGATTCATTGAAAGTAAGGGTTACTTTTCCAACGCCTGGTTCGTACATTGTTAAACTTCGGGAGCTATGACTAGAACCGCTACTACTTGTGTCTGAAAATTGGGTAGCGCTTGTTATTCGGCGTTGGGTAACTGTTGTTGTACTTGATGCTATATCATAATTTCCTTCATGGTCCTTTCTAACCATTTCTCCATCGCTTGATGCTGTCATAGATACATCGGTGAGAAAGCTTTCCGCGCCAGATGATTGTTGGAGTGTAACAGAACTTTCTTGACTCCATGCGCCGCTCTCAACTGATTCACCAAGAGCTAATTTTTTTGTTGGAGGGCCTGCTTCATCTTCAGAAGTTCGTTCGGGTGGGGATCGTGGTACTTTTTGATCTTCTAAACTGTCGGATGACTGCATCATTGCAGTTTGTTCTTCGTACTGGAGGACATATTCATCTTTGCAGACGAGTGGGTTATCATCATCTTCCTCTATTTGGGGAACCCGATGCTCTGCATCCAAAGAATCTGTTGAGTCGATCATCGCTCTATCATCATCAGAATCAGCTCCGGGTAGTTCGAGAGGGCTTACGTCACCTAATGAATCAGCTGATGTCTGTAAAGCATATGTGCTTGGGCTTAATTCGATGGAATCCGCAGATTCATCCATAACTGATCCTGAAGGATTCAAAAACGAATCGTCTGGATTAGTGGTTGTCAGTCTAGTTATCCTCTCTGGAGAATTAATTATGCTTGAAGGTATTTGGCCGGTGTTTTGGTAGACTTCTACGACAGTGGGAAGATTTGCCGCAGCGGCACCCTCCACCTTAGTTTCTCCTTCTAAACTGTCTACAGACTCTTCCAATTGTGTTGTAGTATCTTCTTTAAATTCCACTTCTTTAGAACCTAGTGAGTCTACCATCATATTTTCATTCAAAGAATCTTCCAGCTTTACAGGATCTTCGGTTAAGCTATCTTTCATCACATCTACTTTGGGTTTTTTATCATCATTCAATGAGTCTTTCATTATATCTGATTCAGTCATTTTTTCATTTAATGAATCTTTCATGCTCGTTTCCATGCTCTTAGATTGTACAGGCTCGTCTATTGAGTCTGTAGACAGGATCATATCCGATTTTGGTTGCTCTTTTTCTATTGAAACTTTCAAAACTGAATCAGATTCTGTCGATTTCGCTAACTGTTCTATTCCAGCTGAACTGTGCATTGAGGACGCATCTTGAGCTGAATCGATTGAAAAATGCATCACTGAATCTTGTAGTGAATCTGATACTTCCGAGCTGGAATCTAACTCTGCCGTGGTAGTTTGAGTTGGACCAACTACAACGTCCGTGTCGACAGAAGTTGTAACTACTTCTGAAACTCTCATCATTTCTTGTACATGTCGGGTGAGTAAGACAGCTTCAGATACTTCGCTTATTTCTGTCGTTGAAGATAAGATTTGTAATGATTGGTGAGACTTTGATTTCTCTTCCTCAGATATTGAGCCTGATTCCGATTCTTTAGTAATTGATAAAGCTGGGCTTGACTCATGAGAAGTCAATGTGCCTTTCTCCAAGAGGCTAACTACTTTTCTAGCCTCTGTTTGTAATTCATAATCAAGAGTCATCTGTTTTTCGAGTCTTTCAAATTCAGCTAAAGAAGATGATGAAGACGCAGTACTTTGTTTTTCGCACAATAATTCGTTTGAGCTGGATGTTGCTTCAACCTCTTTCTCAAGTCTTTCAAATTCAACAAGAGAAGAAAACGAACTCCCAGTTGCGCTTTTTGGAACAGTTTCCTCAGGTGTGAGTGCAACCCGATCCAAGTCTATTGAATCAGATTGTTTTAAATCACTTTCAAGACGTTCAAATTCGGCCAATGACGAAGAAATAGAACCATAAAGATGAGGACTATCCGACGGGGCTGAGTCAATACTGCCCTTATCGGATATCTCCTTTTCTAATCTTTCAAATTCTGCCAAAGACGACGATATCGAAACATCATCTGTACTAGGGCGCGAACTTGAAATTTCAATAGAACCAGAACTGCTTGTTCCAGTCTCTATGCGTTCTGAACTTGTCGTTTTGGAACTTGAACTTTCGGACGGTTCGATTGTAGGTACGATGGAGCTTTCCTTAGGTGGAGCTTCCTGCGTGTAAATATCTGATGTATAACTTGAGGTCATAGAAGCAATTTCAGCTAATCGATCTTCTTCATCATAATGAGCTGCAAGTACAGTTGCAAAACTATCTACGCTTGATGTTTCAATTTGAACATCATAATCTGGACTTGCAATCTCACATATAGTTGTTAAAACTTCTGTTGAGGTTGGTTTCGATGAAAGAGGTGATTTGGAATCTGGGGTCTGGCTTCGGTCACTTTCGTTTTCAGAATTTTCCATAATAGTTTCAAGGAATCTAGTAGACGCCGGAGGCGTGACATTACATTCGGATAATTCAATATCCTGTAACATTTCGTCACTATCGCTTAGATGAGAAGAACCAAGATTTCTGCTCTGGTCCCGCCCCCGGCCTTCTACTAAAAAAGGATCGGTCTCTTGAGGTGAATCGTCTTCGCTAGATGACTTAGCTTGAGCTTCAGGCGGCTTAGGGGGCGGATCTTCCTGAAGCTCATACCGATGCCCTAAAAAAGGCTCCGCATCTCTTTCGACTTCCATTGCTTGTTCATCGTCTTCTTCATCTGTTTCCATCAATTCTTCTGCTTGGGGAACAATTTGAACTTCTTCATCTGATTCATGGTGGTCATCTTCCACTATTTCTACTTCTTCAATCGAAAACGGCTCACTACTTTCTTCAGCTGCTTTTGCAAAATGAAGAGGATAGTCTCCCTCATCAGTTTCTTCATATACGTGTCTTGTAACTCTAATTGATGGAACATGCGTAGAATCTTTAGGTTTTTCTTGTACTTCAATATCTGAGAATAACATTTCTTCATCGCTACTCTCAGCAGGAGGAGCTGCTTCTTCAATCAAAATTCTTTCACCAATAGCAGCAGCTTTTTCCATTTCTTCTTCTTCTTTTGTCATAACATTAATTACTCGTTCTTCTACTTTCTTTACGCCCTCAATTATTTCAGGGTCCTCTGTCATTTCATCCTCACTTGATAGATGCTCTGAGAGTTGGGGAAGGGGGGAAAGAGGCCTCTCGAGCTCTTCAATGGCTTCATCAGTGTCTGATATTGAAATTATCCTCTCCAGTTCTGCATCAGTCTTTTGAGATGCAGTTTCTAAATCGGTATCTTTTAAGTATTGTACTCGCTCTGTTGTTTTACCAAAGTCATCTGGTACTTCTTGAAGACCAGAGAGTTGACCAGCGATGATTTCCTCTTCAAGTGTTTTTCGTCGCTGAACACTTCCAAACATTTCTTGTAAATCCTCATTCATTACACCGCTTTGACTATCAGGTACCTTTTCATCATCAGAAGAATCTGATAAATTACTAGCAGCCATGTGCTGTGTACCTAAAGGCTCAAATGGATCTTGAGCAACAGCATAGTGCTGTTGAAATTGATCATACTCTGGCTGATATTCAACTTCTGTTGGACCATTTGAATCTTCAAATATTTGTTGATCAGCTTCTGGCTTGGAGTTTTCATCTTGGAAAGGCTCCAAGGCAGGAGGTACTTCTTGTGGACTAATCGGTTCGGGATCTAGTGCAAGACTGGAGTCTTGATCTCCAGTGGCTGTTGGAGTTAGTGGATCCGTATCTTCAGAAAAGTCGATTAAGCTTTCAGTTGTTGATGGTTGTCTCTCATCATTAACATTGTCTTGAGTAAGTGTATTCGTTTGACCCTCAAATACATCATCATCTGGACTTGACAATATGGTTTTTGTTTTAGCATCATATGAAGTTGGTAAAGACTTCTCCACAGAGTCAGGGCTTACATCATAAGTAGCAACAACTCTTGAGATAGAGCAGCTATCTAAATCGTAGGTTGCGGCCAAAAGTGTTGGCTCGTTTGAGGCTTCAGATGAAGAAGAAGTTTTAACTTGATCCTCGCTTGATAAAGACATCGCCTCCGAAACTTTGACTGATCTTGCTTCTAGTCTTTCAGTGATTTGAGCCTGCGCAGGCGCGAGATCTGTTTGCATTTCAGCTGCCAATTCTTCTTTCATTGCTTCATCATAGTTTTGTTCCATATCTTCACTATCGATAGAAGCGGACTCTGTTTTGTCACTTTCCTTATCAACATCTAAAACGTCTTGTAAAGCATCAGATTGCTTGTATCTACGATCTTCACTATCATCTTCACAAAGAGTTGGTGTTCCTCTATCTGAATCAAAAGAATGGGTGAATGACTCAGGAGCCGTCTCGTACTGGGATGTAGCAGTAGAAGTAATGGTATCGATTGACCGAGTTTCAGAGGAAAATTCGGATCTTGCTGTGACATAAGAAGCAGCGGTTGTGCTTGAGGCTCCACCAAAGGTATCAACTGAAGAACTAGAAGTAAGTGCTGATTCAAATTCATCTGATTCTCTGGAGCTGATTGTTGCACCTTCTAATCCCAAAGCAGTTGGTGTTGTTCTCATGCTGTCATTGTCGTATTCATCTTCATCGATAATAATTACTTGTCCAGAAATACCTTCAAGGCTATGTGTTGGTTTAACGGCTTCTTGTAATTCAGCTAGATCTTGTTCATGTGGATCAACAACAACTTCCTCATCAGATTCGCAAGTAGTACTTTGGAACGTTTGCTGATGAGACTGTACTTGAGTTTCTCTTTCTTGCATTTCCTCATCCTCCTCGTCTTCCTCAGCTATGAAATCGGATGGAGAAGAACCAAGTTGAATGTTCGTTGGTGGACCAGCTTTGTCCTCGTACACAGGCGATATATCTTTCATATGAGAATCAATTATAGGTTCGGGTGGTGAATCAGTTGCACCGCATGTTTTCTCCACCAAAGCACCGGCTGCGATCATAGAATCATATTAATCGGACTAGTCTTTTCACAGCAATTACAATACAAATATTATATTGCCGATTTTAGAGGTTTGCTACACGCATGCCTCCTTTATAACGTCATACTTAACTTTTATAAATAATTTAACTGATAGAACATGCAAAAGTAATTAAGTAACAAGTTAATTATATTGATTTGAAAGAGTATAACGCCTGATTTCTTAGCTACAACATCAAGAAGAGAGGATTTGCTACATGTATAAAACATTTTAGAATATGATAGAGTCAAAATTAAAATAAAATAACTTCTTAAACATCTAAGCAAAAGCTAATTATCTAATCATATCTTCAAGATAAAAATGATTATGAATTACATAAGAAAAGCGGTTTAATTATAACGAATTATTTTGAGAAGCAAAATAAAGTTGACAAGCAGCATTGAAATTATTTTGTTTATCACCTTCTGTTCGTATCTCTGGTAAAATCGGCTCTATCGACCAATGTGTATCTGTTCGTATAAGCTTTTTAAAATAAGGGACGTAAAGTCATTATATAAGTCAATCCTCTCGTACACTTTTTAATTCTAACGCGCAACGGTAAACACAAATGAAAAATACCAAAAACTATAGTTGCCCCTATGACTTTCTCTTACCTGCTGGTGGGAAAGTTACTAGCTCATCATCTGGACTTGAATAGTGTCTTGCTCTCATTTCAACATCATCAACGGTAGTTTTCATTTTGGGTTTTGATTTTCTTGATGTTTCCTCACCGTCACATGACCTAGATCTCTCAAGAGTTCTTTCTTGTTTCTTGAAAGAACCAAGCTCCATGCCAGCCTTATCTAAACCGGATTCGTAAGTAACATCAATTGGCTGGTCCATTTTTGATGCTGAAACATGAGTGCTAGACACAAAATCGTCGTCGTCCTCCTCATAAGGTTCATGACCAGCAATCGTTGACGACCTCTCCAGTGTTCCTTGTTGCCTTCCGAATGTATAATCAACATTGAAATGATCGTATTGCTCCTCCATCTCTAATTTGGAAGCTTCATGGAGTTCCTTATCATTTTCATCAGCTCCCTTTTCTCTTTTATCTAACTCAATTTCGATTTCTCTTTCCCTCTGTTCGACATCATCCTGTTCTTTTTCTTCTTGTTTGACAGCTTCTTTATCGAACACTTGGAAAGCTGAATATTCGACCGGGTTAAAATTACACGCACGCCACCTACTCAAACTTTCATACCAACAATACAAAGACTCGAACGACTGAGATATTTTAACGGACCATCATTGACTTTATTAAAAGGTAATTAGTTTAAAAAGTTGTTAGCGTTTGTTTCGGTTAATTTAAGTTAGTATAAAGCCAAAAAATATCTCAAAAAACTTGTTAGTAGGTAAAATAAACGAGTTAGTTATACCTTTTAGCGGGATCTCCTTAAAAAAGTGTTTTATGGGATATCTATATGCATTTATTTTACCTAATTTTGCTCTTTTCTCGTTTCACACTCTCTATATAAGATAGTTCAATCGTCAGTACCTGTTTTATGTTGATCCAACGAAAAGACAGATTCCGGGTGTTGGGATGACACGGACGTTTCTAAGCTAGGGATTAAGGTGTGAGAAGTTGGACTAGGTAGATTATCTTCGCCGTCATCCTCCAAACTGTACATGCTGGGAGAAAGTGGCCGAGCTTCTGCTTCTGAAGACAAAGACCCTATCTCTGACGGTATTTTTGATCCAACTTGAGCTTCTAGTGAGTCGCTTAAAGCTAATGGTCTATGATGAGACATTGCTTTATCAACGATCATTCGAGCCATTTCCTCCTCAACATCACCATGAATCTGTTCCTCAAGGCCAATTAAACCATGAGAAATAGGTTCTGGTGACATTGGATCGGGAATTCCTTGTGGTACAGTTGTATCTGTTCGAATAATAGATTTATTTTTTTCATCCTCCTTAATAGCAAGTTGTTCCGCCACTGTGTCACTCTCTGCTGGTAAGTCAGGGAAAGCATCATCGCTAGACCTAGATTCTGATGTCCTTGACATTTCCGCCTTTTGTTCATTGTCACTTTCCTGTTGGATTGTGTCGCTAATCGCCTTTATTTCCTCTACTTCCTTTTCAGAAAGTTCATAGATATTTCCAATAGACTCATCTCTTTTTGATGGAATCTCAGGGCTTTGAGCCGTTTCTATAATTGTATCGGGCGTATCAGTCGAATGACTCATTCTATCTCCCGAAGAAGTTGATTGTTCGAGAGAAGATGATGTCATAGTGGAGCTGCATAGAGAACTATAAACCTTCTCTGATGAAGAGCTTGAAATTAGTTCTTGGCTATACATTTCTCCTTGATCTATGGGACTTTGAAGAGTTTCTATAGCTTGTTGAGTATCCTCAAGTTTTTCTGGGTAATCATCAGAAATTCCTGCATCACATTCAACTTCCGTTAATGTTTGATCAGTGGAAGAAATTGGTATTACAATCTTAGAACCACTATCCTGTTCATAGGGCTGTAGAAGTTCTTCATTGGTTTTCAGTAACTCTGGTTCGAGCTTATTTCCCTCAAAGTAAGTCTGATCTGATACTAATTGTTGTGTAACTGTGGTTTCTGTTCGACCGTCATCGGTCTCTTGTGTTTCGGAATGAACAACAATTGGTTCAGATTGAATTGTTTGTTGAAGAATCTGTCTTGCTTCTTCTTCGGATTCTGGGACTTCATCGCCTTGCAAAAGGACGCGTCTGACAATTACTTGTTGCTGTTTTGTTTTAGTTACTTTCCTAACAATAGTTTGACCGCTGGGTAGTACTTCTTCGAATTCTTCAGTTTCAGTAAAAGTTTGAGGTTCTCCCTCTAAAGTATCTGTATATAAATGAACTGATCCAGGCTCAGGTGGAGGTGATTGTAATCCACTGGCTCCAGCCATTGGTGATTCAAAGTCCTTTACAGAGGATCCAATACTTGATGCTAAACTAGAAACGCTTGATCTAAGAGATGATGTTTCTGACAAAATTTCGTGTTCTGGAACTTCCTCCGTGACGACATCTTCTATTACATCTCCTTTATCGTCAACTCGTCTAACTTTTCTAGTAACTATCTTTTTGGCTGATGTTTTAAATATTTTCTTTTGAATTTTCGTACCATCAGCAAGAATCTGGGTAACCTCACTGACTACACCAGTGCCAGGCTTTGCTATAGGTTGTTCAAACAAATCGGCTTCAGTTAAAACTGTATCTGAGGGCTCTACCTCGCTAAATACTTCTTCTTTCATTTCAGTATCTTCTTTTTCGACAATAGAAGCTTCAAGAATCGGCTGATCCAATACTTCTACCTCCTCTTTTACTTGACATTCCTCTAGTTGAGGAGAAGTAGACAGTAAAGGTTCGTCATTTTTACTTTCCATTGCAACTGTATCTGATTCCTTTTCAATTAAATTCGAAACTTCTGTATGTGTCTCTGAATAGGATGTTTCTGGCTGTTCACTTAGAATAGGATCAACAGACTGAGTATCTAAAATTTCTGCGCTAGCTTCTGCTCTCATTTCAACTTCGTCAGACTTTACAACTTCAGCACTCTCAAATTCAACAGCTTCTTTTCTAACTTCGGTAGTAAAGCTATCATCTACAACAGTTTTAATAGCTTCTGATTGTGAAGTTTCCATCAGTTCTTCCTCCAGAACTGATTCTTCAGTAGTTTCCACACTTTCTTGAACGTTAGAAATTTTTACTTCCTTATTTTCTGTATCAGCTATATCATGCTTAGAAAAAGTTTCTAGCTCCGGAATGGTTTCCTCATCAACATGTTCAACTAATTTATCATTTGCCTCATCGTTTGATTGTTCGATTTGTTCTTCTACTGATACTTCTGGAGCTGCGGTTGCAACTTCAGAATCTCTCACTTCTTGTACTTTTTGTTCTACAGACACAACTTGAGAACTTTCATAAATACTGGATTCTTCTGTGTACGTATCGACTGATTGTACTTGATCCGAACTCTCAAGTGTTGTGATCTGTTCTTTTGTTTCAATATCTGATAGAATTTCAGATGATCTTTGAACCTCTGTGGTAACTTCTTGAACAAATTCAGAACTAGAAGTATCTGCTTTGTCCGACACCTCATCTGTCAGTACAGAAGTAGTTGACTGTATATGGTCTAAGCTCTCTAATTCAGTAACTTGTTCTTTCATTTCAATATTTGACTGCATTTCAGCAGAACTTTGAATCTGTGTAGTAAGCTCCTCGGCGTAGTCAGAAAATGAACTTTCTAATCTCTCGCTTGCTTTGTCTTCGGTAAAAGATTCAGTAACTTTAACATCTAAAGAGCTATGCTCTGTAGTAAGATTTTCGGCTCTCATTTCAATATCAGTTAGCTTGACAGAAGTAGTTTGAAGTTCAGCAAAACTTTCGTTTTCAGTAGTAGATTTTACAACAGAGGCTTCTGAAGGTTCCGAGTGTACCGATTCAGAAAGTTCCTCTGTTTCTTCACCTTTTATCTCATAATCTATTGACCCTATCATAGAAGTGGCTTTAGTTTCAGTCACATCCTCTTTCTCTATAACGGACTCTTTGTGTGAAGTTTCTAAAATATCAGAAATCTCTTCCTTCAAATAACTATCACTATGTACAAAATGTTCATTAGCAAATTCTGTTTTTGAGTCCTCACTCTCAGCTACTACAGAAATTTCTTGACGAGTTTCTATAGCAGAAGATTCGGACATGTTTGAAATTTCTTCCTTCAAGTAGACGTCAGTGGATGCATAACCTATAGAAGAGTCCCTAAAGTCTGAAATTTCTTCTGTTTTGTCAATATTTGATCCTATAGAAGTTTGAATATCGCTAATAACTTCTTGTTTTGATTCTAATGAAGTCGATTCTAAGACTGATTCTTGTACAGAGCTCGATATATTTTCAACTTGAACATTGCTCTCTTCAGTCTCCTCAAAAGAGTCTGTCTTATCATCAATACTCTTGTCTTCAACGGTGGTATGACTTTGTTCAATACTAGCTAACTCGGGTGATGATAAAATATTGCTTTCCATAGTGGTTCTAAGTAAATCGGATTGATTTATGGATTCCTCGTTTGATTCAATTTGGTAAGTTTGGCCAACAGTTTCTAATTCTGGTGTAGACAAATCTTTTTCAGTTACTACCTCCCTATTTTCAATTTCGGAAGGAATAGATTCAATTTCTTGTACAAATTCAGAATCGGGTGATGCTTCTCTTACTATTAAATTTTCGTCTAATAATGGTTCTGGCTCTACATCTTCAGCGTCCTTTAGTATATCAATGTTTATATTGTCAGTAACTTTAGTTTCTGCAACTTCTTTCGAAGGAAATTCGGAATCAGGAGATATTGGCCTAGTTGCATAGTCTGGTTGCTCATGAACGCATTCAATTTCCTCTGTTTTTACATTTGACATTTCGCAATCTAGTGATAACCTACGTTCAGCAATATTTTCAACAGTAATTTCCTGTACGGGTGAAGACTTTTCTAATGCTTCTTCAGTGTCTATTGAATGCTTATCTAATATGTCAGTAGTATGATTATCGTCAGCAATTTCTTGTACCTCTTCCTTTTCCAGGATATACTCTTTAACAATTCTAACTTCATCGTCAGAAATGTGCGTTGTTGTTGTTGTTTTAAATTCTTCGGCACTGTCACTTGTTACTAAGCTATCTAATGAGGGAATAGCGTCATCATCTCTGTCCTCTAAATTTGAGCTAGAAAACTCTTTATGAGATATTTCAGTGCAAATAATTTTTCCTTCACTTGTTTCCTCTGTATAAGTAAGACAGCTATCGTCCACAACAGGCTCTTGAAGGGGAAATGTAGGTTCTGGTAGCTCTTTTGGAGGCGAAATTATTTCTTCAGATATCGCTTCGGCGCAAGTAACCTTTAGGATATCCTCGCCAGTAATGTGCATCTCTTTTTTGATGGCATCATATGATTTTTCATGTTCTACTGCTTTATTACTACTAATCATCTCATCTAAACTGATATCGTCGTCAGAATAGTCTGCTCTATCATCCATACTTTGAACATCTGTTACAGTAGTTTTTTCCACTGTTTCCTCAGTTTTAGCAACCTCTTGAATAGACTGACAATCAGTGACAGTCGGTTTATTTAAAACAACTGTTTTCTCTTCAGCTGTTTCTATTATATGTTCGGCTAAAGATTCAACACTCGAGGACTCCTCGACTTCCTTAATTTTTGTCTCAAAATGTTCTACTAAACTAGAGGTTCTTTTTTCAAAGATAGCTCTTTTATGAATAGCATCTCTCTCAGGTGTTGAAAAGCTTCTAGTATCCGCTGGTAAGCGATCCTCGACAGCTTTTTGTTCAAATTCCCCAACTAATTCCGGAACAGGTTTAATAGGATCCTCGACAATCATGGAACCTGAGAAAGATTGCCGGTGAAAGACGAAGCGACACATTTTTTTTTTAAAAGTTTTGTTGATGAAGCGAAGGTCAAAGCCATGCAGATGATGTCCTCATAAAAAATTCTCGCATGCAAAGAGAAGCAACACAGTGGCGGGAGAAAAGAAATGCAACTGCCATTTTTGTTTATGTTAATAATTATTTAAATGAGAAAAAAATAACACCTATGAACGTACGATTGTTTATATGATTATTAATGAAATCGCTTTACATACAAATATATAAAAAAAATTATGAAAAATGATTAAAGCCGCTTGCATGCAGGGTGTAAAAATAAAAAATATATACAGTATATATATATAAATAACGAGTTAACCAACCTTCATCCAAGTCTTCTTCCATCTTCTCCCATTTTCTTTCGTGCTCCTCTAAATAATTTTAAGGTCTAGGTTAGTAAACGACTTGAAAAGTAGCAGACATCACAGAAATGAGAAAATATTCCAGTAATAAAGGTAATTAGTTAGTTAATTATTATTATTATTTTAATTAATAATATATAGGAATTAACTTTAAAAAAATTGACTTTTCGGTCTGTGATGCCGAAAAAATTTTAATATTAAAAAAGTTGAAAAAAGTAAAAACTAAACAAAAAAGATAATCATCTTTTAAACAAAACCCCATTTTCTGATATCTAAAATATACCGAGTCTCTATATTATTAATCTTTCTATCAAATTATTCAACTATTTGACGACTCAGCATCTATTTTAGATTTAAAAACAAAAAAATCAGAAATTCTTTGAAAAGGTAATACATTATTTATCATGCAATATTGTGATAAAGAAATATAGAGATAAAAAAAATATTGAAAGAGAAAAATCATAACAAAAACAAAAATAAATCAATAAAGTTGCCGAAACCGCGTACGTACGTGCAAAAAGGACTTTAACGAATGAAAGACATTCGGAAAATCATCTGCAAACACCTTTCGAATCGGATTTCGTAAACAACCGTGTACAATATTCACACACAAAAAAATAGAAATAGATCAATGGAATTATAATTCCTTTTTGTCAAAGGACTTATTCTCTCATCTAATAAAGATTAAACTATGATTGCGGAAAGACAGAAGTGTGTTATACGAGGATACATATTTCTTAAAAAGAAACCAGCCAAGAGAGACTTGTGCCTACAACAGTGACAACCTTTGTATTGCTCTGTATATTTTTCTAAACCGTAATATTTCACGAAGTCATCATCGTCGACTGGTGTACTCAAATCTTCATGTACAGTTATACTGGGGGGTGCTGTCGCAACGTTATAATTATAGAACATACGTACAAAATTGAAAAACATTGGTTGTTTTCCTAATAAATATAAAGTTATGTTTAAGCCCTACTACGTCGATGTTCCTTGAACTATACCTCTTGTTTTTTTAGGGGGAAAACATCTAGAAAAGAAACCTTTTCTTTCTTTGTTTTTTTTAAAGCATTTAAGTATTTAAAAATTTTTGTTTTTTCTTTGTTTTTATATAGAAATATAGAAAAGAATTGAATATATTAAAAATAGTGTCAAAAATTTTTAATACCTTCTAAATCTTTAGAGCCGGTAGCCTTCGATTCATCATGGGTATAAGATTCTGTTTATAAGGATTCAATTTGTAAGTAAGTTGTTAATTGACAATTAGAAAAAGAAAACACTCTAGGAAAATTTCTTTTCTCTCTTTTTTGAATGTCAAGATATTTTAATTTACAAACCTTTACTGTATTGTTCTTCGATTGGTATGTTAGAATCGATTTCTGCATATTTTAAAGAATAGTAATAATTAGTTAAGTATTTTTTTGTAAGTAAATGGATTTGTTAATTTATCACATCAAATTTATGAAAGAAAATATTATTAATATTATAAAGAAGATGATTTTGTCTGGTTGTTTGTTTTTTTAATGAGAAATATGTGATTTGTTTTAGTTGAAGTAGTACTTTAGAAATGAAATTGTTTTGTTAGTTTTAGTCTTTGTTATGAAGACTTCAGTCTATCAAAACTACCTTCAGTAGTTGTTGTAATAGTTCTCTGAATAACTGTTCCATCATCAAGAACCTCTGTTTCGGTTTTAACTTCTGGTTTTAGCTCAGACTCGTATTTTGCTACAGCTTCTGGTAAGTCCCCTTCGGGGCCTTCGAGAATGACATGGGTTGTTATAGCTTTCTTTTCCGTTTGCGTTATTTGACGTCGTTTTACTACGGTTCCGTCTGGTAAAATTTCCTCAGTGTCCTTTACTTCAGTCTCTATTTTTGGTTCACCTTCTACTGTTTCGGAGGAAATTTTGATTCCTTCGTTATCCGATGAAACGGAACTCTTATGACGTAAAAGCGAACCATCTGGTGCTAAACGTTCAAGAGCGTCATAATCCTCGTCATCACCACCTGAAAGCCAATCATCACCTTTCTCTTGAAAACCACGCTCTTCTGAAGGTGCTAATTTTTCATCAAAACTTTCATCTACAGGAACCTTTTGATCCTCTTCCATGATCTTTTGCGAAAGTTCCAATTCTTCTGCTGGTTTCTCAACAACAGGTATTTGGGGAGAGGGTTTCATTTGTTGATTTAGTAATATATCAGAAGCAATTTTCGCACCTTCCACGAAAACATCCGCAGATGGCTGCTGCGAAAAGCCAATCCTGTCTTTGCGGATAGTTCGCTTCTCCCAGCAACCGTCATCCCTGATTTTCTCAAATGTTGTCGTAGAAGTTTCGATGCTTACATCAGCCGAAAAGGGCTCCGAAATACCAGGAGCCATTTCTACGACATCCTCGTTTATTTCGAAACCAATAGGTTCCTCCTCCTTTCGATATATTTCCTTTTCTTGGATTATCGTCTTTATGATAATCTCTTTGACGTGCACTATAGTTCTAATGTCCCTTTTTATTCTAGTGCCATCCGAAAGCGTCTCATCGAAATGTTCGACTATGGGTTCTTTTAGAACTATTTTTGGCTCGCCTACGCTAAACGATTCAGTGATTTGATTACTTGTTTTGAATGTGGTCGAAGGCTGTTTGTTATCCTTTTCTTCTTTCTCCCTAATCTCTTGTCTATCTAAGACCTCAGGACTTTTTTCTGTTTTTATTATTATGTTCATATATATTGTTAAATACATCTGAAAAGCTAATCAATCACTGCAAAATGCTATTCCTTTTTGATTTTGCAAATTGTAAATAATATCTTAGTCCTATCTTTCTCGAAAGTTTCCCAATTTTCCAAGTGCAACAAAGATAATACAAATAGAAAATAATAAAAGTAAATCCTACCTGATCTGTATGAAGTATAAGAAGAAACATTCTCATCTTTAGCAGCCTGCTCGGCGCTTATCTGATCTTCAACAATAGTTGTTTCTGTTCAATAAAAAATCCGAAAAGTTATATACACATATAAATAGTATAGTAGACAACATTTAAGTGAAATGAAAGGGGTATAAAAGAAAAATATATCATTACAAGAACAAATATTATAATAATACTATATATATATATATAATAAATGAAAGACGACATCAATAATTTGTGGGTATTTTTTGATAAAATACAACAAGAATTAATAGTTTTAGTATTTAAACCTGTTGTATTCACACGGAAAATTTCTCTTTTAACTAGCACCCATTCAGTGCCGTTCCATTCCTCAACCGTTTCAAATTCAGGACTATCTGTTCTTTTAACGATGGTAGTTTGCGTAGTTTTAAGATCTGTTAATTGATTAGTAGAAAACAAACGTATGTTGTTTAATTTTTCAAATAAGATTTTGTTCACGTAAACAGTTTCCCTAGTTTTTTTTCACAATATTTTATATACAAAGAAATAATGTACTAGAAAAACGAAATAGTATCCGATCCTCTAATCCCTTGACGATAGATTCACCCTTACAACCAAAAAACCATGAAATATACCTGTTGGACGCTTAGCTGTTAACGATTCATCACTCGATGATGATAACCGATCATCCATGCTCTCTTCTTTTCTGGATTCTGTTTTGACAACTACATCTACAACCTCTTGTTTGACTTCGGACTCTACTTTCTTCTTTTCCCCAACAACCGACGAAACTGGACAACCAAATTAAAAATTCCCGAATTACATATTGTAATTTAATTTTATCTACAACATCGATTCTTTTTGCCAATTTTAGGACACTACCTGCTGGTGGTTTCGTCATCGTTAGGGAATCATCACTCGAAATCGACAATCGGTCGTCCATGCTTTCGTCTTTTTTAGCCTCCGTTTTAAAGATAACATCATCAATCGGTCTCTCATCTTTAGATGGGGTTATAACATCTTCGCGTACAATAGTTTCTGATAACGTAATAGGATACACATTAAACATTAAGAACATGTAGACACAATAAGAAACAGATTGACATAAATAATTCTAAATCACTGAAAGAGGGAAATGCGAAATGTTATTTCAAATGAATAGAAGGAAAGACTACCTGTAAGATCTCCTGCAGTTAAAGAGTCAACATTAACATCTTGCATGTTATCAGAGAAATAGCCGTAGGCTTCCAATTTCTTTTGATTTGAATATTCATCAAAATCATTTTGAGAACTTTTAGGTTTATCATTGTCAATATCCTGCCTAAATTCCTCTTCCGTGACCGAGGACATTCTTCCTCTGCCATCTGATTCTCTTCCAAAATCGCTATCAATATCCTATAATTGAATGATAAAGAAGATAATAGAGAATTAATATGACACCAATAACTATGAAAAACAATTAATTGATTTACATAGAAAATGTAATAATACAGTATTATATATATATATATATAAATATATACGTGCACATTAAAAGTGACTATATATGGAAAAAAGTACGCATGCCAGCTCGTTCCTGTATGAAAAAATCTCTAAGGTTTTAGAAAAAATTTTAAATATTTCTTGTATTTATCTTCTTCTTCTCCTCTTTTCTTTTCTCCAACTACTTTTATAAAGAATAAAAATGCTCATTTCAATTAGCTACTTAGACGACGTTTCGCATTCAAATATTGCAAAAAATGAACTATCTTATTCATTAAAATTGTTTCTTTTTTAGTAACCTAAATTAGTTAAGAAATAAAAAATAAAATAATTGAATTATTTTTTTTTTAAAAAAACAAAATTTTAATAAAAAAGTATTTTATAAAGTGTAGATGAGATTCTTCTCGAGTAGCAAAAAAAAAAGTATTTATAGACTGTTGAATTAATTGAGCGATAGGAACAGAACAACGACAAATTTATGAACTATATAAATATACATTAATAAAAATGTGTATATATATACAGTTCTTGTTTGAACTGGAGAATAAGATATCTGTTCTTAAGGGCTCACCTTTGAGAGTTCTTGCTGGTTCTATACATGCAAAAAATATATGTGAACAAAATATCTTTTTGTTTTTGTTTTTTAAAAAAAAAATAAGTTTGTTCAAGTTTGCTTTGTGTAGGGAATATGTTTATTTTTAATTCATGCAAAAATAAATAAAGATGAAATATAACTTTAATAAAAATAATAAATAAAGCAATATGTTAATTTTTATATACATATTATATTAGTGTGAGGTCAAAAGGTTAAGTTATATTATGCAAATATCCTGCTAATTTATCCTATAGTCTTAGAATAATAAAAATATGATATATAATTTAATAAACTGTTTATATTCGCTTTTTTCTTCTTCCTAGCTATTTTTATCATTCGAAATAAAACTAAAAAAAACTTACCCTTTGTAAATCTTGATCGTCAACGGCGACATCTAGCGACATATTTCTCATCGCATAGCTTGCTTGTAATTTCTTAGCCGTTGCTATAAGTTAGAATTGAAAGGTATATAAATCTCTATTATTTAGCCTATTGAAAAGTTTGATCTACCTGAATTTTCAATTTGACTTCTGGCAACTTCTTTTTCACCTTCATCTACAACTTTTTCAATGTTTGTCATACATTCGTGTATTACATCTTCTCTATGTATAGCTTTCAAGGCCATTTCTAGATCGTTACCTAGAATTTTATAATTCGATTTTGTATTATAGTTTGTTGGATAAGAATAAAGAAAGAAAAAATCTACCGGTTGCGGATGGGCCGTATTGCTGAATCCAAACGTGGAGGAATACGAGTCCTCTTTCACTTGGAAATTCATATTCTTCCTTTATCCTATTGATTTGATCATCCCCTATTCCAAAGTATCTGGCCAAAGCTTCCCAATCGTCTCTTAAACACTCAGCTATGTCCGTCAATCGTAAATCGGCTCTGCTTATAGATTCTTCTGTGCCGGCAGTGGCAGCGGCTGATTCGAGATCGCTGTGATGTACACTTATTATATCTCTAGCCGATATTTCTAAAGGCAAATCCCCTCCTCCGACTTCCATACCAGGTAATTCGAACTTTAGGTTACAGATTGGTTTCGTAGGTTCATCTATTTTAGCTGATTTTGGATCTTTCATAAATGCTATACAAGCAACGGGTATCTGTTGAATATCCTTTATTCTAACAGTAAACGGGAGTCTATTTTCCCTGAACGCCTTAAAATTCAGATAAAGCTGTTCACCCGACTTTGTTATTGGGCAAAGATTGCCGGCCATCTCAATAAATGCTTTCTTATTGTCCATAACCTCTACATCCTTTGATCTAGCTACTTCTACAAAATTTTCTTGGGCTTCTAATGTCTTATCTAATTTATCATCCGTAATACAAAACACACGCAGTCGACCTTCTAATGGATCATGACGTTTGGCATATACAATATAATTAGCCATATAAGGAACAGAAATTGCTGATTTGTAAATATCATTGGCAATTGATGGAGCAGCCTCTGTATTTTGGCAATCAATAAGCCAAAATCTTGCGGATACCTTTGTTTCAAACTTAACGCAATTCTTAATATAAGTTAACAAAGTTGTCCCAGTTATATCTTCCCAATGTGCTGGAGAGTTACCACCTGTTGCAAAAAAAGAGGAAAAACAAAAGTAATGAATTATATATAATTGATTTTTTTTTTTGTTTTTTTAAAAAAAAAAGTTTTTTCAAAAATAATGAATTAATCTTTTAATCAAATAGGAAAGTTATAGAAATTTTATTCATGCTCTTGCTTTTTTTTAAATAGGAATAATAAATTAATTAATGAGAATTTTAAATTCACGAAGTACACTGCTACTTTATCCCTCTTTTCTTTTGCTTGTAATTAGATTATTTACGTTAAATTCGTTTAACTTGGGAATAGGTTTTTTTTTAGTTTCATTAAAATTAAAAGCAATTTCTTGTTATAGCGACTCTTGTTTATCTTGCAAGATCTCTATTCAACTAAGAAAGGAGAATAGTGATGGAATAAAGATATTTATATGAAAAATGCCTAAAATTGACAATCGACTTAGGGAAAATGGAAATACTGGAGGGATGTATTTTTTTCTCTACTGAGAAATCGAAAGACAGTAAATTAGGCTAATCTTCATCTTATCTTTTCGAAAAATAGCCCGGATGGGAATAGAGTAGAGTTCATTATACAAAAACTTATAGCATCCTTTTACAAGTGCGTGTTTGATGTTTATTCGAAATTAAGGATGATAATTAGATACAGAGTGGGAGAGCGAGGGTAAAGACAGTACTTGTGAGAGAAAGCTATTATTAAACTGTAAAAACAGCACTTTTACCCCGAGAGAGTTGATTCCTTAACCTTTTTTTTATATTTTTAATATTTGTCGAAAGACGATTAGTGAAAGAGAATTAGATAAATCAACAACACTGAAGATAAAGAATTCTGAGAAATATAGGGAAACCTTTCAACAGAATATAAAGACGATTTACCAAAGTATTACCTATTTCTTATTTACAAAGTACATGTACAAAAGTAGCAGTGTGTCAGTTTATCGAGGTTTGACGCTCGCAACCCCGAAGGCTAAATTAACTGCGGGAATTTAAACCATTTCATCAAGGGGGAATGTTTTTATTTCGTCAATGTTGTGTTTCGTTAGTAAATAACGAAGAATACATACCTGAAATACTGCAAAGCAACCTAAGCGACGGGGATTCTTGCCCCTGGTTTAGCATGCCCTTTTGTCCTTTTGGCAAGGGTATAGTCAATGTAATCGGTTCATGGAATTTTCTACGTCGAGGTTCTACAGTTACTATAGGACTAGTAGCTATTCTATTGCTGCCACACATCCTCTGCACTAATTCATCAGAAATTGGCTGAGCTTGTAGGCCAACTTTTATCTTTTTCGTTAGAGATCCTTGCGGGAAGACTGCCTGAACTTGTGGTACAGCTTGGGCGCTAAGTATCTCTCCATCAGGACCAATAGTTTTAGTTTCTTGTTTAACTCGAGATATGATGGCAAAATATTTTGGTAAATCAGATGTTACTATTCGAGCTATTCGTCTCTTATAAATTTCTTCTGCTGAGTCTAAATCTGCAGAAAGAGATAGGCAAGCTTGTAAATATTCTACAAAGCTGTTGAAGAAGAAGCACTTAAAAAGTTCAAACCTTCAAAGCTTCCATTTAAAGCTTTTGTGACGGCTTCATCTGAATTATCTACAGTATGTTCCTTCCATGTTTCTCCATTGTCGCTCCTCATAACAATAATCTCCCTTTCGCCGTCTCTTAGGGAGGCAAAATGAGGAACCTCTAATATAATTTCACTGTATATAATGGAATAGAGATATACAAAGAGTTTGAATGTTTTCATATTCAACAAACCCGTTAAATTGAGCACCGGACGGACCCATCTCCAAAATTCTTGTTGCCAATCCTTCATTTTCCATAATAGTAGGGGGATGGGTCAATTTCTCTTTTTTAACCAATTTACAGATGACTCTTGTTGGTATAGTTGCTCTACCAGGTGGAATAATTAAACGAACACCGGAGTGACGACAACCCTTCATAGCTCCACCGAGAGCGTCAACCATAAACGAAACTAAAAAGCTATTAAAAACTAACATTAGAAAGAGAAATTCCACAGAAAGAAAATAAGGAAATCAATTAAAGTAATTGTAGAGTAAAACAATGAAATACAAGTTTTTACCATAGTATTTATATATATTACAGAATTTAGAGTAAAATATAAACGACACTTTTAACTAAATATTTACCTCTTCCACTTTAATTTACTGAGTAGGGTTTGCAATGAATAAACAATAAATAAATAGGTAGAAAAATACTAGTATTAATTAACTTATAAAGAAGATAAGTTAGCTTAGTAAAGCAGTTTCTTTCTATAAGTTTTATATAAGTGTGTCTATTGCAAAATTTTCTACGTACCCAGCTATATTTGGATGTTTGTCGACAACAATATTATCCGGATCAAATCCAGAATTGAAGGATGGATATGACATAGACATATATCTCGAATCATCCATAGTTGTATAGTCCATTTGTGCTACATTAGCAATGATGTTATCCTCCTGAAGGGAAAAAGATAGAAGATTAGTTTGTTAAATTTAGGTTGAGCTTTTCAGTAAACAAAGAAACAAAGAACTCGTCTCTTTCTCCTATATTTTGCTTAATTGTTTTAGTATTACCGATCGATTATCAATTTCAAAATATTCCACATGTGACGAAAATCGTACGTTCAAGAATCTCTTTCTTAATTTATTAACATAAAAGAATTCATCATTTTCGAAGTAATTCCTTCTTGAAACGCAACAAAGTGATTTAGACGAAAAATTATTAGATTTTCTCTTCCTTTGACTATTTGAACAAAATGCCTTAATCTTTTGATGTTGAAGAACAGTAATATTTGAGAGAAATAATCCAAGAACAATAATCGATATAGTAAAAATAATAATCATTCTTCTTTAATTCGAAAATAGAGTAATAGAAAAGTAGTAGAAAAACTTGAAGGATTGTAAAATGAGTTTAAAGAAGAAATGAAGCAAATGTGGAGGACACACGGAATAAATTGATTTTTTTTTGTTAAAAAAAAATCTATAGTATCTACACAGCTTTATGGCCTTTAGACTACATATATATATATATATATATCATGTATATACTGTATACTATACATATTAATCATATTTTATCACTTTATAGTTGCCATTTTTACAGTTTGTCAAAATGTACCTTTGTCGGAGATATTGTGTTGTCATACATATATTTCATATCTTGATTTGCTATCGATGTTTGTTCCATATCTATTGAAAGGAAAGAAAAGTCATAAATTCAATTTAATAGTTAATATAAAAATTATTATAATCTTGTTATGAAATATTCAAAAATCTATTTTTTATGTTAGACTAAAAGAAAATTAACTATAAAATACACTAAAAAGAATTGTTTATATTAGTATCATGTAAGATATTGATAAGATAGAAAAATAATTGTGAAATATAAAGAGTAAAAATATGAAATATAAAGATAAAAGAAATAAGAAAAAGAGATAGAGAGGGAGAGAGAGAGAGAAAGAAAAAAAAGAGATAAATAAATAGATTGATAGATAGAAACTAATGAAAACAACCATGCAAAAATAAAAAAAAAGAAAAAAAAGTAGAAAAAACTAGGTAAGTAGGGTAAATATTTTTTTTTTTTTAAAATATGATTATTATTAGTTTCCTCAACGCATTTTCATTCGTCTGACCTTCTCCCCATATAATAGAGGAACTTAGTGACGCTCTGTTGTCAACTTTATCACTTATTGGTGTACATAAGTATCTAGGCGTATGGATGCTGTCCAGAATCGGTTTACGTATTTCTTTCAAGGTCATCTGATCCGACTCTATTCAGTTTATCGTTTATAAAAACTCGTGTTTACTTTAAGTTAAAAGGGGAAAAATATTTTAGATAAAATGATAAATGTTGTTTTTTTCTTTTTCTGTTCTATACGTTAAAATCACCGTTAAAGAAAAGAAAACAACAGCAATGTTTTCTTTCCTTTCTTCATTTACCGAATGAGATAGATAGATGGATAAAGAAAGAAAATGAAGAGAAGAGAAAAAAGACAACTTGTGTTTGGGTAAAAGAGAAGTAAAATGTTACCGTCATCGTCCAAATCCGTATCAGACATTGCACTATCATCCATAGTTTCAGGTAACACGTGTTCGTACTTATCCTGACTGACGCTGGCACTTACATTCGTATACTTTTTTAAGGCTTCTACAACCGAAATGTAACCCAATTTCTGGGCGATCGACAGCGGAGTTTGTCCAGACTAAGAAAAGGTCAAGATTATTAAAAAAACAATTTAAGAATGTTGATTAACTTATCTTACCTCCGAGAGAACATTCGCGTCAGATTCAGCACCGTATTTTAATAAGTAATTTATAACGAGAACATGGCCTTGTTGAGCACCTTGGTGGAGAGGCGTATAACCAATTTTAGTTCTACTATGTATATTGGCATGTTTCTCCAAGAGAAATTTGATCATATTAATTTGACCAAAATGACATGCTACGTGCAATGGTGTATAACCAGCCTTCGTTTTTGGATCTATTTCTGCATTATTTCTTACCAATATTTCGGCAACTGATACGTAATCTTCTTGGGCGCAAAGATGTAGGGGTCGTAACCCATTGTGACTGGCCGCATTTACGTCTGCTCCGTTCTCTATTAATAGGGCAGCCACGTCTTTATTACCTTCCAGCGCGGCATAGTGCAACGGCGTATAACCATTCTTTGTTTCAGCGTTGGCATTGGCGTCATGTTGTAAAAGAGTGTTTGCCAGTGTCATTTCGTCTTTTTTAGATGCTATATGTAAGGGGGTCATGCCGTTTCTTGCTTTACAGTGCGGTGATGCACCGCTCTGCAATAGTAGGAGAGCTACATCTACTTTATTATAATGAGCAGCTACATGTAAGGGCGTCAAATTATGTTTCCCTTCTACATCAGGTTTAGCTCCACGTTCCAACAACATTCTTGCAACGGTCGTATTACCTTTCTTCGCCGCCAGATGGAGGGGCGTAAATCCACGGCGAGTTCTGGCGTCCATATTTGTATTATGAGCCAATAGGACACTAACAACCTCGTCGTGACCCTCCTTCGAGGCTATGTGCAAAGCCGTGTGTTCGTCTTTGGTTACCGCATCAGCAGTAGCACCGTTTTGTAACAAACACGCTACCATATCGGCATCACCAATCTTAGCAGCTATATGAAGAGGCGTTTCATCGTGATTTGCCCTTGCATCTACGTTAGCTCCATTTCGTAGTAAAATTCTAGCGCATTCAATCTGCGATGCTCTTACTGCCATATGTAGAGGAGACTCTCCTCTTTTCATCTTAGCATTAGGATCGGATCCATGTTGAATGAGAAAGACCGATATATCACCATATCCGCACCAGGAGGCAACATGAAGAGGCGTTAAACCGGTCTAAGTTTAATTAAATAGAATATTACTAAAAATGAAATAATAAGTTCATCATTTATAGATCTTACTTCAGTTGTAGCGTCTATTCTAGCTCCATACTTTAATAAGAGTTCCACTATTTTATATCTATTTTTTTTACAAGCGATGTGTAGTGAAGTGAAACCGTTCTAAATAAATAATAAACGAGATAAGTAAATGATAAATTTTTCATTTACGAGTAACACAAATAACCATTGCTTACCCTTGCTCTGGCATCAACTTTACAACTACATTCTAGCAGTAATTTAGCAGTTTCATAACTTCCACAATGGGCGGCGACGTGTAAAGGCGTCAAATAATCCTTTATTAAAAGGGGAAAAAACATTTTTTCATTACTATCTATTCGTTTTTTTTCTGATAATTAACTTTATTTAATTGAATAAAATAATGAAAACTTACCACTGTCACATCTTCCAGACACTTTTTCGGCCCGTAATGAATAAGAAGACGAGCAGAATCATAATGATTACCTTGAGCCGCCATGTGAAGAGGTGTAAGATAGTTCCTAGATTGAGCGGTAACAGGTGCATTCTTTTCCAAAAGCATTTCGACTACCGAATCATGGCCAGATCTAGCAGCGCAATGGAGGGGCGTCAAATTATCCTTAGTATTCGATGAAATATCTGCACCATTGTCTAATAAAACTTGAACCATATTCGGCTTATTCCATTTGCTAGCCACATGAAGGGGTGTAATCTGATTCTGAAGTAGATTATTGCAAATGTATTAAAGTGTCCTCTAAAGAGAAAGATAGAAGAAAGCGAAAAAACTGTGAGGAAATATTTACTCTAGCTTTATAATTAACATCAGCTCCTTTGTCGATAAGAAGACGAGCAACGTTTACATTGCCATAGTGAGAGGCAATATGTAAAGGAGTGAAACCGCTCTGGAAAATAATAAACATTGTTTATAGTTTTGATCCTTAAATTCTTCATCTATCATCTCCTTACCTTTGTTACATCATTTACAAGTGTTCCTCCCTGAGAGGATTGGAAGAAAACGTGTAAGAATATAAATAAATTCAAATGGGATGCATTATATCATCAATACATACTTTGGTTACGCTTGCCTCGTCATTCTTCAATAGAAGGGCTGCAGCTGAACAATCGTCTTTTTTAGCCGCAATATGTAAGGCTGGAAGACGAATTTTTCCCCGAGAATCGTTTTCCAGCAGTACTTTTACGACTTTGTCGTGTCCTTGTTGAAGAGCGACGGCGAGGGGTGTGAATCCATCCTATATTTTGATAAAAAAGCAAATTAGGAAGTAGTTTATTATTTTATAATAGCTTATCTGTAGATCTGTCAAAAAGTAATTACCTCAGTAGCCAGGGTTTGACTAGCCCCGTTAGCGAGTAGAAATTTGACCACTCCAGCGTGATTCTCCTGAGCAGCCATATACAAAGGAGTAAATCCATTTTGAGATTGAACGTTAATCTTGACTTTATCCTGAACGAGAATTTGTACAATTTCTTCCTGGCCGGCTAAAGATGCAATGTGAAGAGCTGTATTCCCTTTCTGTTGTAGTGGAAAGAAAATATACAATGATCAAGTTGTACCTAATTCTAGACAAAGATAAAAATCCTTTCACGACTCTCGCTAATGTTTAAAGGAAATCGTGTTGTCATTCGACACTAAAAATTTAGCACTTCGTTGTTTGTTTTTCTAATTAATTACCTTGGTTGCAGCATCAATATCAATTTTCCTGGACAAAAGTTCAGTAACGACATTTACATGGCCCTCTTTAGCCGCCAGGTGTAGTGCGTTTAATCCACTCTGTATATGATAAAAAAGATAGCCTTTATCTAATTCCTCATCGGATTGATACATGAAAAATCTGGTGAATAAGAGAAAGGGAAGGAAGAGTAGAAGGAGAAAGGAGAGAATGAAAAGAGCGGGAGAAGAAAATTTTGACGATATATTTCCAAATACTTACATTATTACATGTATTTATATCTGTTCCATTCTTCAAAAAATCTAATACTTTTTCTAAGTTTCCTGCTCTTGCAGCGCGTAGAAAGCTTGCGTTGGAATCGCTCTGTTGTTTATTGATAAGATAATATTAGAACCTTTTGTATATATATATATATAATTAACATTTATATAAATATAATTTTCACATATATAAGTAAAGTCAACAGCCTGTGTAATTTAAACTTATAGACACTTTCTTTAAAAAGTAGGTCATTTTCAGCTTCTTTTTAAATGAAGTAAAATGCCCTTTTCACTTGCCGAAAAAAGCAGATGTTAAAAGTTCTCAAAGAAGAAATACTGTACTATGCATAAAAATGTGTGTAGATGTTTATAATGGCTATTTATGTATTCTATAAGAAATTCCATTCAAATTATGTGATTTTAACGACAGGATTATTAGATATATTAAGTTTTTTATGAATATTTACGAGTGATGATGACACATTTAATAACTGAAAGCATATAACGTCGAATGAAGAAATACAGAGGATCCGGTATATGTAAACAGGAAAAAGAAATAGCTAGCCTGTCTGTCTAACATACTGCAAAAAAGCAGAACCGCTGGAGCTTGCTCAGCTGCATACGCCTGTAAAACTTCCTTAGTAAAAAATCCTATTTATACCCTATGACCCATAATATGATTAACGTAAACTGCAAGTGATATATATCACACAGGCTTTTATCGTAAGATTAGATTATATCCTAAATTAAAACCAAGAAAGCAGCCAAACGCCTCTCTCTTTGAACAGTTAAGACGATTGTTTAGATTGTAGGAGGTCGAGAAAAAAAGATGTACCTAGAGGCGTTTGTAAAATACTGTGCGAAATAGACTGAAAGAGCTAAATATTCTTTCGAATAGTTTATATATACATTTATAACATATAAAGGAAATTATATTTTTAAATAGGTTTGTTAAATTTAATACCGTTAACCAATTGTTTGTGTAATTGAAAAGTAACTTAAAAAAATAGGTTAATATGTAAATTATTCATACAAGCTTAAAAACTTTGTCTACCTAGAGTTAGTTAGTACTAGCTTAAAATATATTACAAACCCGAAAGTTTATCTTTCTTAACATCTTGAAACGTATCCGAAACAAACAAAAGAAAAATCCAACCAATGTATTTTAAATCCTTTAGTAATTTTTGATTTGTTTAGAGAGTAGAAAGAGTCAGAGAGAGAGAGAGAGAAGATAACAGCATATTGAATATTTTTTTTAATTAAATAAACAATAGAATTTAAAAAATAAATGAAAGAATAGTGAAAGAAACCTTTTCGTAAAAATATTCTTTGTTTCTATTCGCTTTTTTTTGATTTCCTCTTTTAAAAATCTTTTTATTTTTCGTTTATTTTTTCTATTATATTTTTTTTTTTAAAAAAATCATAAAGAAAAAATATATATCTTTGAGAAAAGAAGGTGAAGAGGAAGAGTGTATTCGTTTTGCTAACGAACGAAATATTTCGGCGAAAGTATCTCCCAAAGAGTAATAGTTTGTTCTTCTTTTACTAGAAGAGAGATATTAGCAGAACTTGAATTAATAGTAGAAATATATATATATATATATATATATAATATAGGTAATTATATGTATATCTATATATATGTATAAATATTTCGTTGCAAAACGAATAACTTTTAACGAATCCGACGCGCCGCACTACTTGGCTCTGGTCAAAAATAACCTATGGTAGAGAGAGAGTAGTCGAACACCGGCGCTACCTAGCTTGTTTGTAAATTCCCAGATATATATATATAATATAATATATATATATATATATATATATATATATATATATGAACCCATTTTCTTCTATTCTTCTATCTCTCTATCACCATTGTGTAAAGTTTTTTCATATTTTTTTCTTCCCCTTTTAATTCTCTCTTAGTCTTTCTCTCTTCCATCAAAATTAAGATAATATCCTACATTAATCACTTTTCACTGAGTGTGGACAATAGACTAATGAATGAATATTTTCATCTCTTCCTGACATTTCTAAGAGTAGATTTACATAATGTTTAGATTTTATCCTATGGCCGGAAAGTAAAAACATATAAAATATTCTACTCGTGTTTATATTAAGTCTACATATGCTTCCATCTATTGGAGAAAAATGGAAAGTTCAATCATAGGGGTGACGTTTCGGCACAATCAATGATGTTCGATAAAATTATATATACACTAACGAGTACGAATAAATAATAATCAATGTATGTTGCACATGTCGAAGTGTTTTCCCCTTTTTTTTTGAAAAAAAGACAGAATGGCGCCAATAGGCGAATGATTAATATACAACAACAATAAATTCAGTCAACCCCCGAAGTAGCTGAATAATTAATTAACCGTAGAAACAAGAAGGAAATATATCTTAATTGTCATATTTTCTCTCCAGAAAGCTTCCTTCTTGTTCTAACAAAGAATAGAAGACGGTATTTTTTATGTTGTTCTATAAATTATCGTCTTATTTTTTTTAATATTATTATATACGTCTAGAGTTTAGCATAACTGATGAAAAGGGTAGTGAGAATTTTTCTTTTGGTGTGCAGGCTTTTTCCTCCTACTTTTGTATAATAGGATAACTATGAAAATGAGTTTGCAGCTGCTCTGCTATCTTCCAACCATCGTTTCATATTTTTCCAATGAAGATATAGGTTAACCTCATCAGACTAGGGTATAATTGTTTATTGATTAATTGACACACACAAAAAATGATGCTCCTAGTCTATATGGCTGTTTTACAATAGGAAATTCAAATGAAAAACAGTACTAAGAGGTTATTGATAGACGTTTTTTATCTCACTATATTTCGGTTATTTTCGCAAACATTACCGATCGTGACAGACGAAACTGCATAACGGACGCCGGTCGGCCGCAGCGTTACTCACTAGAGACGTCGTATAGGGCAGAGAAATCAATAGTTTTTATTCCGATAGCGCATGCGCCATAGTTTGCTGTATGTATTATATAGGCATTCGTTTTTATTTTAAAATGCTAGTCTATTTATTTTTCTTTTCAGATACTAAGACTGACATGCAAATGAACTGGTACTTTTTCAAATAAATGTGAATTTTCTCTGAAGAATTGTGTCGAATTAAACCCGAAAATAACAACGTTTTTACCATGTGGACAAAATTAGCTCTTATCCATAAACATATCCAATTAACATTAAAAACAAGTAAATTAATTTGATCTCTTTTCACTTACAATCGATTTCTTACTACTCTTCTTCTGTTCATATTCACTATTTTTCGAATTATCCTCTTTCTCTTCCATCATCACATGCTATAGTCATTGCCTGCGAACTGAAACTATTATGCTAAAACGATAAAAGCGCCACCTCGTTGTAGACGTCGGATGCGGCGTTCCATCGATTAGTACTCTTATTTTATTATTTTATTACAGTATAATTTCACATGACTCGTCAATAAGGAGTTCCGATGGTTGATTAAAGAGGTAAAATATTTATTTTAAGAGCAATATTAAGTCAAATCAAATTTTTATAGCAACCAGCAGTCTAGAAATAACTTGAAAGCAGACAGCAAAAGAGATATTTATTTATACGTATGTAAGCAGACAGAGGGAAAAGTCATAAAAAAAATTGTGGGAGAGAGACAGAGAGACGTCGACGAAGGCGTCAGGCAAGTCTATAAAATTTTACAAAAAGAACGTCATTCGACTTTCTATTGGGTTTCGTCAGAAGCAGCGTACGTCGACTAAGTGCAAACAATCGCACCTAATCCATCTATCTATCTTTCTTTCATTATTTTTATAACCCTATATTAGATGGAACAAGAGCATTTAAAAAAAAAAGAAACGTGAATAAATGAACGAATAGTTAGTTACCAAGATAAAAAATTACTGTTCATTTAATTCCTTCTTTTAGTAATTTCTCAAGATTTGAATAAAATATAGGCTAGAGATTCCTCTACTTGAGGGTTTAGATTCTTGTATATAAATATATATAGTAACACATGTTACACTTTTACCATTTAAATTTCTATTAGAGTATTCATTAAATATACTATCCATACATATATACTGTTTATATATATATATATATATATATATATATACACAGTATATATACATACGTACACACGCAAACATGCAATACACACATATATATGCTTTTATATACTGTATAACTTAACTTTAAATCGTATAAAATACCTTTTACTCTTTGTTAATAATGTTAGTTTAAAGTTTACTTGTTCTATATCTGTTCACAGATATATATATTATGCATATAAAGTATATGTGATATATATTGTTTCATTTGTTTCGAATTCATAGTTGTCTTCTATTCATTTATTATTCAACTCTAATTTATTTCATACGCTTTAAACTCTTCTTCTATTTTAAAATAAACATTTATTAATATGTTTATATACATTAACGATATATATTTATATACTTTAATGTATATTACTTAACCGATAGATGGCGTAATTTCTTTTAATTGTAATTTATAACGTTTGCTATTGCCATCTATCGGTAAAAAGGTACATCTGCGATAAGTAATGTAGATAGATAAAATTAATATTCAAGTACTGACTTCATTAGGTTAACGGAAGAAAAATTTATTACGCTTTTTAGACTATTAGTTTCATAAAAGCTATTTTTTTATCAGATTTTCCAGAATCCACAAGTGATATCAACATTGTACTGCAAGAGTAGACATATTCAATATTGACGGTATACGCTATCCCGTTTATATTCATATATATATAATTATATGTAAAAAATGTATATCTAGAAATAGAATGCCTATCTCCATCTTTTCCTTTAGTTCCTTCTTTCCTAGATAGATTTCATAACTATCTCCTTTCATACCTGAAGAGATTACACATCTCATTGAAATCGATTACAGAAATTTTTTGCTACATAGATAGCTCTTTTAAGAGTAAAAACTGTTATATAATCAAAGAATGGTTTGGCATTAGCAAAAAAAAAATGCTTTAAACTTTACCTAGTAGATAACCATACCCTAGGCGGAGGAGATAAACCGTACAGTATGATTATAGGCCTAGAAAATACTGCGATATCCCATCAAAAATTATTCGATACAATTGAATAGGAATAAAAGTATGCTCAATTACAGAAATTGATAAAAATTGATATAAACTATTATGTAGAAATCTATTTTTACCTCCTCAATGCACTCTGAAAAGTCTTCGTGACGAGCTAAAGGTGATTTTCTCAAAAGTTTCTTCTCAGCTGGAGGAGATACTCCTTTTACTGATATATTCCCTTTTCTTTGACAACTAAAACACAACATAGCGCAATCGGTTAATCCACTTTCAAAAATCTTTTCTCAAACTAATGTTTTCCGGGAGTGTACAGGAAAGTGAAAGTGCCCGTAAAAACTGCAACGTATGCCGTATACTTATCCTTAGGCCTATTTTACTCCTGTAGAGTATTTACTGCATAGTCTAACGGTAAAATATTTAACCAGGAGGTAAATTTCTAGAATTCTTAATAATTTTTTTAAAGCTTCTACTGTAAAGCCATATATGATAAGATTGTTAAAACGTTTAAGGTTTTTCCCCCTACTTTAATAGCCTGTTGATCACTGGAGAGCATATATATACTAATATATCCTAATATATTTCGTATAAATATTAAGTTCTCTTAAAATAGGTTTGCAATCAATACAACACATCGTATATACATATATATATATATATATATATATATATATATTCCGTATATACTCTATATATATATATATATATATATACAGATAGAAGGATAGATATGTCTAATGCACACCTTACATTTTATTAAGCATCGCTTCAATTCTTTGTTATGGATTGTGCACTAGTTTACAATTTATTTTGTTAAAAGAAAGATTTTATTAAAGGTGTGATTTGTATATAGTTAATTTTCACGAGATCATGAAACAAGTAAACACCTGAAGCCTATTATTATGGCAAGTGAACTGGAAATATACAACTGACGTCATAAGTTGGTCGTCAGATATTTTGCTGCCACCTCATGGGCTAGCACAAGCATTATTGTCGATGTAAAAGTCTAGTAAAGATGGTTTATGGCAGAGTTAACAATTCATTAAATGATACATCTTATGATGTTAATATTTATAATGAAATAGCTTATGGAATAATTAAATATTTTTTCCCATTTTCTCTCCTTATTGGAACTTTTGCCAATTGTTTTATCGTTTATATAATGAGAAAGAAGTCGGTGAAGTCATCAGTAAGTGTTTCCATTATTCTTTGTCTTCTGGCAGTCTCTGACACAACTGTTTTATGGACGTCTGAGTTCCGAAATTGGTCGAGAGTAGCGTTCAATTACGATTTCATCATACAATCGGATATTTCCTGCAAATTTACAAAATATCTGTTCTACTCGAGTAGTCACTTTTCCAATTGGCTCGTAGCGTCATTTAGTATAGAAAGAATGCTTGTGGTATGGACGCCACTAAATGCTTCCAGATTTTGTAGATCAAATAGATTAGCCACTTACTTAGGACTTTTAATTACATGCATTTTTGGATCAAACATCTCCTGGGCTGTTTATAGTCGTATAAAATTAATTAATGGTTTAGGAAAGGAGTGTGCAACAGAAATCCCTTCTTCAAACTTTATATCATATATTCCCTTAATAAATATGATCTTAACTGTTGTGATGCCGTTTGCTATTGTACTTATTGGGAACTCGCTGATAATCGTCGGACTAATTCGGGGATCCAACAGAATAGAGGATGGCGATTCTGTCGCTGCAAGAAATCAGAGAAGAATAACAATTGGATTAGTTGTTACTGCTGCTTCGTGGCTCCTACTAACATTTCCTCAGGCTATAATGGAATATCTTAGACCCCTGATACAAGGCCGTGCTTATTTCTTGTCCCAAACAGTCGGATTTTCTTTATTATATCTAAATCATAGCATCAACTTTTTTATCTATGTTTTAAGTGCAAAAACTGTAAGAAGAGAATTACAGAAAAGCGTGTTGTGTCGGTTGTGTAATCAAAACATAGGAAGGGAAGAACGCTTGCTTAGAGTTCCCGTAATTCGAAGACGCGCTGATGTCCGGAAAATAAGAAACCAAGCTGCCTACCCCATGATTCTAACTCAAATGACTGGAATGAGCAAAAGTAACAAGAAAATTTCTTCAAGGTTAACACGAACAATAGATCAAATATGCTAATAATTGTCTTTAAATTTACTTCTATCTCTGAAAAACTCGATCTGTTCACAAAAAATTAACTGTACTCTTTCATTAACCAATCAAGGTTGAAAATGCTTCATATTCAAATCAATAAATTATATTAAAGGAAGAAAGGAGAATCTTTAAATATTAGCTATCTCTTTACACCTCCCCTATTCTCCCCCTCCCCTCTCCCTCCTTCCTCCTCCCCTCACTCCCCACCCACTCCCATCCCTCTCTCTCTCTCTCTCTCTCTCACTTTCTCTGTTGCCTCTGAGTCTTCTGTCTTTCTTTAAAAAATAAATAGCCAAAAATCTCTTCTTAACTAAATAAATAGTACAATTTTTCTTTCACTTTTCCTAATAAGGCACGACTGTTAAAATACTCCATTTAGCTTGGAAGGAAATAAAACTAAAAAGAGAAAAATTAAGATGAAAATAGATTGCAAAGGTATCCAAGCCTTATCTACTCTTTTTGAAGGAGTTTTATATGTTATTTTGTGTTTGCCATTAGAGTAGAAAATATAGCAGTCATGAAAACATAAAAGTTAAACTAAATGATAATAGATAAAATATTAAAAAAGAAATGATACAAAGAAGAAAAGGCATAGAATGGCAAAATGAAGACAATAGAGAATTTCTGAAGAGATTTTAGACAGTTATAACGTACTCTAGCTTTCTTCCATTTTATTACAAAAAATATATATACCTTGGTATTACTCGTCCCCATCGGCCATGAGAGTTCGTGATATTTTTATGCGTGGAAATTAGATCGTTATCGAAAATTAACGTTTGCAAAAATGTCTTTCAGAAAGTTTCTTTGTTGAGTTGCATTTATACAATAAGGAATTTTAATATTCATTATAAAAAGGAAGACTAGCCAAATTATAATAAGAGAAAAATAATTAAAATAGTAAGGCTTAACTCATTCTATAGAAAAAGAACATATTGTACCTTAAATATTTAATAGTAAGTTCTGTACACTTTAAAACATCAACAGTTTTGCATAAAATTAATAAATATAACATTTGATGATATTAGAAAAAATATGGCTTAATAGTGCAGTAGTAGAATGCTATTAAGTTGAAAACAATAGGAAAGAGACTACTTGTAGACAAATGGAGAAGGTAAGAATGATAGATATAAAGAGTACATAGAAGAAAATAGAGAAATAACTAAAAACAAATTGCATAATAATACAAAATAAAGGTAAAAAAAAGAAGAGAAATTTTGTAGTTTTTCCTTTTATTATATAATTAGTTTAATAAGAAAGAAAAGTTTTTTTTTTAATTAGTTATCTAGAATATATTTTATAAATTGATTTCTTTTCAGATAAATAATCTCTTCCTCCTTCCTCTGGCATGGAAAGACAGTCTGAAATTCTATCAAGAACAGACTATATTTATCTCTTTTTTCTGCTTTTTACTTATTGATTAGGATTTATTTGATTGATTTTGATACAAATGCTACAATGATTGTTATTTATTATGGTAATGAAAGAGTAAAATATAAAAAATTGAATATTCTATATGAAATATGAATGTTGAATATAAGATAATTAAATTTCAAAATATTATTAAAAGTATTCTAATAAAAGATTAATAATATTTCTTTAAATATAACGTAAAAAATGACATTTCTCTGCAATTTATATTTGTTTACTTATTAATAATCTACTGTTGTTTCCTTTCTTATATTTAAGAAGGCAATATAACAAAAAAAACTTTAAGAAAAAGGAAAAAGATAGACTAACAGTAACATCATAAGGTTTTGGTGCAAAAGGTTTGATCATATAGGAAAAGAATATCAGAGGCGTAAGCAAAAAGAACGAAAAGGGATGATAATTTATGAGATAAAGTAGTAGCATTACTTGGAAGAAAAATTTATTCGGTCTTTTATATTTTAAGTAAAAATTTTTTTATATAGGAAAGGAGGTCATAGTCAGCGTTGCTCAGACAGCTCTGCAGACATATATATGTAGCTGTCTCTGATCTATAAGGTATATTTCAATATCATCAAAGTATGTAAAAAATATATAAATATCAATTAAAAGGTACGTAGTTCTTCTATTTCCACTATTTAAAACTAAAGTATTTACAGAATAACATTTCAATATGGAATCTTTCTAAATGATAACATGTGTAAAATTTTATTTTGACAAACAAGGGATTTCTTTAGCTAAAAGGTTTAGAAATGCTATTCCTTCCTAAATTCTTCCTATTTTCATAGTCTTCCACTGAACTTGTAGATTTATATAAATCGTTATAAAGATACTCATTGTATTGTCAATCAATAACGTGCATATTCCCTTCTTTTTCTTTATAAGCTTTTCGTTACCTGTACCATTTTTTTCTGACATAGGAAAGTTCTGCTGAGAGTGCTTTGTCGCTTAAACTGAAGATAGGAATACGGAGAGAAAAAGTTGCTTATTTCTATAATTATTCCTTATTTAAGACAGTTTAATTGATAATTTAAAAAAATATAATTAGTAGGTAAAATATCGGACTAAACAACAAAACATTTAAAGCTAATTAAATTAGGTAATTTAAATAATAATGTCACTTTAGAAATGGAATTAGAAATAAGATCTATAATGAAGATTTTGTAAACAGAGCAAAGCAGTGAATTTTGCGACTAAATCATAACTCTTTCACTTAAAGAGTAAGTTGTACTAAAGGAAATGAAAGAAAGGTTTAACCCTGCCTCTTTGCTCTTAAAGGCCTTTACAGGTTATAAAATGTACAAATATTCTCCACCCTATCTAGTTAAAGAGCTAAGCATTAAATTTATGTCATAAAAGTCACAGCTCTATATATGGTTTCCTGATTGAAATAAAGAAGATCCTATTGAAACCTCTTAAAACCTAAACGAATGGAGATTAAATTTAAAGCTGTTTAGAATTTCTACTATTTTTTGCATGTTTTCTATCTTAATTTTTCTAATTGTTTTCGGTGTTTTCTTTCACATTATTAAATTATTAGTAAAGTATACAGGGAAAAAGCACTCATGAATATTTATAATGTAAAAGACTGATTAAAGTAAAGTAATTTGTTTGTTCTATATTTTTTCTTTTCATATTCTCTGTTATTTCATGTACAAGTAATACTCTCTTGTGACACAACTCTGTTAGTTTCTTTTCAAGATTGAGATAATTTTGTAATAGGATTGCTAATAATTCATATTACTTCTACATTCATTTATATTTCTTTTATTTCCAGGCCATGTTCTTAGAAAAGTATTTTAAGATTGTTATTGCAGTATTAAATATTGCAAACACATATTAATAAACTCTTGTCGGCTGCTAGACATAAATTAAAAGAAAATATTTTTTGGCGAAGGGTTTGGATTAAAGATTACAAGAAAACAAAGTTTGTAATCATAGAATCTTACACAACAAATTGACAAGCTACAAGCTTTCCTTTGTCTTTCATCACTGTACTCTCCTTAACCTTTTCAAGTTGTATCCCCTCACCTAGCTTATACGCTTTTTGTTGTTCATAATCATTCACTTAAATGCATTGCAATCTTATTTTGTCCTCTCATAAGGCTTTCTTAGACAGTTCTCTTTCGTAACTAAATTATATCTTCAAAGATAACTTCTATCATATACAACGCCATCTAGTTTCTCCTATTTACAGCATGCTGAGTTAAAAATCTATACATAAAAGGCGATAATTCTACTTTATAGCTTAAAGTAATTAGAAATTGATTATAGTTTTAATTAAAGTTTGTTGTTTAAGAATGAAGAAAAAACACGACGACAAGAGATTTATTAAAATTAACAGTCGATAACGCCATCTTGTATGCAAGAAGGGAGAAACAGAGAGAATTTAAAGAAAAATCAGACGGTATAAAAATTATTCTTAGTCTTAATTATAGCTTGTCAATTCAGAATCGAAAGTCTCCGATCGACTTAAATAATCAGAAGAGGATGAATCTTCATTTGACCTGGCGGATTCGGGCATAGATTTGGATGTTTTCATTCGATTACTATCCATAACGATGCTCTTTTCGAAATAGCTTTTATATTTGGCTGGTAAACGCCTGGTTGAGGGTGGTTTCGGTCGCCTTGGCTAAATTGATTATAGAGAAAGCATATTTTATATATTTTTGACACTTGTACAGAGTCTACTCCTAGTTTTTATGCCATATACAGTATTTACAGTATACAGTATACTGCCCATTTATGTATTGTTTAAATGCTTATTATATTTTAGACATAATTATAGGGAAATGTTATAAACTGATTTTACTTACAGCTTTTAATAGTGTATGCTGAGGTAGGTAGCATAGTTCCTCCTCATCTACACTGTGAACTCCTTCATCTTCCGATTCATTTCTAATTTTTCTATTAACTTCCTGAAAGAATTAAGTATTGTTTATTTTCATCTTCTCCTCCAATTCCGTACAATCTTATCTTTATAAATTGAATTTACTAAAATTTTGCACCTGTTTTATATTCGACAAACAAATAGGTTTAGGGAAGGAAAGGGAAATAAAAGTAGTATATTTAATATACAAGCCAATTACATAAATATTGCATTTAGTTGCAAATATATACTCTGTTTATATTACATTTAATATATAATATATATCTATATCTACTGTATATATGTATATTACCTTATGATGATTCGGAAATTTCATAAGGTCAGATGTCTGCAATAGCACCACTTGGTTTTCCATTCTAGTAAAATAAATGAAATCTATTAAATAAATCAATTTGCGTGAAGGTTAAACGTTAATTCATTTTTTTATGGGATTTAAAGGGAAGATTTAGAATGTGATGTAAACGTACGAGGACAGAGAAATATATAGATAGATAGAGAGACAGAGAGAGAGATAAAATTGGGATAGACTCTATAAAAAAGATGATTCAGTGAGAGGCTATTGCACAAATAGTCTCTGTACATCCGTGAAATGAATGCGTGTATACAATTTGCTCAGTTCTCTTTCGCATTTATTTGCTGCCTCCTCATTCGATTACATATAAGATTTCTAATGTAATTTACCCTATTCTCTTTGATTTTCCGTTAATAGGGAAAAGATCTATTTCTTAACTATAAACTTACTGCAATGAAAACGAATTCTCAATTCTCCTCAAGTGTTCATTATCCGTAAACTCAGTACCAGATTTTTCCCTGGGAGATTTCCTATTTGAGCACCAGAAAACGCAAGCCGAGGTAATGAGGAGAATAATTACCACACCGATTGACGCTCCGATAATTATACCGAGTGTAACTGGGAAACCAGAGTAGTCTTTCGTTAAGACTCCGTAATCTCCATATGTCGAATTCTGGACAGTGATGGTGCTCAAAAGTAAAGAATTTTTATCTCCTTCTCCTTCTTTATCGTGGTTTAACTTGGTTTTTGCCTTTGATATTGTTGGTTTGGCGTCCAGTAGAGTCTTTGTATAATTCGAATTCTCAGTTGAATTCGATATTTCGCCTCGAACTATCTGCAGAATGACTGAGAAAGTGATTACTAACCAATAAATAGGATTTAAATAAGTATATGTTCCCATGCCGCAAATACTGAAACAGATAAAAAGAAATCCAAATTATATCCCTTTCACTTTCTCAGCCTTTTCTAATTCTTCTATCCCGAAATCACCTTGCACCTTTCGTGTCTCAAGAGTATTGCCAACTTGACTAAAACCAAAAGAAAACGAGAGGAGTAGATACTTTTATTCCAAAAATCCTTACTTTCTCATTCTCCTTCTCCTTTCACCAGGTCAATCTTACATTTCAGGTAGTAATAAATACGTTATTGGCTTAGTTTTATCTTTTGACCAGTATATTTCTTATAGATAGAGCAATTCACCAAACAATTTTTCGTCTGCTTTCGCTGAATATTTCCGCCGGTAGAGTATAGCGACACCTATATTTCTATGGAATGGCGATCGTTATTGTTAGAATGGATAAGTGAAGGGATAAATGAACGTTCCTTCTCTTTTCGCGTTTGCCTTTTATCGATTTTGTTTAACGAAACGTATACGAAGAGGGTTTTATTTAATATAATTTAATCTGTTGCCCAAGGCTACCACCCATTCCTAGCCATCGTTTCAATATTCAATATGCGATATATTCTATGAGTTATTTTTTCCTAGTTTTCTTTCACTATCATAAATCTGAGCAATATAAAGTGCATACTATATACTGTATATTTATATATATATACTCACACACACACTTGTAATATATCATTCATAAATGCCAGATAAATTTTACAACAACAATAATAATAATAGTAATAAAACTAAAGAATAAAACTTCTTAATTCATTCTTTGTTGCGACTCTTTTTCCACGTCGCTTCCTATCTTAAAATTCTCTTGATAGCCTTATACATAATGCATATTGTTCGTTTGACTGGGACTCCCAAGTTGACTGTTTGTTGTTTGACTAATAACCGCAAGAAAATTTTTAAATAGAGAGAAATTTTCTCTCTTTCTTTTAATATCTTTTGTATATGTTTATTTAAAAATATCTTATATATTCAGTGTAACTACTTATAGTATTTACTTTTCTATATAATAAAAAACGTTTGGTGTATTTATATAGTTTCTTTGCAATTATTAAACGTTATACGCTTATAATAAACTTTTCTTGCGTGAATTCCTTTTATAGTGAACGTCAAATTAAGAGCGCTTTCTTTCATTCTTATCGAAACCGTTCTTGTCGTGGAAAATTGATTTTTTCGATAAATCGAATAAAGATACAACGTGTTGTTTCGTGTTCCATTTCTTTCAAGAAATTTCCCCTTTCTCAAATTTGTTTTTTGGGAAAGGAACATTTTTTTTTGGGGCAATTCGATGGATAACGCTGGTTTCTTCTTTCCTACTCTGAAAACGTACTGAGAGCGTTTAATATCCTAAGGGAAAAAAGTATAGATAAGATACGGCATTGATAAAAATTCGCAGAGGAAAGTAAGTTCCTTAAGGAAGATACGATCGATTTTTGTAGTAAATTTCGCAGGACAAACTTGAAAATGGTGGGTCCTTTTATTTCCGCAAGGGAAAAAGACATTTTTACTTCATTTCTTGATTTTTGATAAGGACAGATTAGCCATAATTTTCCTTAATGACTTCCATCACACGGCTATGTATTATATATACATTAAACGATGACATGATTTATTAGTAAAAGATCTTTCCATTTATCTCGTAATGTTTTTACGAAGCAAAATTGAACGTTTAATTAAGACTTATTTTACGGACGCAGAATCTTACTTACCTGTATAAAATTGATAATTACTAGATCAAAAGTAGTCAGTAATTGTAATGAAGAGAACAGTTCAATAGCTTAATTAACTTAATTAGTAATTAGATCTAAAAATAAAGTACACATACAACAATGATAGTGAGCTTCTATTCTTCAATATGAGTAATGAGGCCAAAATTAAAGAAATTAAGACCCCTGCGACGAAGAGGAGAAGTGATTAGGGAGAGGGAAGGAAGAAGGCAAGGCAACAAAAAAGCAACAGATCTACGGTTTGTTTGTTTTCGAACACGAGTTTAGGAATTTTCTCAACTACTCATTTGAAAGGGCATAACTATTATCTAGTCTGGTCGGTTATGATCTTTATCTTATTCGTAACGTAATAATCTCTTTTGCACCTGGCTCGATAAACGTTAAAAAGAACTTCTTTCATCGAAATCTACTATCGTTAATTATTTCAATGCATCAGTTGAATGACTATGATTTCCTTTTCCCCGAGCAGAATAGGATTTTTAATACTAAATATGAATTTAGAGCTATTTAATTTTTCATTATAAAAAAAAGTAAATGCTTATACATGTGTGTTTAAGTGAGAGAGAGAGAGAGAGAGAGAGAAAGAGACAGGGAGAAAGAGAGGAGCAAAAGGGGAGAAAATTCCATTTGTCCCAGTGGCTAGAATGGACGTAAATAAGGTCAGTAGCTGCGGGGTGCCCTTGCCTTCAAAACTCTGTTCTATCCTGTTTCAGGAAGTTCCGAGTGGAATTTAAAAAGGATATCAGCGGAAGTTATGTTTTTATCTGAAAAGCCAATTTTCTTGTAAAGTTTAATTTGAACCCCTATCAAGTATTTTTATTACGCAAAAGTAACAAAATTTTCCTTTCGTCACTTTTTAAAAATTTTCCTCTATTACATAACAATTTTCTAATTTATCGTTAAATCTCTTTCTACTTAGAAAGACGACTATTAATTAATTCTAAATAAAACTATATTTAACCGATAAAAATTGTTACAAAAAAGATAAAGTACATACAAAGACTATTATGAATAAAGTAAAAGAGAGAAAACAAGATAGAGAAGGATTGATTTAGAAAGTGAAAGAATTGAGCGTGGGCTATACGAAGAGAGAGAGAGAGAGAGAGAGACTTAAATACATACTCTTTACTTAGAAAGAAATAATCATTTTTTAAAGCTTTCTAATCCTTTAACACCTTCAGTATTGAATTGAAACTATTTTCTATTCTTTTAGGAGAAAATCGAAGTTTATTACGAAATTTCTCTCAAATTTCATTTATTATTCTTGTCATAGAAATTGCAATTCAATTATTCGAATACGAAATGTAATTATATCAAATATATGTCGACACCCGTTAACATTTTCACATGATGCATAAATTACATCATTCCTTCTAATTGCTTGAAACAATTGAACAGTTTATTATTATTATTATTATTATCATAACTGAAATGTCATTACGATTTCTTTTTTTGTTTAAATTTGATCTCTGTCTGACCTTGTCATTTTCCAAGTTAATAAAAAGTTGATAAAATCATTTATAATTTGTCCTCTAAAGCGCCTGCAGAGAATTCTCCTATTTAAATTGTAAGTTTGAAAGTTTTATAGAGGGGTTTACGCATTTTGACATTTTACTTCTTGGAAATATTTATGACGGAAAATGGGAGGAGAGTGGTATAGTGAAAATGGAGCATATTTGTCCGATACGATCAGGCCGTAAAATGGACGCCCACTAATTTCTCGCTTTATTCTTTGAGTGCTTTTCCTTCTCTCAATCCCTATTTCAATAATCTTTAAAATTGTTTGTTCGATATTCTAGTCAACGGGACGAATAAATAACAGTTACGAATCCTTTAGACCCTTATCACCTTTTTTTTTATTAGCTATCTGACATGTCAGAAGGTTTCTAACAAGATTTAACGTGACATTTAAACATTTTAAAATAGAATACATTTGATTATAAACTATTTAACTAATAGATTAACAAGTAACTTGCTAGCCTCGAAATGAATAACTTCATTATAACAATAATTATAATAATAAAGCGAAGGGAAAGGCGTTAGATGGCGTTGCCGTCAAAAGAACTTCCTAGCCGTGGTCTTAACGGTTAAAAGATAAATTACATTGATTTACAAGTAACTGCTAGAGGGCAAATGCTTAACTTTCGTCATTCTATTCTCCCAATCAAACTTTTATATTCAACGCTTTTACAAGTATTCTGTAAGCGAATAAACATAAAAAACCGAAACTCTAGTTCTTTAGCATTTCATTTCCTTGTATGACGTCATAAGTATATGTTCAAAATTTCTTCGGGTATCCGCGTTAATGACACGTTAATATTTACGTATTACAATTGTACCGTAAAAAATTCAGAATAAGCCATTCAATTGCGAATTGTAAATACAATCTTTTCTTTCTAATTAATTAGTAGCCAGAGGCTTTAAAAAAATAAAATGAATGCAAATAAATAAATATTGAAGTTAAAAAAGTAGAAAAGAGGAAGAAAACTTCATTAATATGTATAATATGTTAATTTAGATAAACACGAAAATCAGTAGTGAAAACACATAAATCTTAAAAATAAATAAATAATAATAAAATGATAGTTATCGATTTAATGATAAGCTCGGTGGCAGTTTTTAAGGAAGGCAAGCGCGTTTACCTGACATTTAAGACACCTGCGGTGAATTAGGTTGGTTCAAAGAGGCGGTATCCTTCAAGGGCTAAAGTATGACGACTTTTAAAGTAGGAATACCGCTTAAAGCCATCGATAAAGTTGTAGTTTAGAATTGTAAAGTAAAAGAAAAAGAAGGAAAACAATCTCTTTAAAAAATTAAATGATGCTAATTGCGATACAATGATATTAATCTTAGCAAATAAAAACATTATTCCCACGTTAGTTGAGGCCTAAATTAATAATTAATATTCATAATTGTTTACTAAAGCATAATTAATTAGATTAATTAGTAATTAATTTATTTATAACAAGTAGAAGAAATAATTAAAGTTTCCTAAAACCCCTGCCACTACCTTCCAACATTATGAAATGTTTTGCGTCGGTAAGAGACTCTCTAAATTTCAATTATTAAATTCTTTAAGTTCTCTTACTCCTTATTGACACACTTATTTGTAATATATTAATTATTATCCGTGCACGCAAGTTAAAGCATCCATAGAATAAAGAAATAAAGAAATAAAGAAACCGTTAAAGTCTCTCTCTCTCTCTCTCTCTCTCTCTCTCTCATAACTTGTTGCCCAGTTTATAAATTTGAAAACATTGAAAATTAACAAAGTTTATAATGTTATAAAACAGTTTGAAGTAACATTTAGAAAACAGTTTGTTAGACATTTCTATAGAAAGAAAAACTTGCTTACATTGTTTTCTTGTTTATTTGTTTGTTTATTTATTTATTTAAGTAAGAATCGCGGAGGACGATTTTATCAAACTATCCTTATCAATTGTAGTAACATGAAATTTTTCTTTACACTCCAATGTTTTATTTTCTTTTATTTTAAACTACCGAAAGTTCTTAGTTAAGATTTCGTAATCCGTATTTTAGTGTATAGTGTATATATCTATGTATATTTTAACGCCATTTGATGGTTATAAATACCAAGATAGTAATATAATACTCTTTCTAATTCATTTCTGGTGTAATACAAGAAAGTGTACAAAATGCTTTGTTTGTTAACGTACAAACTTACTCTCCATCAACAGATGGTTATGCTTGAAGTACCATTATCTTTTTTTCTCCTTTTTTATGTTTAATATATTATAATATATTACATTATAAGTAACGCCTTTGTATAGGGTGAAACTTGTACCATTTTTCTTTATCAATTAAATTGTAATACCCAATCTTTTCTATCCCCTTAAAAAGTTTACATTTTAGAAAATGTAAAAATTTTTTAAGCCGTATGAGCTTAATGGTGCATCTAATCTATCGAATAGGCGCTTAATAAAGGTTAAAAGGTCCTTGAAGCAATTTCGATTGTGTATAATAATAAGTCCTTTAATAAGATAAGTAAACGGGTAATAAAAGGAGAGGAGTAAAGAGCTATTTTTAAGATTTTGCACAGTTGTAGCCGTTAATAATGTAACAAACTTTAAACGTTTAAAAAAGATTGTGGAAAGGAAACGTTCTCTCGAAAATAATCTATCGTTTGGTGTCGCTGGAGAGACATCCAACTTTACAAACAAAGTGACAAAATTACGTCTAAGCTACCTTACACCGCTTATAGAACGTTAAGACATCGGGTAAACAAAGCCTCTATCGGTTGTATCCACAATCAAACATCTGCCTTGTGGTATTTCGGTGAAGGTTAAGCTTTTAAACAGCCTTTTATAAACTTTTACTTGTACTAAAACGACACGCGCTCCCTTCTTTACACACACAACATATACATACACGTTTGAAACGTATATCGAGAAAGTTTTAATACGCTAACAATAGAAACAAATATTCATAGTAGACTCTATGAAATATCGATAAGATAGAAAGTTTTAAGAAAACGCGACTAATGATTTATTGTTTCAACAACAAAAACGAACAACTGTGATAATTAAAGTTTACATGTCTAAAGAAAACTTTTACAAACTCCCTTAAGTAGAAAATCTTATCAATTAATACCGTAAATCTGTGCGTACGCATTACATTTTAACTTTTTCCTACGGGATACGGCGGATGTAGAGGGAAAGTTAAAAACTACAATAATCAAGGCAGAACGTGAAAAATTAGTCGCATAGAGGATTGTCCTCGATTCATAGGAGGATTGGAGAACGTCGAATTATACTACTAGTTCAGATAATCCCCCACAAATGATTAACGAGTTAAGATTGGAAAGGGATTGACATTCGCTCTGGTTTTTGTTATTTGATTACTTATTTGTATAAGAGATTTTCGTTTCTAAAGAATTCAAGCATCTATGTAAATTGCTTCTCTACTAATTGTTTTAAATTGCGATTGATATTTCAATATTAAAGAGATAATGTTTATAGTAAAAAAATGAAAACAACTATTTTTGTATTCAATAAACTTTTCAAAATGTCAAAAACAATAGAATATATCAAACAATTCAGCACCAAATAAAAAAAACGATTGGAAAAAGTCTTTTATTTTCTGAGAAAATAGCTCTTTAAACAATATTTAACTTCTTTTTTCTTCTGGAATTGAACAGGCACCCTGAAATGAGTTTATTTTTATTTATATTGTTTAATTTGTTTAGATTACTATCTTATGTTTTCTCTTATATTTAGAATTGAATTGAAATCTAGATAATTAACTTACCGTTAAATCGAGCATGCTGCTCGCTAAACCGAATCTTCTGTTAGCCATGGAAGTTAATTTACCTATTGCAAAAGATAAGATATTGAGTATGTACAGATAATTATCTCATTAAATTAAAAACCATCCGATTTAACACTCACTGCTTAATGGAGTCCTAGGAGAAATTGCTTGCGTAACGGACGCCATGGCTTTTTGGAGGCTTTTTGGCGTTCTGGAGAACGAAAATGCCCGGCTTACTCTCCTACTCAAACAGCGGGCTGCTCTGGAAAGGCTTTTGTTTGAAGACATTGGATATGAGCTAGATTCGAAGAGGTCGCTAGGCACTACATTTTCCTATACAAAAAAAAAGAGTATAAATAAACGGTTAGGGTTAAAGAAGCCCGGCGGATAATACCTGCTTAGATAACGCCGTAAGGAGATCTCGCTTAATGGGGCATTGGTCTTCGGCCGTCGCGAAAGCGTAAACTCTTTCATTCTCATCTTCAGAGCATACGATAGCAAAAGCACCTTTAATTTCATCTCTTTTTACGTCCACTACTCGCTTCACGCTGTTTAGGCGGATTTCTTTCAAAAATTTATGGGTCGTTCGCCTTTGAGGCGTAGACGGTAGGGCGGCAGGAGATTTTGGCATATGGCGTTTCTTCTTTCCGATTACCAGACTATCATCAAATAGAAAAAGAGTTACAGCTTGCATCGAAGCGCTTTCTTCCGTTAAACCAAAAGCGTTAGCTTGGCACAGGAAATGTCGAGAGGAACTTAGAAGAGTTGGCGGAAGGCCGTCTATCCTTTCATTCAATTCGAATAATTTGATTTGTTCGTCGGCCATCCTTTTACCTTCATTCAATTTGCAAGTAACTTGTCGAAGTTGTCGTAGAGCATTTTGTAATTGCTTGTAATCCGCGTGCGAACGGTTCGTCTTCGAAAGTAAATTCTCCAATAAAAGTTCCATACTAGGTAACTTCTGCACAGGTCTAATAACCAATTCAGCTAAACTTTCCCTTGTCCCATCTAAGCGGAATTTCAATTTTTTTTCGTATTCTTTAAAACGCTCATTTTCCGAATCGCATTCGGCAATCCTTCGGGCAATTCTATCTTGATATTTAACGTAGGGTGGATAGACCTTTTCCAATCTTGCAATCTGTTAAAGAAAAAAGATAGATTGTTATTTAAGTTATTTCTTTATATTAAATCTTTTAACGTGTTTTTAATTAAATTATAAATAATTGTAATAATTAAAAAAATTACTCACATTCTTTTGAATGATATTTCCAATTAAACAAGAATCTTGCCAATTGTTCACATGATAGTTCAATTGTTTTAAAATTTGACAGTGAGTATCGTAAATTTCTTGTAGAGAACCGAAAATATCCCGAATGTCATGCTGAGTTAAGATAGCACCACCTGGTTGGTTCGAGCATTCCAATTCATTTTTCACCTGCGCAAAAAAAAGTTCATTATGCAAACAGAATTTAAATTACGGCAATGGTAAAGCGTACTTACTTTAATCATAAAAGCTAAAACTTTGGCGTAATTACGTTCTTTCTGTAGCATTTCCACAACTACCTTCTGACGTGCCGACATCTCCCTACAGATATCCGGTACGTTAACAGCTGGAATACGGACGGGGCTTTGTTGGCTTTCCGAGAACAATGGTGGCAAATTTTCTTTATTAAATAGGCGTTTTCTTTTTGTCGATCGTTTTGTAACCGGTTTGGTTGGAGTTACAAATATCGGATCGTTTTGCATCTTAGTTACGGTTGATTCCTTGTCACCTGTTAAACAATTATGTCACGATTAGACGTTTGCCTTTAAAGATTTGGCAGTTTAATTTGACGCCGAATTACGCTAGTAGTTTGCTTCCTTTTTTTTGAGTAAATCTCTTATAGAAGCATTCTCTAGTTACAGACGGTACGTAATAATTATTGCGTTTGGTTGCATAATATGAAAAGTGTAAAAAATCTCGAGAATACCGTCGAGATTCACTCAATCATCCTTCGATGGACAAATGTTACGGCAATTTACGCACTAGTACCACGTTTTTTAAGACATGTTTTAAAATAGATTAGAAATTTTTCAGCCAAGTGGCCATATATATCTCGAATTAGTATTTTCTTTAACTATGCACCAAACAATGAGAAAGTAAACTTTCCCATAATTCACCTGCAACACACGTCGTAAGATCAGGTGACGTCACCGAACGTGTATTATTAACGAGGCGTGACGTCAAAGCTAGAGAGTTTTCATTCTTTTGTTCGTTTTATATCAAATTTCGTAAACAAGTGTTGGAAAAAAACAAAAAGGTTAAGAAAAAAGGGAAAAAACCAAAAAGCTCTGCCACCCTCCGATCGTCGAACTCGTTTGGCAAATAAATAAAACAAATAAGCCTAACTGCTCCTATTAATTAACGCCAAATAAACTAGCTCTGGCGCCGGTCGTTTACGCCGAACTACTGAACTCAGTCTGGTTGTATGATTTATTAGTCAAGCTGAAGTTTTTCGTTTTTTTTATCTCTTATCTAGCCAGCTTTTCGCACTTCGTCAAGATCATTAGTCGTACAAATTTCACGTAAAAACGAACTAATCTAATGTCTGGTTTATCCCATTCCTAAGCCGGTTTAAGACAAATACCACAGGGAATATACCCTGACGAGGAGGAGAGGATGTATTGAGTAAACAAATAAGGGTACACACCCTTTTCTATATACACACAAACTAAATTCTATACCTAGAGGATTATTAGGCAAGAGATAGGAGACATATATAGTATATACTGTATATCTACAAATATATATATATTATACTTATATACTTATATAGGTAGTCAAAGAGAAAGAGAGAGAGAGGAAAAGAGCAGTAAAAAAGTCGTTGAGTGCAGGTGGCCTCGGATTATAGATGTTTGCCCGGTTACGCATAAAACGTATATGTACTCTCTCTTTTACGTCCACTCGACACGTTCGTTGCATTTTCGGCCGTTCGCAAATGATTGATTACGCAAAAAGAAAAAAGGGTTTTACGGCCTTTACTTAGGCCTATTAGAGACTAATTAGACCCCGAGCGATTGGGGCAGTCGAAAACAACGGACACGTTTAAGAACGAACGAGGTGTTTAATAACGTCGAGTGCCTTTCATGTAGCCGGCGTTATCTGATCTCAAGACTTAAAAGTTTCGCTGTTACGTCACGATTTTAACTAGATGGTTGCACGTGGCCTCAGAGACAATTTGTTAAAAGTATTTGAAAAGCAGATAACAAAATTCTACTAATCGTTTAGCATTGAAATAAATCTACATACTAATACGTAGAATGATGAAAGATATATATCTCTTACCTTCAATGTTATCAACCATCCGCAATGATGTGAAAGATCTGGATACTCTCCTTAACTTATTTGGTGGTTCTACTTCATCTTCTGGCCAAAGCCATCCTGTCCATAAATCGTCGAATGTCCTATCAATAGACTTGCGAGAACAATCACTGTCTTGGCGGAGTCCTGAACGGCTCTCTTCCATAGTTTTCTTTTGAGTGTTTTCCATTTCGTCTGAGTTTAGGCAACGTTTTCACCGAGTGGACGTGGCGCCTTCAATGAATGGTGAAACAACTTCTAACTCATTAATATTCACTGGCCCCTAACCGCCCTTCAGCCAATCAGCGCCGAGTACGATCCGCCTATCAGCGGGGTGACGCGGGCGTTGAGTGTTGGTTGGCGCGATTGTGCGAAAAACTTATTTGTTTACTGTAAGAAAAAACTGTCGACGTTTTATATCGATTTAACTCTACGTTGGGGTAGAAATTTTTTTTTAACCATTAGTTAACAATAACTGAAGAAAATTAATGCCAGTATGGTATGGGAGGAAAGGGAAAATGAGAAAAACATCTGCGTCAGTCCCGAAATACGGTGCCACCCGTGACGCGAGACAAATTAAGTAAACTGATTTTTTTGTCTAATTGTAATTACTGAGTCTCTTGGTAATTTTGAATAAAGGTAATAAAGCCAAATGGTAATTTGTGACTTGACTTTGTGAACAACTTTATATTATTCTGAGAAAAACAAAATGATATTTCAGTTCTCATGGTATTACTCTGCTAAATGTATAGGAGAATAACATAGCTATTATGGTTCAATGATATGCAAACGATGTTGTAAAATACGCATTTAAAAAATCTTTTCCCTTATGCTTTAACTTTAATTTCACTCCTTTTTTCTTTTTATTAAATATAAGAATATTGTTTAGAATAAGGCATTTCATTCTATTTTATTCTCCTCTTTCTTTTTTAATTATTATAAAAAGTTTTATTACAATATTGTTTCCCATGTTTTATTGTTTTGCAACTTCTCTATTATATTCTAGACCCTTTTATTTCAGTTATGACCTCTCGTCATGAGCATTTCGATAGCAAAGAAGTGCTAATACTCATACTGCGATAGGCTCCTTAAAGGTATCTAATTAGGGTTGTAATTCCATGGGTATGTCCATCTGCTATAGGGACATTCGATATCTTCGTTTTATTTTATTGCATAACAAACGAACTCCTGTCACGCGAGTATGGTAGGCCTATTATTTACCGATTCGACAAAGTGAGAGTGACATGTAGGATTAGTTAAACAGCCCGGTGGAGAAGTGCTAGAGCGGGGCGCCACGGAAAGGAAGATAGGTTAACCGAACATTCAACCCTAAAGACCCTTCGACGGCAGTACTGCCATCTGTAGATTCAACTTGTTGCTGACCCGGCTAGGGGCGATACACTTGGGACAGCCGGCAGTTAAAAAGACATTTCGAAAGCTTGACCGCATGCGGCGTTGATTTTTAGAACGGCATACTCGATTGTAGTTCAAAAAAAAGAAAATAAAACCCTCCTTACTGGACGCTTTGAGACCCTCGGAAATACCTAATTCTATATAAATATATCAAGTAATACCTAGCCCACAAGCTTTATAGTATATTTCTTAATAAATTATTTATATGTACATATTTTTTAGCCCTACTTAGCAACCACGATACGTAATGGTCTAATATATCACCCTGCTTTAGAATAATTTCACCCGTTAAAGAGATTAACACCTTTCCATATTTTATTTGGTAGGATTAAAAGACCATTTTTTCCCGTTTAGGTGAAAAGTAAACAAGGAAACGCCAGAGATTGTTAAATTTAGTTTTAGGAAACGTATGCTAATTTTTGCATTTGTATAAAAATCGTGCACAATTAAGACCTTTCTATCTCTGTTTTTGTAATTTACCTACTATTATTTACTCGTAATTATAAACAAATAGCCAAGGTTAAAAGGGTCAGATAAATTTTCAAGTACGCCGTATGTCAGATTTGCGTGAAGATTAGTCATAAATTATAACAATTCAATTTTCTTGAAAAGAACGGATTTTCGGTTGAATAAATTTGAAATTATGACCATAAAACGGGAGAAGATGTTGAAAAGACTAACTCCGGCTGTTTACGCCCTAAAATTGATACACGGAAAAGCTTTAATAGATAAAAATATAAAAGACCGACAGTGTAATTGATGCTCAATTCAAACATTAAGTTATAAAAAGGAAAGTCAATAGACACATTAAATTGTCTTTTTGTCGAAAAAGTATCATTTTTTGTTTAATTTTTTTTCTTTAAAAAAAAAACAGGTAAAATAAAAAGAGTAAAAGTTAAATGTACTTTTAAAAACGGAATCACGGAACCGTTAAAAGTAACGCTTTTCATAAGTAAAAGTCTTGTTTTTATCGTTTCTTTTCAACCCCTTTTTCCTATTATAATTGTATAATAAAGGAAATTTTTTGCTTTTTACTATACCTAATTAGTTGACCCCCTATATACATTTAGGGCTTATTAAATATATTGGCCTATGGTATAAAACTCTAATGAAGTAGTGATAAAATTTAGATGTATTTTAATATACCGTTTAATTGTTAAAGAAAAACGCGGATATTGGTTATAAAGCGCTATAGTAGGTTTAGTACACTGTACTTGATATTTATTAGCCATTTATACGCCGCTTATACAGTTTCTAAGTAGACTTGATGTACTGGAAACTATTAAAATGTACGAGAGCAAAACGTCTTTGAACGAAACGTTTTAGTTGGTTTGATGCGTTCGAATTTATTAAGCGTAAAACTGTTTACATGCGCGTTTGACGTAGGTCAATGGAACGGTCACTTTCTTTATCATTAAATACTATTGGGATAAAAAAATCCCTATTATTAATTATCTATCTATCTATGTGTTTTCAATAACGTATTTTTCATTAAAATACTACTTTGTATACCTTTTCACGGCATAGTGTATTGTATAATTATCTCTTTCCCATCATTTACATAATTTACCACTGTAACTAATTTCTCTTGTAATTGATTTGAAATTTACTAAATGTTAATATTATCTATAAGAAAGGAAAATTACTTTAAATATAAAAGAAACTATAATTTATGTTATTGTAAAATATAGGCAACAGGTGTTACTGTTCATTTAAAGTGTGATTCGAAATCTATAATTAAATTAGGCTTTCTAAATGAAAAAAATTGTTCTCTGTTGTTGACTGAGATTATGTAGTCACACCCAGACTTATCCTTATTTGCGTAAGCTTAAAACAACAGGTGTATCACAGACATTAGACTTTTAAATTGCGTTCAATCAATGTGATATCTGTTGTTTTTGTATTTCACTTTTTTTTCAGACTCTTCCTCTACAAAACAGGATGTGTTTAGTCAAATTGATAAATTCTCCTATTTCCTCGATGTCACTATTTAACGCCGGAAATTTAACCAACTTTTCGATGAGGAATCGCAAAGAAGCCAAACAAGATTTACCAATGACACCAAACTATTTTATCTTATTAGGACAAGCCTTCAATAGATAATAATCACGGACGACGCCAGATAATTTTTATATGACATCGCAACATCCAAGATTTTATAGACCCATTAGTGTGATAAGAAAGTTTATCAAGACCGTAGGGAGGAAGTGTCCTTATGAAACATAGGGCGTGTGTAAGACAGTGGCACCTACCGGTGCATTGAACGTGTGCTGTATTAAAATACTATAGAGTTGGACAAATACAATAATTTATTATGGAATATTAAAAGTAAGAAATTCATTTGTTATTATGTTATCAATTCCTCCAATAGTTTAATTACATTAACATGTCTATGTAAAAACTAATGTTAATAAAAGTTTTTCAAGCGTAAACTTATTAAAACCTGAAGAGTTTTGTTACATTTACTTATCACTAGATCTATCACTTATTTTCCAATTTATAAAATGGTAAGAGTAAAGAATTACAAGTTGTAAACTTTTACAGAGGAAATAGTGATTATACATATCTTACGAAACAGTTAAAAATCTCTTCAGTTGCTCTACTTAATCAGATTTACATATTTTGAACTATACATATGTAATTTTTGTTATATTAATAAAAAGATTCCTCTCAATGTTAACTTTAATCATTAAACAATCAAAGAAATTTCCCTCAAAGTTAAAATGACCAACAATTATTATTCTTCAAACGATGTTTGAAAGAATAAAACAAATTTAATGGGAATTCTTATGACTTGTATATCAAGATTTTCAATTAAAAAGTTAAAAAAAAAGCAAAATTGTAAGATAAGGATATTCTTTGAAATAAAGCATTCTTCTGTAACAGAACTCTGTGAGTAAAATTGTTAATTTTTTCATTTTTTCCATTGAGATACGTCAATCTCTTCAAGCTTTGAAAGTCAAGACAAAAATTAAGTAATTAAGTCTACGACGCTTTCTTACTATTAACATAATGAATACTTAGTAATGTTTCAATTATCGTTAATCAAGATAACAGAACGATGAGAAGAGGTCTTAAACAATAATAATGCGCCATCTAACGTGCATAGACAGAGCAAGCCGTTTCCTACACTGTATAGACATAGCTGCCCGCTATCTAACGTGTATCGAAACAGCTGAACGCCACTATTCTACTGTTCAATTTCTCATCCGTTAAAAATCATTAACAAAAAGAGCAACAGATCTCACAATATTCGATTATGTCTTAGAATTAGGATAAACTTCTAAAAATTACATTAAGAACATATAAATTTATTATTCGAAATAAAGACATGGTTCAACAAATTAAGAAAACCAATATTAAGACTACTAAAAGCAATGACAGAGTTTAAAAAATGATTTTAAAAAAACGTTCAGGAATAAGAAATTTCTATAAAAAACTGTATTACGCTAGATTGAAAATCCAAGAAGCCATTCTCGACATTTTCAATAGTAACATAAAAAACAACTCCCACTTGTATACAGTAATACCGGTAAAAAAAACAACAGCAATAATAACATACTACACTTGGATTTATAAAAAAAAACCGAATAATTTCAATACATTAAAAAGTTTATGGAAGTTAAAACTTAAAATTATATAATATATAGGCTAAGTATCTTTTCTATTTCCCTAGATTTAAAAAAATATAAAGACACGGCGAAAAGAAATTAAAGAGCGCCAAGAGACAATAAAATTAATATCCGTTTTCAACTCAAAAACTCATAATCAAAAAATAATGTCCGCTTAAAAACGCCATCTATCATATAAAAAACGACTGAAAAATTGGAAAGATACGCCATCTACAGACATAAGCATCCGTTAAAAATGCCATCATACGCCATCTACAAATTGCTGAATTTGCAAAAAACGCCGTCTACCGTTTGTAAAAGAAAACTTCAAAGTGCTACCAAATTAAAAAAAAAAAGCCGTTAATAACCTATTCTCAATAATCTAGTCGCTCTAATATTTTTGAATTAGCATTGAAAAAATATTTCACAAGAATTCTTAATCAATATGAAGTGGAAACCGCTCCATGCGTTTATGAAAATAAGATATTACTACAAAAAGGTTCTAAATTTCGAATCGCAGGGACAAAAAGTAACGGAAATAGGCTCGAAACGCATAAAAAAACTGATGAAACGATGGATGTTATCGCTTCTCGGCCTTTTGGCTAAGATCAAAGTGTAGTATCTGTTCTAGTTAGTTTAACCGCTAACTGATAACACACTGTGTTATCTAATATGGTTAACAGTATTTTTGTCTTCAGAGAAAGCATTAAGCTTGCTTAAGTTTTCTCACGGGTTGACTTGGTATAGCAGTACCTCCAAGTTTGGCCCATTTTCTTCTACGGAAGAAAATTTCTACTCTAAAACAATAGCACATATAAGGGAAAAGAACCTCTTGTCCTTTTGAGGTTAAGTGGGATTTTCAGTACATTTATACAATTTATTTTTATTTATGTTCCAGAAATGGTCCACGCTACCGGGTAGTATGAAAAAAGCTTCTACGTCGGCATTATCATATTGCAGAAGAATCAAACCACAATTGCTTTCTTTCTTCATAACAAGAATTATAAATCAACGTTTCTTCAGCGCTTGAAACTCTGGAAGGCCAAGTGTGGACGGCGGAAAAATAATTTATTATTTGTATAATTATCTGGTGGACGTGTGGCATGTGGAGAAAAAGTGGCAGAAGTACACGTCGGTGATTTACTATTCACTGCCCAATCTCCAGACATCTAACTGGAAAAAGCATTACAACTATTATTAGACGCTTCCAATCAAGTTAACACTCACACATGCCAATCCTGAACTCCCTCATCATGAAATTTTGGTTGTCATCTACGTCGTAGATGGTCTTGTCCTCTACTTCTAAATCGTAGTTGTGTTGGCGATGCCTCCAGTGGACATAGTGGTAGATTAGAACTATCTTACGCGATTGGTTCTCGGTATTTTCTGCGGTCAAAGGATCAATAAGCTTTCACAGGATTTCTCCTGGTTTCACTTGGTACTACATAACAACCAAGCAACGGCGGCGGCGTTTTGAAGGTTTCTATACACGCTCGCTATGTATTATTTCGAAATCCACATACCCTTTCACATTCGCGTTGTTAACGGTTCCATTGGACATATCTCTTGCGCGTCTATAGTTTTTGAATTTACCCTTTTTATCAAATTATTAGCGGGAAACAACGCATTGGTAAAACTGGTGCACTTTTGACTACTTGGCGCACTATTTTTTACCGGAGTGATCCCTGCCTCCACTTCCAGTAGATATAAATGTATCGCCGAAATTTGTATCGCCCTTGTAACCCCTAGAAAAGACTGGAGTACAAACAAAACTTTTTATTGATGAGTCGGATAATTCGGTCTATCTGGTATCTATATACTGTAATTCTTTAAAGTCAAACTGTTCTAAATCGAATTTTATAAAGATTAATTACAAAATAACAGAATTCAAAAATAAAAAACCACTTAAATGAAACTTTAGAAAAAAACCGAATGATAATCTTGATACAGTTAAAAATTTTTTGAAGATTAAACTGTAAATTTCAAAAAGTATAAGTATCACTTCTTTCCTATTTCACTAAATTTAAAGATAATATTAGTACACGAGAAAAAGGAATAATGACGCCATCTACCAGATAAATAACGACTGATAAATTGGAAAGATACGCCATCTACAGACATAAGCATCCGTTAAAAATGCCATCATACGCCATCTACAAATTGCTGAATTTGCAAAAACGCCGTCTACCGTTTGTAAAAGAAACTTCAAAGTGCTACCAAATTAAAAAAAAAAGCCGTTAATAACCTATTCTCAATAATCTAGTCGCTCTAATATTTTTGAATTAGCATTGAAAAAATATTTCACAAGAATTCTTAATCAATATGAAGTGGAAACCGCTCCGTGCGTTTATGAAAATAAGATATTACTACAAAAAGGTTCTAAATTTCGAATCGCAGGGACAAAAAGTAACGGAAATAGGCTCGAAACGCATAAAAAAACTGATGAAACGATGGATGTTATCGCTTCTCGGCCTTTTGGCTAAGATCAAAGTGTAGTATCTGTTCTAGTTAGTTTAATCGCTAGCTGGCAATCCATTGGGTTGCCTTAATAACGATTACGGGATTTTTGTGTGGTCTGGGTTCCTAGAAGCTTGCTTCAAAGAATCCTCGGGTTGACTTGGTCTAGCAGTACCTCCAAGTTCGGCCCTTCTTCTCAATGGAGAAGGCCTCACTTAAGACCTCCCAAGGTGGAACAGTTACAAAACAGCCCTTTTCAGGGCTACCGGAGGAGCAGATGACGATGGGCAGGGCTGTACAAAGTAACGACGGCTCCTCTCTATCTGAGCTCATGGACGAGTCTCCTGTTCGACGTGATGACGAGATGGAAGACGCGGCAAAGCAGGATGCGGGCTCTTTAGCTAGCGTCCCCGCGGAAGACAACGGCCTGGACTTTGGTCCGGCAGTGGGCGCTGCAGAGGACGAGGATGCTGGATACATGGCGGATATGTTATGTGCGGCTGATGTGCGGCTGGCCTCTCAAGAACGTCTTCTCTGCCTTCCCGCGGCCCGACGCTCCTTCCCTCCTCGTTCTTTGTTTACTCCTCCTGCCGATCCTGTGTGTGTGTGTGTGCCTGTTTCGGACAACAACTCTCCCATCTCCGTTCCCGTCACCTCTACACCTGTCTCGCGTGTTATGGACATTACCGGTTCTCCCTCCCCCTCTTCTACCTCTACTACCTCTACTACTACTACCACTGCTACTACGGCTGCATCTTCTTCCTCTTCGGTTCTGGGTGCCCCCTCTGCCGTCCTCTCTTCCTCTTCTGCTACTGCTGATCCGGTTTCGTCGAGGGTGAGTACGGCTGTTCCTGGCGGTCATGTTTCTGTGTCTGTCCCTCCTTCTCGTCCCCCGTCCAAGTCCCGTCCCGCCCCATCTGTTGTTACTGTTGCTGTCCCTGTACCTGACCGTTCCCCTATCTATACTCGTTCCCTCGCGGCCAAGAAGAAGAAGGCTGCTTCTTCTCCTGCACCCGCAATAGCCCCCATAAGGGTTGCTACGCAAACTTTTTACAACTCCGAACGGCGTCGTTCGGTTGGTGGTGCCTCTGCTGTTGTCGCCGCTGTTCCTCCCTCGTCCGCCATTGTACCTGTTGATAATTCAAAATCATCCTGTGGGACTTCGGTTAGCGTGGCCGGTACTCCGGTTAACGCTCCCACAGATAGGCCTCAGCCAACCGCTAATCCCTCCGCTGCCCCTGTCTGTGAGAAGAATCTTTCTCCCACGAGTAGGCCTGCGCCGGCCCCTGTCCTAATCAGGCAGCGGCTGACTCAGACCGTGTGACAATTCCTCCCAACGCGCCTAGGCCTCCGCCGGTCGTTGCTTCTGTGTCCGCGCAATGTCCTTGCAAGGTGTCGCCCTGCGTGTGCATTTCCGGAGCTAATGTCTCCGCCGCGTCTCCTCCTACCGTTCCCCTTCTCCCTACCGACATCCCGTTAACCTATCCTCTTCTGGATAGAATGTGCCCTGTTTGCAACAACTTTTCCGGCACTACCAACAGGATTTCAGCCCACATCCGCTCCGTCCACGCTAAGCAAGTGACCTTTATGTGTCGGGGCTGTCGCCATTTCTTCCGTTCACTGGGGATTGTGAAGAGACATTTCAACCGCGATCATGGGGGTCATCCCTCGTCCATCTATTTAGATGACTCGGACTCTCCTGCCGCTGCATCCCAGTCCCCCCTTCCCAGCCCATTGTCCAACGCATCTCTGTTGGGCCTTCCCCCGCCACCATTCCCACTCTTCCCGCTCTGCCGAATGGCTCGTTTGCGAAAGTGGTCAAATCTCCCCCCCCGGCTCTTCCTTCCGCAAAGGCTCTCTTGCCGCTCGCCACTCTGCCGCCGTCGCCTTCTAAAAACAAAAATAATAGTAAGATCAGGAAACCCCGTCCCCGTAAGGTTATCTCCTCCTCAGCACTCGTCCCAAAAATACCCCCGGCCAGTGCGATCCCAGATTCGGGTTCGGTTGTTTCTTCCTCCTCTTCTAGGGCCACCCTTGCACGACCGACGGAGGCTGGGAAACCTCCTCCTAAAGTCGGTGCTCCGACCAAGACAGTTCGTTCCCCCCCAACTACAGGTCCGAACCCCTCTGCCCAAGCTCGGATTTCCCCTCCTAAAGAGCGGATTTCCCCGCCTAAAGGTCAGATTTCCCCGCCTAAAGTTAATAAGGGGTTGAGCTCTCCGGACTCGGCCGCTGGTCCTGCCTCCGTGATGTCTCCCCCGCCTCCCCCGCGCCCTTCTTCCACAAGCCTAAGTCAACTTATCCGTGAAGAACGCGTCGCCTCTAATCCCTCCCCACCTAGGCCTACCCTTGCCCCCGGTATCGACTCGTCACCGGTGGCGCCCCTGGTGGTCCCCGATTCCCCCCCGCCGCCTTCGTGCGATACGGAGAGGGATGGTTCCTACGACGAGGACGCTGACATTATCCCCAGTTCTCTCGTCCCTTCTTCCTCTTCTCCCCCCCGCTTTCTTGTCCCCGCTCTCCCGCTCGAGATTGGTCTCCCCCTCCGCGGTTGGATCGGTCGGTGTCCCGTGACCACGAGGTTACTAATGATAATAATAATAACAGTCTCCTCCCCGACCCCCCGTCCCCTCCTCCTGCGCACGTGTCCCATCAACAGCTTGAACGGGAACGCGAGGAGCAACTTTCGGGTTTCGCTGCCGCTATCCTAACTGAGTTTGCCCCCAAGATTATTGGAAGTCAGTCCGAATGGTCCCGCGTGGAAGAAGTTTTCGACGCCTGGGTTCTCGCCATTTCCAACGCCAAGTCCAGGGTGCATGAGAGTGCTGGCGGTAGAGTCGCGAATAGGAACTTTGCTCGCCCCCTCCGAATGCGGCTAACAATCAATGGCAAGCGGCTACTAATATCCAAAGGGCCTACAAGCGTAATCCGGCTAGCACTTTCCGCCGTATCGCTAACCCTGAGGAGACCAAGTGTTCCGCTTCCATTGAAGATATGACCTCTTTCTTTATTGAATCGGTCGCCCCTCCTCCTCCTTCATATCAGTGGTCTCCCGACAGGGAGTTTCTTCCGGCCGCGGCCCCACCGCCTGACCCAGAAGACGTTCAACTCGCCAATGAAATCCCCCCTGCTCTCACCCCCGATACCTTTAACTTCGAAAGCAGGGCCATCGACGGCATAGAATTGACCGACCCTAACCACCCCTTGCTCCGTCCCCCATCCCGCGCTGAGATTGTCGGCCAGCTTAAGCGAACCAACAACTCTGCTCCCGGTCTTGACGGCATCACCTACAAGGATCTTAAGAAATTCGATCCGAAAGGCTTAACCCTCAGGGCTTTCTATAGGTTGTTCTGGCGACATGGACAGATTCCCTCCTGTCTGAAGCGGTCTCGCACTATAATGATCCCCAAAAAGGATCTCGACCCTTCGCTGCCGGCCAACTGTAGGCCTATTGCCCTCCTCTCTACCATTTACAAACTTTTTAGTAGTCTGCTGGCCCGGCGTCTGAGTAGATGGGCCAGAGACAATGATATCCTTAGCAAGGAGCAAAGGGGATTTACTACGGCCCCCGGTGTCTTCGAGCATAACTTCGCCTTGACCTCGGCCCTTGACGAGGCCAAACGTAGTGATAAACGCATCTGCCTAGGATTCGTCGATATTGCGCAAGCCTTCCCCTCTATCCCCCATTGCGTTATCTTCGACATGTTGTCCCTTGTAGGAGTGCCGCCCAGTCTCGTTAACCTTATCCGGAATGTATATACCAACGCCACTACGGAGGTTATCACGACGGAAGGATGCACAGCACCCATTTCCATCCACAAAGGTGTTAGGCAGGGCGACGGTCTCAGCCCCTTCCTCTTTAATCTCTGCTTTGAGGGAGCTCTACGTAGCGTTAACGCCTCAAAAGACAGAGATGGGTTCAAGATCGCCGCTCAGGCGGCTGTCCTAGGTCTAAGGTCCGTATCCATTTGCGGTCTAGCCTATGCCGATGACCTTGTGGTGGTCGCAAACTCTCGCCGTGGTCTGCAACACCTCCTCAATGTTGCCGAGCGGTCGGCGGGTCTGGCAAACCTAAAATTTGCTCCGCGTAAATGCGCTACCTTGTGCCTCCATCGTGGAGTCGCCGACCCGACCCCCCTATTCGTGGCTAACGAACCTATTAAGGCGCTAGGCCTTGAGGAGACCTACACCTATCTGGGCACGCCCATTGGCTTCAGGAAGGAGCTTCTCAAGGATGATGGGGTGATTGAGAGGATCCGCTCCCTTCTTCGGCTTACTATGGAGTCCAACCTCGCGCCCTGGCAAAAGGTGTCCTCCATCAAGGCCTTCATTCTCCCCCGTATTCAATTCGCACTGCGAACCCACCGTTTCCTTAAGGAGGAACTAGCGGACCTCGATTCGATGGTTATTCGCGCTATCCGCACCACCATGGCCACCACAAACAACGCCGCTAGGTCGTTCTTTGCCGCTCCCGCTAAAATGGGCGGTGTAGGCCTAATCCCCACTAGGGTAGAGGTGGACATAGCCCGTGTGGGACACACTTTTCAACTCCTCAAATCGGAGGACCCTACCATCCGCTTTATCGCCTGCGCAACTCTTGTTAAGGCCGCTAAGGCCAGAGTGGCCCGCGGCACCGCTCTTACAGGGGACGTTTTGGCCTCTTACCTCAACGGGTCAACGACTCCTCCTTTCTCCTCTTCCTCCTCTTCCGCTCAGACGGTGATGTCAGTCACTAGGTCGGCCTCCAGGCGCTTGCACAAATCTATAAACCTTGAATGGCACCTTGATGACGCCCTTACGCCTACCATTACCGCCACGGTGAGTAGGAGTTGGCACCAGAACCAGCCGCAATTTCGCCACGAGGTCCAATCCAACTGGCAGGAATTGTCGTTTGGGGATGACGAACGCAACCTCGAACCCCTAGCTATCCGTATCCGTCGCACCCACGAACCTTTCCCATTACTTAGGTCGGCGGTCACGGAGCTCAATGTTAGAGAGTTCGCTAAATTGGCGGAGCAGGGCAGGTCCTTCCAGGACACCTGCTTGCACCCTGTCTCCAACCATTTCCTTTACACCGGCTTCGGCTTGCGGTATAAGGACTACCGATTCATCTTTCGGGCTCGGCTGGGTCTTCTCCAGACCAATGCCGTCAAGTCCAGATACAGTGCCCGGGTTAGGCCTGATTGCAGGCGGTGCCACTTCCAAGTGGAATCAGTGCGGCATGTTCTAAACAACTGCCGTACTGGGTATGGCCTGTACGGTGATCGACATAACGCCATCCAGGATCGTCTGGTCAAAGGTGCCCGCCTGGCGCCCGGTTCCACCATTACGGTAAACAGGACGTTGCCCGAATCCTCCACTGCCCTTCGCCCTGACATAGTGATTAGGTGCGCGGATGACAGGGTGGTGCTGATCGACGTCACGGTCCCCTTTGAGAGGCCTGGCGCCCTTGCTCGCGCTGCCCAGGAGAAGATCAACAAGTATGCGGTCCTAAAAACTGAGCTGGAGGGACAAGGCAAGGCAGTAGAGATTCTACCATTTGCTGTTGGTTCTTTGGGCGCCTGGTGCAGGGGGAACTCCAAGGTCTTTCGGGCTCTGGGCATAGCGTTCGCTTACCGGGGTATGCTGTCCCAGCTGTGCGTGGCGGAAGCGATTCGTGGCTCAAAGGACGCCTACGACGCGCACATTAACGGTCATTAAAATAAAAATGTACTGGCTATCAACTGTTTATTCGTTTTTTCGTCTGTTATGTGTCTGTGATATGTTAAGGGTGTCGTAAATTATTGTAAAGTGCCTGTGTCACTGGGATTTACCCCTTTTCCCTTGCTTCTACATCAATCCTATTCTGCTATTTGTTCTCATGTGCCGGTTCCTGTTGGTCCACATTGGCCTTTAACTCCTGTCGTCTATGTCACTTATACCCCTCTTTTTTGTTTACCTAACTCCCTCTATGCCATTCATCCTGCAATTGAAAAACACTGTCTCCTCCTTTTACCTGTATAATACATTTAAATAACTCTGTTCTAGTTAGTTTAACCGCTAACTGATAACACACTGTGTTATCTAATATGGTTAACAGTATTTTTGTCTTCAGAGAAAGCATTAAGCTTGCTTAAGTTTTCTCACGGGTTGACTTGGTATAGCAGTACCTCCAAGTTTGGCCCATTTTCTTCTACGGAAGAAAATTTCTACTCTAAAACAATAGCACATATAAGGGAAAAGAACCTCTTGTCCTTTTGAGGTTAAGTGGGATTTTCAGTACATTTATACAATTTATTTTTATTTATGTTCCAGAAATGGTCCACGCTACCGGGTAGTATGAAAAAAGCTTCTACGTCGGCATTATCATATTGCAGAAGAATCAAACCACAATTGCTTTCTTTCTTCATAACAAGAATTATAAATCAACGTTTCTTCAGCGCTTGAAACTCTGGAAGGCCAAGTGTGGACGGCGGAAAAATAATTTATTATTTGTATAATTATCTGGTGGACGTGTGGCATGTGGAGAAAAAGTGGCAGAAGTACACGTCGGTGATTTACTATTCACTGCCCAATCTCCAGACATCTAACTGGAAAAAGCATTACAACTATTATTAGACGCTTCCAATCAAGTTAACACTCACACATGCCAATCCTGAACTCCCTCATCATGAAATTTTGGTTGTCATCTACGTCGTAGATGGTCTTGTCCTCTACTTCTAAATCGTAGTTGTGTTGGCGATGCCTCCAGTGGACATAGTGGTAGATTAGAACTATCTTACGCGATTGGTTCTCGGTATTTTTCTGCGGTCAAAGGATCAATAAGCTTTCACAGGATTTCTCCTGGTTTCACTTGGTACTACATAACAACCAAGCAACGGCGGCGGCGTTTTGAAGGTTTCTATACACGCTCGCTATGTATTATTTCGAAATCCACATACCCTTTCACATTCGCGTTGTTAACGGTTCCATTGGACATATCTCTTGCGCGTCTATAGTTTTTGAATTTACCCTTTTTATCAAATTATTAGCGGGAAACAACGCATTGGTATTTAACACTCACATTAACAATAAGAAGCCTCTTCATAGTTCGGGTGATCATTGCTCTATCCTCCTAAAATGCACTATACAACACTCTTCCTCGAGGAACGAGTGCATTTCTGAGCCTCCTTACTGATGAGTGGAATGTTATGGTCGCTCTCGTCTGCATATAATGTTCTGCGCTTTAGTCAATCCATGCTCATCTTCCGCACATTCTTTCATCTGCAAATTTGGTAGAACAATTCCCTTCGACGCTCATTCTTTCCTCTTTTCAATCAAGGTTCCAAACATATACATGATGGCTTAACCATTAATCAAATGTCTGTACGAACTATTATTGTCTGTCTCTTCTAACTCGTAATTACTTTGCATTCCTAAAAGCGATAATAGGGGTAGTTTAACGTTTGATTGATGTTGCTGAAATTCGTCATTCTGTTTGGACCACATCGGATTATTAGGTGACGGTGAAATAACTGATATTATTACCTTATCTCCTGATTAATGAATACGTCCTTTACAATTCTACCAAAAGTTCTTTTTCTTCGGATTCGCGCGTTACTATTCCACCGTTGACTGGTTCCTTGCTCCTAATGGCCTATTGCCTTCATTAACCCGCCGTTGGCGCTTTTTTTCGCGCCGTTATTATGAAGTAGGCCATAATCAATTAAAATAAACAACCTTTTCACATTCCTCTATTTTAAAGGCTTCACAGGATATATGTGTTGCGCTTTTATGATATTTCCAAAATGTCTTTTTTTAAAAGTACTAACGACAAACAACGCATTGGTATTCAACACTTACATTGCGAACAAGAAGCTCCTTCACACTTAAAATGAAGATTGCTCAATCCTAATATCGCGTTCAGGAAAAAGTCTTCTTTCAGGCTCGGATATATTATACGCCTCCTTATTCATCAGTCGAATGTTACGGCAACTCTCGTCTGTATTATGTATTGCGCCATGGCTAGTCGATGTTAATCTACACGTGTAAGATTTAAGATAATGCTCCTATTGGCACGAGTACATTATGAGCCTTCCAATTAATGAGTCGAATGTTATAGTCACTCTCGTATGCATATAATGTATTGCGCCATGGCCAGTCGATGTTAATCTTACACGTGTTCTTTTTACCGCAATTTCGTAGAACACTTCCCTTCAACGCTCACTCTTTCCTCTTTTCACTATCGGTTCCAAACATATAGAAGATAGCTTAGCCATTAATTTAATGTCTTTAAAACTGTTGTTAGCCGCCAGTTTTAAGTCGTAATTGCTTTTGCAATCTCCATAGTGGTAATAGCGGTAGATTGAGGTGTTGTTGATTTTCCTGAAATTCGAGATTTTGTTCAGACTACATCAGATGTTTAAGGGAGACTACAAGGACTGATGTTTTACCTTATCTCCTGATTAAGAAATCAATTGACTTTATAACAATTCTTCCAAAATTTCTGTTTATTGAGTTTCACACGCTAATTTTCCATCGTTCACGGGTCAGTTTCTTCAATATCCACTGTTAGCGCAGTTTTCCCGCCGTTATCTTTAAGTACATCGTCCATCATTTCTTAAGCCTCCGATTCGTTTTTGTTTTTAACTGTTCTACTGGACATGTCACTTGTTTGTTCCCTAACTTCTTTCGTTGAGATCTTTGGTTTCTCCAATTTCTTTCTTGCAGTTTGGTTTAGAAAGATACATCCGAAAATCAGTGTACTGCATATGATCAAAAGATAGAAATATAAATAAATAAAAAGTAAAAGTTTTATCAAACTGAAAATCAGGACCGTAATAATCACACCCTTGTTGAAAACCAACATTGAAGATTTTACAAATGTCTGTCGTCTATGAAGCAGAAAATTGCAAATTCTACAATGCAAATAATGATACGGAAAGAAAAGAGAGTTTCTTAGACCTAGTCTACATTTTGAATTTTCATTACCGTGCTTCTTCACTATCTAGAGGAAACGCCTTAGCACGAATGTTCAGCAATACAACACTATTTCTACCCGACAATGTACCGCTTGGCACAAATTCAAGACACTTGTCGCACATACAAATCTACTTATAAACAGAGATTGTGCAAAATACGAAAAATTTACGTAATATATCGCAAGATTACCTCCATTATCAGAACACAAACATCTATTTCTGTTCTCACCAACCCCAACAACTTCATTTCAGTCATAACGCGATTGGGCCTAGCTATAGCAAGAACTATCAACAGTATCTTCATATGTTACGTGTATTGTCAGCCATTCACTTTTTTCCCTCGTCAATTCTTTTCACACTATTAGCCGTATTCTAGGCGTTATTATTCAGTCACTACTAGATCATAACCCCTCTATTACCTTCATTGCTCATACACTGCAAAATATACTCTGGCTGTACGGAATGACCATTATGCCATTTTCTAATACTCTCACACTTCCGGCAATAAACTCCCTAATATCGCTCACATTTCCGAATTCTTTTTTTGGAATCTTAGTGGTAATGAACTAAAAAAGTTTCTTTGACCTCCACGTTGTCAAAGGTCAAAGTGTTGTAGTGTCTGCTTTAATTTCGATTTGTTCGTAATACAGGACAACCCCTTAAATTTCCTTTCATTCTTCGTAAATATAATTATATTTCAAACTATTAAAACTGGTGCACTTTTGACTACTTGGCGCACTATTTTTTACCGGAGTGATCCCTGCCTCCACTTCCAGTAGATATAAATGTATCGCCGAAATTTGTATCGCCCTTGTAACCCCTAGAAAAGACTGGAGTACAAACAAAACTTTTTATTGATGAGTCGGATAATTCGGTCTATCTGGTATCTATATACTGTAATTCTTTAAAGTCAAACTGTTCTAAATCGAATTTTATAAAGATTAATTACAAAATAACAGAATTCAAAAATAAAAAACCACTTAAATGAAACTTTAGAAAAAAAACCGAATGATAATCTTGATACAGTTAAAAATTTTTGAAGATTAAACTGTAAATTTCAAAAAGTATAAGTATCACTTCTTTCCTATTTCACTAAATTTAAAGATAATATTAGTACACGAGAAAAAGGAATAATGACGCCATCTACCAGATAAATAACGACTGATAAATTGGAAAGATACGCCATCTACAGACATAAGCATCCGTTAAAAATGCCATCATACGCCATCTACAAATTACTGAATTTGCAAAAGACGCCGTCTACCGTTTGTAAAAGGAAACTTCAAAGTGCTACCAAATTTTAAAAACAAAGCAGTTAGTGACCTATTCTCAATAATCTAGTCGTTCTAACATTTTTGAATTAGCAATGAAAAAATATTTCACAAAAATTCTAAATCAATGTGAGGCGAAAACCGCTCCGTGCGTTTATGAAAATAAGATATTACTACAAAAAGGTTCTAAATCCGCTAACGTCCCAAAGTAGGGCAGATACATCAGCAGAACAGCGCTTTTCAGGGCTACCAGGAGTTCCGGTTGCTGTAGCAGAGAGGGTGTCGCTGGATAGCTCCAATGGGAGCGGTCCGACATCCGGAGTGCCATCGGATAACCCCCACCCGGGAGGTAGTCCGGCACAGAGGAGACCAACGGCTCGGGGAACGATGCCACCAACGACGCAGATGACGATGGGTGGGGCTGTACAAAGTAACGACGGCTCCACTTTATCCGAGCTCATGGACAAGTCTCCTGTTCGGCGTGATGGTGAGAAGGAAGACGCGGCAAAGCAGGACGCGGGCTCTTTAGCTAGCGTCCCCGCTGAAGACAACGGCCTGGATTCCGGTCTGGCAGAGGGCGCTGCGGAGGATGAGGATGCTGGCTACATGGCGAATATGTTATGTGCGGCTGATGTGCGGCTGGCCTCTCAAGAACGTCTTCTCTGCCTTCCCGCGGCCCGACGTTCCTTCCCTCCTCGTACTTTGTTTATTCCTCCTGCCGATCCTGTGTGTGTGTGTGTGTGTGTGCCTGTTTCGGATAACCTCTCTAACTCTCCCATCTCCGTTCCCGTCACCTCTACACCTGTCTCGCGACCTGATAAGGTCGACACAATGGATAGAGAATTTCGGGAAGGAACCTTCAATGCCCCTTCGACTGCCGAATATTATAGCCTCACATGTAGCCAACACTGCCTTCATTAAGACAGGATTGGGATTCGAATTAAAATTACTGCTTTGCCATTCACTGGAGAAGAAGCATATTCGCCTTAATTTCCATAATTCACAGATTCGACAATAACCATTCAACTACTTCCAGAAGTTGCGAGAACACAACCACGCAATGAATAAAATTAGAACTATTACAACTTATACTCTGATAACAATAATTACAGATATTAGTGAATTTGAATGAAAAAAAACAAAAAACAACATTATAAAGAGTTTCCGAAATGGTGCCTACGTCCTGCCCACACTAGACACGGAGACAATACTACCTAATAGGATGAAATCTCCGGTTGATACCATTCAGAAATATACTGTATATCCAAAAATCAGTGTAGGATAGATGATCAAAAGATAGAAAGCTGGACGGGTCTCTCTCTGTATGACAGAGCAATTGGACTTCCAAGAAGAAAATAGTTTTTAATTTAAAAAATAATAAGCTATTCATATATATAAATATAAAGTAAAAGTTTTATAAATATGAAAATTTAGGACCATAAAAAATCATGCCCTTGTTCGAAGCCAACATTGAAAATTTTACAAATGTCTGTCGTCAACGAAGCAGCAAATTGCGAATTCTACAATGCGAATAATGATATGGAAGGTAAAGAGAGTTTCTTATACGTAGTCAACACTTTGAATTTTCATTACGGTGTTTCTTCACTATCTGGAGGAAACGCCCTAGAACGAATGTTCAACAAAACAACAACGTTTCGACGTGACAATGAACTCGATTGGAACAAATTCAAGACACTTGTCCTTCTTTCAAATCTACCTTTAAACAGAGATTGTGCAAAATACGAAAAATTTACGTAATATATCGCAAGATTACCTCCATTATCAGAACACAAACATCTATTTGTGTTCTCACCTACCCCGACAACTTCATTTCAGTCATAACGCGATTGGGCCTAGCTATAGCAAGAACTATCAACAGTATCTTCATATGTTACGTGTATTGTCAGCCATTCACTTTTTTCCATCAATTCTTTTCACATTATTAGCCGCATTCTAGGCGTTATTTTCAGTCACTACTAGATCATAACCCCCCCCCCCCTATTACCTTTAATGCTCCTACACTGCAGAAAATGCTCTGGCTGTCCGGAATGACCATTATGCCATTTTCTAATACTCTCACACTTCCGGCAATAAACTCCCTAATATCGCTCACATTTCCGAATTCTTTTTTTGGAATCTTAGTGGTAATGAACTAAAAAAGTTTCTTTGACCTCCACGTTGTCAAAGGTCAAAGTGTTGTAGTGTCTGCTTTAATTTCGATTTGTTCGTAATACAGGACAACCCCTTAAATTTCCTTTCATTCTTCGTAAATATAATTATATTTCAAACTATTAAAACTGGTGCACTTTTGACTACTTGGCGCACTATTTTTTACGGAGTGATCCCTGTCTCTACTTCCAGTAGACATAAATGTATTGCCGAAATTTGTATCGCCCTCGTAACCTCAAGAAAAGACTACAGAGATTAATACCTTTTTTCGATTTTCCAAGAATTCCTGCAATAAGTAGTTTGTGTTTCCATTTATCGTGGTTTTACGAAGATGTTTATTTATGTTCTTTTTCACCTTTCTTTTCGATCAGAGTGTTAGTGGCAAATAAAGCATTCAACACCAACCTGTTGATCATGACTATCCACCAACCAATGGGTTTAGCGGAGTGTTTTTGAAAGTAAGAGTACATACGAAAGTCTTTATTGATGAGTCGGATAATTGGGTTCTTCTCATCTTTATATACTGTAATTTCTCAAAGTCAGCTTGTCCTCAATCAAATCTTATAACGATTACTTAGAAAATAAGAAAATTCAAACATAAAAAAGCACTTGAACGAAACTTTATAAAAAAAAAGGAATGATAGTCTTACATTTTAAAGTTTACGAAAATTAAACGTTAAAATTACAAAATGTACAAGTATCACTTCTTTCATATTTCACTAAATTTAGAGAAAATATTAAGACTCGGCGAAAAGGAATTAATGACGCCATCTACAATTTACTGAATTTGAAAAAACAGAAAATGAATTATTGGTTAAGCAATACAATATATGTATGGAACATGGAGTGAAAAAAGAAGACTGAGCGTCGAAGGGAATTGTTCTACCAAATTGCCGAAAAAAGAACAATAGGCCATTGGGAGCAAGGAACCAGTCAACGGTGGAATAGTAACGCGCGAATCCGAAGAAAAAGAACTTTTGGCAGAATTGCAATATAAAGGAAGTATTTATTAATCAGGAGATAAGGTAATAATATCAGTTATTTCACCGTCACCTAATAATTCGATGTGGTCCAAACAGAATAATGAATTTCAGCAACATCAATCAAACTTTAAACTACCCCTATTATCGCTTTTAGGAATGCAAAGTAATTACGAGTTAGAAGAGACAGAAAACAATAGTTCGAACAGACATTTGATTAATGGTTAAGCTATCGTGTATATGTTTGGAATATTTAGTGAATTGAGGAAAGAGAGAGAGAGTTCAAGGGAATTGTTCTACCAAATTGCGGATGAAAGAACGCGCGGAGGATTAACATGGATTGACTAAAGCGCAGAACATTATATGCAGAGGAGAGTGATTATAACATTCAATACATCAAAAGGAGACGTATAATGTACTGATATCTGGAGATAGAATATCGTACAGTGGATTTTAGGAAGATAAAGCAACGATAATCCGAACTATGAAGAGGCTTCTTGCTGTTAATGTAAGTGTTAAATACCAATGCGTTGTTTCCCGCTAATAATTTGATAAAAAGGGTAAATTCAAAAACTATAGACGCGCAAGAGATATGTCCAATGGAACCGTTAACAACGCGAATGTGAAAGGGTATGTGGATTTCGAAATAATACATAGCGAGCGTGTATAGAAACCTTCAAAACGCCGCCGCCGTTGCTTGGTTGTTATGTAGTACCAAGTGAAACCAGGAGAAATCCTGTGAAAGCTTATTGATCCTTTGACCGCAGAAAAATACCGAGAACCAATCGCGTAAGATAGTTCTAATCTACCACTATGTCCACTGGAGGCATCGCCAACACAACTACGATTTAGAAGTAGAGGACAAGACCATCTACGACGTAGATGACAACCAAAATTTCATGATGAGGGAGTTCAGGATTGGCATGTGTGAGTGTTAATTTGATTGGAAGCGTCTAATAATAGTTGTAATGCTTTTTCCAGTTAGATGTCTGGAGATTGGGCAGTGAATAGTAAATCACCGACGTGTACTTCTGCCACTTTTTCTCCACATGCCACACGTCCACCAAATAATTATACAAATAATAAATTATTTTTCCGCCGTCCACACTTGGCCTTCCAGAGTTTCAAGCGCTGAAGAAACGTTGATTTATAATTCTTGTTATGAAGAAAGAAAGCAATTGTGGTTTGATTCTTCTGCAATATGATAATGCCGACATAGAAGCTTTTTTCATACTACCCGGTAGCGTGGACCATTTCTGGAACATAAATAAAAATAAATTGTATAAGTGTACTGAAAATCCCACTTAACCTCAAAAGGACAAGAGGTTCTTTTCCCTTATATGTGCTATTGTTTTAGAGTAGAAATTTTCTTCCGTAGAAGAAAATGGGCCAAACTTGGAGGTACTGCTATACCAAGTCAACCCGTGAGAAAACTTAAGCAAGCTTAATGCTTTCTCTGAAGACAAAAATACTGTTAACCATATTAGATAACACAGTGTGTTATCAGTTAGCGGTTAAACTAACTAGAACAGATATATTTAAATGTATTATACAGGTAAAAGGAGGAGACAGTGTTTTTCAAATGCAGGATGAATGGCATAGAGGAAGTTAGGTAAACAAAAAAGGGGTAAAAGTGACATAGACGACGGGAGTTAAAGGCCATTGTGGACCAACAGGAACCGGCACATGAGTAACAAATAGCAGAATTAGGTAATAGTATGGTAGCAAGGGAAAAGGGGTAAATCCCAGTGACACAGGCACTTTACAATAAATGACGACACCCTTAATATATCACAGACACATAACGAACGAATAAACAATTAATAGCCAACAATTTTAATGACCGTTAATGTGCGCGTCGTAGGCGTCCTTTGAGCCACGAATCGCTTCCGCCACGCACAGCTGGGACAGCATACCCCGGTAGGCGAACGCTATGCCCAGAGCCCGAAAAACCCTGGAGTTCCCCTTGCACCAGGCGCCCAAAGACCCAACAGCAAATGGTAGAATCTCTACTGCTTTGCCTTGTCCCTCCAGCTCCGTTTTCAAGACCGCGTACTTATTGACCTTCTCCTGGGCAGCACGAGCAAGGGCGCCAGGCCTCTCAAAGGGGACCGTGACGTCGATAAGCACCACCCTGTCATCCGCGCTCCTAATAACTATATCAGGGCGAAGGGCAGTGGAGGATTCGGGCAACGCCCTGTTTACCGTAATGGTGGAACCGGGCGCCAGGCGGGCACCTTTGACCAGACGATCCTGGATGGCGTTATGGCGATCGCCGTACAGGCCATACCCAGTACGGCAGTTGTTTAGGACATGCCGCACTGATTCCACTTGGAAGTGACAACGCCTGCAATCAGGCCTAACCCGGGCACTGTATCTGGACTTGACTGCATTGATCCGGAGGAGACCCAACCGAGCCCGAAAGATGAATCGATAGTCCTTATACCGCAAGCCGAAGCCGGTGTAGAGGAAATGGTTGGAGACAGGGTGCAAGCAGGTGTCCTGAAAGGACCTGCCCTGCTCCGCCAATTTAACGAACTCTCTTACACTGAGCTCCGTAACCGCCGACCTAAGTAATGGGAAAGGTTCGTGGGTGCGACGGATACGGATAGCTAAGGGTTCAAGGTTGCGTTCATCATCCCCAAACGACAATTCCTGCCAGTTGGATTGGACCTCGTGGCGAAATTGCGGCTGGTTTTGGTGCCAACTCCTACTCACCGTGGCGGTAATGGTAGGCGTAAGGGCGTCATCGAGGTGCCATTCAAGATTTAT